ATTTTAAATTAAAAAAAAAGTATTCAAATAAATTATGTTACAAAAAATAGTAAATTGCAGAAAAAAAAACCACAGAATTGATTCGATTGGAAAGTATGATTCGCGCACGCCTCCGCGAAATTGAGTCAAAACAAAGTCTAGTAAGAGTCCTGACGATGAAAATCCTTGATCCTCTCTTGACTTGCGAAAAAAAAGTCGATGAACCGTTCCCTGTCTGTGAAGGAAGGCGTGTCGGTCGATGACATCACTTTTGTTGATGACCTCATCGACCTTTTGAAGTTTCTCTATAGCATTATAAATACAATATTGTTGCACTAGGTCCTTTTGCTTATTGAAAAGCCACAAGAAAATTGACTCTCTTTCTCTCTTTCTCTCTTTCTCTCTTGAAACGATTTGTAAAACGAGAATATAATGATTAACCGACCCCCCGGCTTTTTGATTACTTGATTAATACAATTGCTTTCGTACATGATCAGTATCTTCACTTCCGCTCTGAAAAGTCATTAGTCCATTGAAAAGACAAAAAGAAAAGTACTTTTTTTCGATTCTATATTCAAAAATAATTATTTTAAAAAAAATCCACTTCTTAATTTTCCTTTTTTAAAAGTGTTTTACTAAGTAGTTGAAAAAATTATTTAATACGTTTTTTGTATGCAGCAATAAAAATTTATTAACCAAATAAAATGCGGCTAAACATTTCGTCATTATAACTGTTTGAATAAAATTATTTAATATTTATTTGCCTGGCGAATTTCGATTGCGATTTTTATAACTATCGAGAGAGAAGATTTATATATTTTAATTTTATTGAAATTTTGTGGATTTTTTTTTTCACGATTTACAGATTCTATAATTAGCTGGTTTATTATGATTTTTGTCTTTAATTAGTATATAGTTTTTTAATTTGCATAAAATTGTGTTTGAATTCTTGTTGGTGTTTTGTAAAAGCAGTGTTTATTTAGCAATGATTTAATCATAAATTGCCATTGTGGAATGTGGTACTCGCTTCGTAATCGGAATAGATTACATTCCAATCGAATTAAGCTAATTCAAAGTCACTTTTCTTTTTTCAGTAGCAATTTTTTTTCTTTGTTTTTTAATAACAGATTTAGAATTTTTTTCAATGACAAATTTAGAATTTTATTTAATAACCAATTTTGAATTTCGCGCCTCAAAGTTCGTGAAATTTCCGCCTAGATGGCATGAAAATTCACTCACAAGCGGAATAACGCGAACAGTAATTTTAGCGTCGACGCCGAATTTAGAAACTTTTTCGATGGTTAGCGTCGAAAACAGATCTATTCTGAATGCCTAAGAAAAGAAAACTTAGCGTCGACGCTAACTTAGACCTAATAAATCTGGTTCTACACAAAAGTCGAATTATTTATTATCAAGCAAAAATATCAAATATTTGAAATATTTCCCAACAGTTTGTATATGTATATTTATAGATTTTTCATTCGCGATCATGTAATGTGTTTTACGATGGTTCGTTGGCCCGCGGTACGCAATAAGATTACGTTAACGGTTACGCGATTTTACACTTGCCAGGGTGTGCTTTTGATGCCCCTTGTATATACGTGAGTGATCGCGAAAATTACAGGGCAGTTAGTATTTAAAGTTTAAGGCCGGCTGAACTCGTTCTTGATAAGCGTTCCAGCATAGAGTTGTTTGTGTATTATTATATATAGTAAAAGAGTGCTTTGAGCTCTTATGGCCATTATGTATGCATATACATACACACATAGTATAAGAGCGTATATCCAGAACTCCCTTTTATTCATTTTGGTTTCTTTAATTTCCATGCATGTTGTGTGCCGTTACAGTAATCTTCCTAGTCAAGATAACTGTACGAGCGAAATATCTTGCTAACATTTTCTTATGTGGAGATAATGCTACATTGTCTTAATCGCGATTATGTGGATTTGGTTCTAGTTTGGATTTTATTGTTTTGAATCCGGAAGAGTTTGAACTTTAGAGTAGATCTACTTCTTCTTTAAAAATAAAACCTCGAACTTAGTTGAGAAGTAGATCTGTTCTAAAGTTTTCGGAATTAGTTTTGATTGTTTAACGAGGGACTTTTGGGTCCTGAAGGAGAATGCGGTGGTCCTAAGTCCCGATTTCTGGATTAGCACAAACTTTGTCAAAAAACAAATTTTTTTTCAGAAACAAAAGCAACTGGTTGGTTCCAAACAGCGAAATTTCTGTTAGAATCGTATAGAAAAACGTCGCAAATAAAATTGTCGTTCTTAGCACGATTTCTGCTCTGAATTCCACTCAAAACTATTCCGAATTCGCCAAAATTCGAATTTCACTTTTGTTTCTAGGACTTCAGATCAAAAATACGATCGGATCCTGTTTTTGACGACGTTTTGGGTTCTAATGAGGATTTGATAATCGGTTCTTAGTCCCGATTTCTGGAATAGAGGAAATGGAGCCACTTCGTCCTAACTAAGACAAATTTTTTTTTTTAGAAATTAGAGTATCTGGCTGGTTTCAAAAAGCGAAATTGTCAAGGTTTTGTAGGAGAATGTCGCAAGTGGTGTTATACAAGATTTTCGGTGCGACTTCTGCACCAGAAATCAGGATTTCGCTCTTATTTCTAGGACTTCCAAAAATACATTTCAGTAAAATTCGATCGGGTCAGAATTGAGTAATCTGTTTTGGGTCCCAAATGAGAATAGTGAGTCCTAATTTGTCCCGATTTTTGGAATAACAAAAACAGAGCCACTTTGTTCTAACTAACATCAGATTTTTCCAAAAAATTAGAACAAAGGGGACTTCAGATTTGCATAAAATTCATCGTTCGAACCGGAACCTAGGATCAAGTAATCTTTTTGATTAATTTTTTAGATTTGACTCGCGACGTAATAATAGAAACTCATCATCGCTTTCTTGAGTTTTTAAGTTTTTCTTTTCCGCTAACGGAATAAATTATAGTTATAGAGTTTAAAAAAATAAACAATAGATGACGTTAGGCAAATAATGTACATAATATATTTAGAACAGTTGCGTTGTGAACAATTTCGCTTTCTTATCATACATTATTGTGTGCAAAGGCATTACGCGAATAATTTTAACCGGAACTTTATAACAATATAAAGAAATTTAGAAACCGGAAAGTTTGCAAGTTGATTTTACGAAAAATTATGTCTAAAGGAAAAGGAGTGAGTTATATTATATTTTTTATATATTCATAAAGAAATTTCAAAATTATATTGTGGAAAATTAAAATTTACTTTTTTCTTACTTGTTCTCAACTGAAATATGTTGCTGGGAAAAAAATAAATAACATTATTTAAAGTACTAGGGAAGGGAATCGAATAAATATTAGTTTCTAATAATAAGAATTTAATAATAATACTATACTAATAATAATATTAATAAGAATACTAATAACAATGGTTAATAATAATAATAATAATAATAATAATAATAATAATAATAATAATGGTAATAATAATAATTTAAAAAAAACAATGTAATAACAATAGTAATAATTATGATAATATAATACTTGCAATTGTAAAATTATTATCATTGTATTAATGATAATAATTTTAATAATAATTCGTATGCTATTAATTAATATTACCAGTAATAATTATGACTAATTAATATAAAGTATGCCAATATTAATTGATTTAGATTTTTTTAGTAATTGTGTAGAATACACTGCAAAATTTTTTTTTCAAAATTAGATCGAAATTAATTATTCAGTAGTTTATTTTTAATAAAAAGTAAACTTTAAAGTTTTGCAACGTTTAATTTTCGTATTTATGACCGTCACACTGTTCTTTTGTTATCGCTAAACTGTGAAACTGTTGTTAAATATTTTCCTACATAACATTGATAAGTATTTTTTTTACTGAGTGTCAGTTTCTTTTTTTCTTTAACATAATGTTGAATCCAATTGTCACGTATGCTGATTAACATTTTTTTATTTTAATATAAAAATTTATTATATTAATATTATTAATTATTTATTTTTTAAAATATTTTTCAATTTATTAACAATTTTTGTTATTTTTTGCTATTTTTTATTTGTTTATTCATAATTTATTACTTATTAGTTGTTATTAATTTATTTTCATTTATTTATTATTGTTTATTTATTGATTATTTAGGTATTACTTTTTATTTAAATATTTATTATTTACTTTTTATTTATTTATTATTTTTTTTCTTTGTATATTTCTTTCGCTAATGTTCAGATATGCAAAAATTATATAATATTGCAACTGTGAGAATTGAGAGTGAATGTGAGTTACTATATAAAAGTAATTGTGAGATTTTTGTCAGACTCGATCACACAACATTATAACATAACATTCCTTTGTTTCTTTAAAGTCATTTTATTATCTTCAATTTTTAAATTATAAAGTCAACTTGAGTTTCGTGGTCTGAGACATCATTTTTTAATTAAAAAAAAAGTAAATAATTAAATAAAAAATTTTTAATCATTTAATTTCGCCATTTTTGTTAAAAATATTTTTGTGTTTAAAAGCATTTTTGTTAAAAATATTTTTTTGTTAAGAAGCATTTTTGTTAAAAATATTTTTTTGTTAAGAAGCATTTTTGTTAAAAATATTTTGTTTAAAAGCATTTTTGTTACAAATTTTTTTTTTGTTAAAAATATTTTTGTATTTAAAAGTATTTTTGTTAAAAAAATATTTTTTTGTTTAAAAGCATTTTTTAAAAATATTTTTTTTCACCTAAGAATTAAATTATTTATTTAATACTCTTTTGAAATTTAGAAAAAAAATTTGTTTGACGGATGAAGTGCGCTACTTTTTAAAGGGAGAAAAAATATTATTTTAAACGGCTATCTGTATAATGTATAAGCGTATATTGTTATATCCGCATTGTTGTATATGTTAGTATATAGAATATACAATATATCTTTGAATCAAATCGGAAGTCCTAACAGCGCTTTCAATGCACTCCACCTACGCAAAAGCAATTAGTATCATCCGTGTGGTGCAGCATTAAATGCATTCAGTTTTCCTCTGTCTTCAGTCTTTCTCGAACCTCCTCTCGTTACGGAACTGACCTCGTCTCGTCTTTTGACATGAATTCCTTATTTTTCCAAATACAATCGCGCTGGATTATTATAAACAAAAATAATCTCTTTTTTCATTATGACAAGTATGTTATTATTGTTTGGTTTTTTTTTGGGTGAAAAATGTGCGCGCTAATTCTCTTTAAATTTTGTGCATGATGAGCGAAGTGTTTCCCTTCGATTATTATTTGGAAAAAAAATTTATTTTTCAAATAAAAATTTCGATTATGAAAATTTCGATTTGAATTAAATTATAATTCATTTTTTTTTTTGTTAATATTTAAATAAAATTTTATTTAAATATTAATAAAAAAAGAAAATTTAAATTAAAAATTATGAATCGGACCTAAAAAATGTTGATTTAAATTTAAATTGATATTCGGTATTGCGCTGAAAATTTGGAACAGTTTAAAAAAAGAGAAATGCAATTAATTAAATTAAATTTCGAAATAAAAATAAAATTATCAATTAATTATTATTATATTTATTTGGTGTTATAGAAATTAAATAGTTGTTTTTCACGCTCAGGGGAATTAGTAAGGGAAAAAAAATTGTGGACTCTCTTAATGGAATTAGATGGAATTTAGTTTGAAATATTTTTGCGTGTTTTGTTGGCCTCTGTGTGTGAGGAAACGTTTTATAGTTTGTAATTAATTGTTTTGTCACTCAGAGCGTGACTGATTAGTCTCTCTCTCTCTTTTTTTTTGTGAATCTTGTTGTATAAAGTTGTACACTGTGTTTTGTATGATGACCATCATATCTCGATGGTTTCAATGACAGTCGGTGAAATCATTGACCTGAAAAAAACTACAAAAGTTGACCGCAGTTATTTTTCAAGTGTACAACGCAAAGAAGTATTTTTTTTTCTTCGTACTCTCTGCATCTCAATGTAATTTAGAAAATGTAAAAAATTATTTACAATTATTTACAAAAACTTATCGCTTTTTAATAAAAGTTTTAAATTTCTTTTTTATTTTTTTTTTATTTCCTCTATTTTCATTTTTTAATTTTTTAAAATTATTTTTTAATAAAAATAATTAAAAAATAAAAATAGATAACATAAAAATAATAAGAAAATGTAAATATAGAGAAAATAAAAATAGAAAATAAAAATAAAAAAATAAAAATAGAAGATAAAAAAATAAAATAAAAAATTAAAATAAAAAAATAAAATAAAAAATTAAAATTAATAAACAATGAAAATAGAGAAAGTAGAAAATAATGAAAAAATAAAAATAGTGAAAAGTTATCTATTTAGATGAGAAAAGAAGAAAATTTTCCAAGCAAGAGTGGACAGTATTTTGTTCCTTACTTTATTTTTTTATTTTTTATTTTCTTTTTTGCTTTGAGAAAGATATTATTTTATTTTGCAGTGTGATTGCGTGATTTATTGTTAGAGGAATTTACATTCTTTTTTAATGTTGAGAATGGAATGTAAATTCGTGCTTCAGAAATGATAATACTCTGCAGATTTCATTTTATCGTTTGTAAAATATTGTTGAAGGATTATCTAAAAATGATGATGATTATCATTAAATGTATGCGATGACCGTATTGACAGAAATAATTTTTATTTGAGTTTGTTTTTTTTCTTTTTTTGCTTGTGCGCGTGTTTTTTTCATAAAAAAAATAAAGAGAAAAGGAAAAAAATATAATAAAAGTGACTAAATGGAAAAATTGAATGGTAACAAGGACGTTTGAAAACGCATTTATTTTCAGTTCGCAAGGACTTTTCCTGTATTTTAACGTGGCTTATTTATATACAGTTAGAGTTTTTTAATTATTTAAATAAGAAGTATATTTATTGCTTTCTTAATTATTTGAAAATTATTTTGTTAAATGTTAAATAATGATTTGCGAAAATTTTTTCAAAAATATTGTGATAAATACTGAAGAAATATTTTGCTAAAGTATTTAAAAGTATTCTGCTAATTATTATAAAGACTATTTTCTTATTAAGAAAACATTCTGCTAATTATTATAAAAACTATTTTATTATTTAAAAAAAAAAAATTCTGATGATTATTAAAAAACTATTTTGTTAAGAAAAAGTATTTTGTTAAAAAAAAACATTTTGTTAAATATTTAGATAATATTTTGTTATTAAAAAAGATTTTGCTAATTATGAAAAATCCATTCAGTTATTAGTAAATATTCTGCTAATTAATTTTTAATTTGATAACTTAAAATTATAATGTCAAAAAGAACTGAAAATAAAATTGAAATAACTAAAGAAAAATAAATTAATAATAAAAAAGCTAAAATAACTAGAAAAAAAAGAAGCTAAAATAACAGGAAAAAATAAAATAACGTAAAGAATTAATAATATTATAATTAAATAAGTTCGACTGATTATAAACAAATTTAGTATTTTTTTTTCGTTATCCTGAAAATTTGAGATTCACTTCGATAAAATTTGCGTATTCATTCTGAGAGCAAATTTAAAATATGAATTTTTTTAAGTGGAAATTTTTTGCCTGAGAATAGCCTTTGGAACATGCTAATCAGATATTCTTAGAAATTTTTTCTTTTTATCTATTTTTCAACATCATAGGTTTACACCAGGTAGTTCAGAATCTTGTACAGAATTTTAGGATCTAAATATAGAGAAAAGGTTCAGGATATTTTTCTTTTCTCTTGAAATGCATTTTTGAATTCAAATTTCTTTTCGACAGTAATTTTTTTGAAAATATTTATATTGAAAAAATATTTATTTGTTCAAATTGAGCGTTTAGAAATTTTTTAAATTTTTTGCTCTATTGTTGTGATTATTATTTTAAATAAATATTTACAGTTATAAATTGATTTAAATGAAAATAATTACAGTAAAAAATTTTTTTCAGCAAAAATTTTTATAGTAAAAATATTTGCAGCAAAAATATTTACAGTAGAAATGTTAATAGTAAAAATATTTAGAGTAGAATTTATTTTCAGTAGAAATATTTGCAGTAAAAAAAATTTACAGTTAAAATGTTTATAGTTAAAATATTTACAGTGTAAAAATGTTTATAGTAAAAATATTTTCAGCAGAAAATTAGAAATATTTGCAGTAAAAAAAATTTACAGTAAAAATGTTTATAGTAAAAATATTTTCAGTAGAAAATTAGAAATATTTGCAGTAAAAAAAATTTACAGTAAAAATGTTTATAGTTAAAATATTTACAGTGTAAAAATATTTATAGTAAAAATATTTTCAGTAGAAATATTTGTAGTAAAAATATTTTCTATAAAAATATTGATAGTAAAATATATTTGCAGTAAAAAAAAATTTACAGTAAAAATATTTTCAGTAGAAATATTTGCAGTAAAAATATTTTCTGTAAAAATATTTACAGTAGAAATGTTAATAGTAAAAATATTTACAGTAGAAATGTTAATAGTAAAAATATTTACAGTAGAAATGTTAATAGTAAAAATATTCATAGTAAAAATGTTTATAGTAAAAATGTTCATAGTAAAAATATTTACAGTGTTAAAATGTTTATAGTAAAAATATTTACAGTAAAAATATTGATAGTAAAAATGTGTTCAGTAAAAATGCTTATAGTAAAAATATTTACAGTAGAAATATTTGCGGTAAAAATATTTTCAGTAAAAATGTTTAAAGTGAAAATATTTTCAGTAAAAATATTTACAGTGAAAAATTGAATTAATCGCAAAAATATTTATATGCTGTAAATTATTAAATGAAAATTTAATTGCAGTTCATGTAGCTTTGAACTTTAAGTTCGAATAAATGAAAGATTTATAATTTTTCATCACATGCAAGTAAACTCATTTTAAAGTGAAGTGATTCTGTGAGCAAAATATATGTTTAGTGAGTGGTTTTCTAGTTTTTTTTTCAACTTCAGAATTCCTCGAACAGGTTTTTACCTTAAAAACTTATTAGCGAAAGTATTTGAAAATTATAGATGTTATAATGAATCGTTTAAAAATTGAGAGATAGAGAGAGAGAGAGAAAAAAAAAATAAGATTTTGTATCTGAGAAAAATTAATTTAATTAATTGTTAATTACGAAATTGTTTATATTTATTTGCTTGAAGATAAATTTTATTTTATTTAAATTTCTTTTTCATTTTAGTTTAACAATTTTTAAAAATATTCAAACAGAAAAATGTTTCGTTTTATTTAAACCTTATTTGGAAAATAAATTGAGTAGAAAATTTTTTAAAGTGCAACAGTTTGCAGTTATATTCTGAAAAGTAGTAAAAAAAAAAAAAGATAAAAAAAAGTGTCGAGAATGTGTCCCTGCACTCATTTACGCAATATAGAGAAGAATCCATTTGATCACGTCATCTCGAATCATTGCTATAAATAATACGGCGTCATGTTCATTAAATGAACGACAATTATCAAAAATAATATTTCTCTATCAAAAAATTTTCACTTGTTCGATATTTTGTTATCAATTACATTTTATTTTACATATATTTTATTCGATATATTTTTTCTAATTATACACTGAGAAAACAAACAACAATAAAGAATGAAAAAAATTTTACCCAGAAAAAAAATTTATTCGAATTAATAATAATTATAATTAGCTAATTAGCTGATTTTATCTATTATCCTAATTATTCGCTAATTTATTAACTAGTCTAATTAGTAATTATTCGTTAATTTATTAATTAGTCTAATTAATTTTCTAATCAATTCTAATTAATTAGTCTAATTCGCTAATTTATTAATTAGTCTAATTTAGTAATTATTCGCTAATTTATTAATTAGCCTAATTAGTAATTATTTGCTAAGTTATTAATTAGCCTGATTAATAATTATTAGCTAATTTATTAATTTAGCCTAATTAGTAATTATTTGCTAATTTATTAATTAGCCTCATTAATAATTATTCGCAAATTTATTAATTAGCCTAATTAGTAATTACTCTATTAGTTAGCTAAATTAATAAATACATTTAACATTAATTACAAGAAAAAAACAGAAAAATGTTACTAAAAGTTAAAGTTTTATTGAATGAGAAGAAAATGAAGATGACAAGTTAAATTTGTACAATTTGTCGAAATGTGCGCAAGATTCTGATCTTGAAAAAAAAATAAAATAAAACGAATTGTCGCCGAGTAATTTGTATGGTGCAATTTAATTAGCAAAAGTGACGAGGAACGATGTAAATGAAGCCATGTATTTAATTCATCAACATAATAAACGAAATTACGTAATTTTATCTCAAGAGTTTTCTGGAGTCAGTGACTCAATAAGAAATCCTGCTAATAGTCTTCGACTTGTTTTTGTCAAATGAATGTATAGATGTATATACATAATTTATAAAAGACGCATTTTCAAAATTCAAACTACGTGAACAATATTTTTAGACTCTCGAAAGTTTCCACAGTGTCGACAAAAAAAAAAAAAAAAATTTTATCACAATTTTCAATTTTTAATATTTATTTATCTATTATTTTTTATTACTATATTATTATATTAATTATTTATTATTTATTATTATTTAATATACATTAATTTTTAATTTCATAATTTAATAAAAATTAATTAATTACATTTTTGCAAAATATTTTTCTTTCTTTTTTATTTGTTATTTGAATAAATAAATTGTTATTTGAACCAATAATTTTTGTCCCCTAGGTTTTGACAAAAAAAAATGAATGAATTAATGAATTAATGAATTAATTAATTAATTAATTAATAAAAAAAAATTAATCGTTTATTAAAAATTACAAAAACGAAAATAATTTTTTTGAAAAAAGAAATTAGTGGAATTCGGAGTGAATAACCCCTTCACTGAAATATTGGGGCAGTGGGTCGAAATGAGTTGATTCGCGCATTTTACCATCCATGAGAATCCATTCACTATAATGTCAGAAACACTTCGCTTAACATCTTTCATTGATTATTCTCTGTTAGTCAGAAAGAAAAAAAAATTTGATTAAATAGAAACAAATTTCCATCCTATCAGTAAAAGTGTTAATGTTTCTTTGAGAAAAAAAAGAAAATAAATAATAATGTACACTAGGAAATTCAAGAGAGTGAACATGTGCGGAAATAAGGTATAATCAGTGAAAGCAACCCGGTGAAACATAGTGTTAAAGGCCTCTGAAAGTCAGTTGTTAACACGATGAATTTTAAATTAAGTCAGGAAACATTACAGTGGAAATGTCGAATCGTGGGAACAATTAAACATTGTGAAATGTAATTTCCAAAAAAAAAAAAAAAAAAAAAAAAAAAAAATAGGAAAAAAATAGTGTCTCTAGAGAAAACTAATCAAATCAAGTCATGATTACAGAATGGGTGAGCTTTTTATATCATTTTTTTCTAGATTCGTTAATTAGTTGGATTTTATAATTAACTTTATTTTAAAACATTTATAATTAAATTTAATTAAATTAAAAAAAATAATTAATTACCCTCTTTATGTATCTCTGTGTATTATATTAATTAATGTTAATTGACATTTTTTAATTTAATTTTTTTATACATAAATTTTTCTTAACAAAATTTATTAATTTCTCTTAACAAACTTTACTAATTTTAATTAATTTCAATTAAATTAATTAATATTTTAATTAATTTCATTATTATTTTAATTAATTTTAAATAATTTAATTAACGTCCTTAAAGAAAACTGTGTTCCTATAAAGTTTTGAACGTTCGAGTGAACTAAATTTATTTATTTCTTCTTCAGATTAAAATTTTTCATTATAATAATTTTGCGTCACGTATAAAAAAATTGATAATAGAGTTTTTAAATATAAAATTTATATTTTTGAACATGTAAATTAAAATTTTATTAAAATTAATAATTTAGAAAAATATTTTTAATTAAAAATACTTCGTTCACCTGAAAGTTAAAAACTTGTGGATCATAAAAAAAAACCAAAAAAGTTTATTGTATTCTCAGACTTTTATTAAATTTGATTTTCTCAAAAGAAATAATATTTAGCTTATTGAAAATTTAAAAACAGCTTTTATTTATATATTATAAAATTTTTCTAATAAATTTCCTTGTTATTTCATTATTTCATAATTCTATTATCAATTTATTATTATTAATAATATTTTTTTATTTATTATTTTATTTATTTATTTATTTATTATTATTTATTTATTTATTTTATTTATTTTATTTATTTTATTTATTTTATTTTATTTATTTTATTTATTTTATTTATTTTATTTATTTTATTTATTTATTTATTTATTTATATATTTATTTATTTATTATTTATTTATTTATTTATTTATTTATTTATTTATTTATTTATTTATTTATTTATTTATTTATTTATTTATTTATTTATTACTAATCTGCAATTATAATTTTTGTATTTATTACCTATATAATTAAGTTATTATTCTAAATAAAAAAATAAATAAAATAATAATTATTTTGTATTATTTAAATTAATTAGTTTTTATTTTAAATAGCAATAACCTTTCTCAATAAAAATATTGAAATGAAAGACATTTATTAAAATTGATCTCGCGGTTGATCTTGATAAATTTGACCTTTGCAGGATGTAATTAGGAAGCTGTGTTATTTAATTGAACAAAAGTGATGTATCTATATCTAGATTTTAGCAGACGACGATTACAATTGATTATAACTTACAATTTTCCTGTTTAAAAGAGATAAGACGAGGTCATTTTGTCCATATTCATAAATACGATTTTAAAGAATAAATTGTCCTTAAACATTGTTACTATATGTTTATACACATAAACGTCAATTTAATTCATGAATTTTTTATCTGAATAATTGAATAGGTCAACTTTGCATTAAATTTTTACAAACTCAAGGCAATGACCTTTTTTCAAATTATTTTTTTTTTCTTTATTTAATTTTTATTTGTTGTTTTTAAATAATTATTTAATTATAAATTAAATTTTTAATTTTCTTCAATAATTTTAATTAAATTAAATTTTGCAATTTGGTTTTCTAATAATTTTCAGTAAATTAACATTTTTCATTTGCTTTTTCAATAATTTTATGCAAAAATTTTTTATTTTCTTTTTTTCAATAATTTTAAGCAAATTAAATTTTTAATTTGCTTTTCAATAATTTTATGCAAATTAACTGTTTAATTTGCTTTTTTTAATAATTATTGTAATTAAATTACATTTTTATTTTCTTTTTCAATTATAAATTAAATTTTTCTTTTTCTTTTTCTTTTTCTTTTTCTTTTTCTTTTTCTTTTTCTTTTTCTTTTCTTTTTCTTTTTCTTTTTCTTTTTCTTTTTCAATAATTATTGTAATTAGATTACATTTTTATTTTATTTTTCAGTTATAAATTAAATTTTTCTTTTTCAATAATTTTAATTTAATTAAGTTTATAATTTGCTTATATTCAATAATTTTAGTTAAATTACATTTTGACATTATAATAATAACTTGAGATAATTTATTTATTTTAATTATTGCTGTTATTAGTTTTACTCCTGATTAATTATATTTTATTTAACTCATTTTCATCTTCGAAAAAAAAATATTTTCTTTTCAATAATTTTTGCAAGAATTTTTAGCTAAAAATATTTTATTTCCAATTTGTAAAAATTTTGTCATTAAGTAAATATTTTGTATTACGATTTGAAATGTAATTAAAAATATTCAATTTAAAAAGTAAATATTTAACAGTAATAATATAATATTCGATAAAAAATTTAATTTTAAAAAATAGTTTTTATTCGGTAAAAAAATTAAATGCTATTGTTTTATATACTATTAGAAATCTAATGTTGATGAAATAATAAATAAAAGTTTGATTATGAAATTTTTCAATTATGTATTTTATAGAATTCCAAAGTGCCAAGAGAGGAGTGAAAATAATTAGACTGCTAATATATATATATATACTTGCCCCTGCCAATAAGACTAGCTTATGTGAATGTCACAAGCATAAATGATATGTGAATTTCATTAATAATGAGCCATCAATATACAATATTTCCTCCTCCATATATTGTATATGAACTCCAATATAAGTGAGAGTATTAAATGAAATTCAAATAATAAAAATTGTTGGCACCTCTTTTAAAACTTCAGTACATAACAATCAATTCGCCAGTTCAATATATACTTCACTCGATATTTTTATATATGAAAAAAAAATAAGAATAATAAAACAAATCGCACTTTAAAATGCGTTGCATAACGTTTGAATTCGTTTTTGAAATTCTTAAGGTAATTTCACGTATTTATTTTTTAACAGTTTAACACTTGAATATTAATTTTATTTCAATTTGTAAATTTTAGTTTTTTTCAGTTTATTTATTTTCTGTATTCGATTTTTATTTTTGACAATTATTTTTTTTATTTTTTTTTGTCTCATTGCAGAAAAATTACTTTCAGTATTTTTGAATACATTCTTTTTTATTTATTTACAATTTTATTTATTTATTTATTATTTATAAATTTATTTATTTACAATTTTAAATATGTTTCATTAGTTTGAAAATATTATTAAAAATATATATTGTAGGAGAACAATTTTTTTGAGAGTTTTAAAAATATTTTGATATTTTTAATAATATTTTAATAAATTATTAATTCAAAAATTAAAGAGTAAAATTGTTTTGTGTTTCAGCTGGACACATGGTTCGGTCGCCCAAAAAAATCGGGTCGAGGGGGTGGTGGTCTTGGTCACAACACCATCCCCCGACCGAATTCTGGCGAAGATTTCAACGAAATCGAACAGCAACGTTCCATGATCGAGAGAATGGATGATGAAACTGTTAACGATCGATTTGAAGAAATGTTGGTGAGTTCTAATTGAAATTGAATCGAATTTATTAAAATTAATTGAAATTAAATCGGATTTATTGAAATTTAATTAAATTTATTGAAATTAATTGAAATTGAATCGAATTTATTGAAATTAATTGAAAATAAATCGAATTTATTGAAATTGAATTAATTTTATTCAAATTGATTGAAATTAAATCATATTTATTTGAATTAAATCATATTTATTGAAATTGAATTAAATTTATTAAAATTAATTGAAATTGAATCGAATTTATTGAAATTGAATTAAATTTATTGAAATTAATTGAAAATAAATCGAATTTATTGAAATTGAATTAATTTTATTCAAATTAATTGAAATTAAATCATATTTAAAGAAATTGAATTAAATTTATTGAAATTAATTGAAATTAAATCGAATTTATTGAAATTAATTGAAAATAAATCGAATTTATTGAAATTGAATTAATTTTATTTAAATTAATTGAAATTAAATCATATTTATTAAAATTGAATTAAATTTATTGAAATTCATTGAAATTGAATCGAATTTATTGAAATTGAATTAAATTCACTTAAATTAATTGAAATTAAATAGAATTTATTGAAATCGAATTAAATTTGTGGAAATTAATTGAAATTGAATCGAATTTATTAAAATTTAATTAAATTTATTAAAATTAATTGAAATTGAATCGAATTTATTGAAATTAATTGAAAATAAATCGAATTTATTGAAATTGAATTAATTTTATTTAAATTAATTGAAATAAAATCATATTTATTGAAAATGAATCATATTTATTAAAATTGAATTAAATTTATTGAAATTCATTGAAATTAAATCGAATTTATTGAAATTGAATTAAATTTATTGAAATTAATTGAATTAAATTTGTTGAAATTAATCGAAATTGAATCGAATTTATTGAAATCAATTAAAATTAAATCGAATTCATTGAAATTAGTTGTTAAATTGAACGAATTTATTGAAACTGAATTAAATTTACTTAAATTAATTGAAATTAAATCGAATTTATTGAAATCGAATTTAATTTATTGAAATTAATTGAAATTGAATCAAATTTATTGAAATTAATTGAAATTAAATCGAAGTTATTGGCATTGAATTAAAATTGAAATTGAATCAAATTTATGTAATTTAAATTTATTTAATCGAAATTATTGAAATTAAATTAATTGATATTTTATTAAATTTATGTAAATTTATTTAAATTAAATATTTTATTGTCGTTGAGAATTAATTTTTCGTAATAAAAAAAAATACATTTTAGTAAAAAAAATTAACAATTACTAATAAAAATTTTCTTTTTTCTTTACAGGCGAACATGAATCTAAATGAAGAGAAAAAGGAGCCACTTCGACAGCAATCGGCGGGAAAGAAAAAGGAAATGTTAATATTGCACTATAAAGGAAGTATTCAGGAGAATAAATCAAAATTCGATAAACCGGCCGATTATATACAGTACTTGGCTCAACCAGATTTAAGTGTAAATAAAATTTATAATTGTGTCGAATCACTTAGAATTGCTCTTACAAATAATACATTGAGTTGGGTGCAAGAATTTGGAACGAAAGGATTAAAACAGGTCCTTGCGACACTCAATGAATGTTACAGGAAGTAAGTTTTACCATTTTTTATTTTTTTCTTTCAAATTGATTCCACAAAATTAAGGGAAATTAAAAAAAAAAATATTTAATTTATATCCTTGTCACTAATTAAAAACAATTTTTTCTGTCATTTCATTGCAGCGCGTTCATTTATTACGATAGGTAATTTTTTCAATTCTATCAATTTTAGTATTGATGAAACGCTATTTTTTATTTATTTTGTTGTTATTGTTTTTACTTCGTTTACTTAATTTTTGTTTTATTTTTATTTTTATTTTCTGTTCCCTTTTTTTATTTTATTTGGACTTTATTTTTACTTCATGTTTAGTTTATTTTTACTTAATTTTTATTTTATTTCTCCTTTTTTAATTTTATTTTTTATTTTACTTTATTTTTATTTTATGTTTATTTTATTTTTACTTTATTTTCACTTAATTTTAATTTCATTTTTATTTTATTTTTACGTTATTTTTTTCGCAGCTTCACAAATTTTTTTCTGCACATTATGTGTTATTTTTTTCACTTTTATTTTAGTAAAAATTTTGTCTTGTATTCATTTTATTATCAATTTTATTTTTACTTTACGAGAAATTTTCTTTGCCAATTAAAAAGAACTATTAAAATTATTTATAAGTTTTTATTTGCATTGCAGTGTTGCATGAAATTTTTACTAACTTTCGAAGAAATTATTCTTAATCTTAAGAGTGATTTCTTATTGTGATATATTTGCAAAATTAAGTAATTTTACTTTTTGCCTCTTCTATAATTTTTCAAATTTAATAATTAAGATGGAAAATAAATTTATCTAAATAATTAGATTCAAAATAAATTTTAAATAATTGAATTGAAAATTATATTGAAATAATTAAATTGAAAGTAGAATTTAAATAATTGAATTGAAAATTAAATTAAAAACAAAATTGAAGACGAAATTGAAATCGTTAAATTCAAAACAAAATTGAAAAGAATTTAATTTTAAGTCTTTGTAGGAATAAAAATAAAATTAATTAATTAAATTACATTGCATTATTTTCTATTGTTATTATTATTATTATTTGCATTTTTGTTGTTAATTTTTGAAATAATAACGTTTTTTTCTGTTAATTTTAGTGACAATCGATACGAACGGATACAGTACGAATGCATTCGCTGTTTAAAAGCTATTATGAATAATACTGTTGGAATAAAAGAAATGTTGGCGCATCATGAAGCATTGACGATAGTCGCCAGATCTTTGGAGCCAAGTAAACCGGCAGTAATGTACGAAGTTGTTAAACTTCTTGGCGCAGTTTGTCTCATTTCGAGTGACAGCCATAAAAAAGTATTAGACGCTATCACAATGAATGGAGAATTTAAAGGTCGCGAACGATTTCAGCCAATTGTTCAAGGACTGATGAATAAAAAAAATGAGAACCTAAGGGTAACGATCCCAATTTTTTTTACAACTCAATATTAGTATATTTTAATATTAAATATTCAAATATTTAATCGTCGTTCAAAATTGAACGACAATATTTTTATTACTTCTCTCAATTTGAATTCTATATTCTATATTTAGAAAAAGGAATTTTTTTTCTTTACGAAATATTATTTATGATTCAAAAAAGTATTTTTTTTTTTACTAAATGTTCAAGTCGAATATTTTTTATTTCAGTCTAGTAATTTTTTTTAAATATTGCATTGCAGCAATAAAATAATTACTTTATGAATAAAATAAAAATATTTTATTCATTTGAACGAATTATTTAAAAACTTTTTTTTGCAGGTCGTTTGTCTACAATTGATAAATTCAATTATTTCATCTGCCGATGATTTGGACTTTAGATTGCATTTGCGAAACGAAATAATGCGAGTTGGATTGGCCGATATTTTGGATACATTGGAGGGCGATGAATCTGAGGATTTAGCGACTCATTTGAAAATTTTTAACGATTATAAAGAAGAGGATTATGAGGAGTTTGTCCAAAGATTCGATCACGTACGACTTGAATTGGACGATGTCAATGATTGCTTCGAGGTTGTTAAGAATATGGTTATGGACACTGTCGCTGAACCTTATTTTCTATCAATTTTACAGCACTTGTTATTTATTCGAGACGATTCCCTAGTACGGTCAGTAGTAGCAAAAACAAATTTCTTTTTTTTCAATTTCTCCAGATATATATTTTTTCAAACTAGAATTTTTAAAAATAATTTTATTATTTTGCTTCCTCATAAAGGAAGCTTTGTATTTTATTTTGTATATATATTTTTATATCTTTATTCTATAATTATTTTTATATCTATTATTTCTAAAATATTTTATACTCTAATTTTTGTTTTCTATTTTCTATTTTTTCTATTTCTCTCTTGTATTCATTAGAGTAGATTTTATTTTACTTCTTTAGAAAAATAAACCATTTAGTGAATAGTAATTTATTTTTACTAATTTTACTGTTAAATATGTTGATATTTTAATTTTATTGTCTGTAGAATTTTTTTATTTTATTAACTGTGGATTTTTTTAGTTTATTGTCTATAGAATAAAAATTATTTATTCTATTCTTCTATTATTTATTCTATTCTCCTATTATTAATTTATTCTACAGGCAAAGTAACAAAATTCTATAGGCAGTAAAATAGGAAAAAATTCTAGTCAATAAAATAAAAATACCGAAATACTTTTTAATATATTTTTTTTTTATTGTTTATAGTCAAATTGTGGAAGAAAGTAATTTTTTGTTTATTTCAGACCGGCGTACTATAAACTGATAGAAGAATGCGTATCGCAAATTGTTTTGCACCGATCAGGATGCGATCCCGATTTTAGTGCAACGAAACGATTTCAAATTGACGTTCAACCGTTAATCGAAACCCTGGTGGAGAAATCAAAGGCTGAGGAGGAACATCGTCTGGTGGAGATGTCTCAAAAATTGGAGGAGGCAATCGCGAGGAAGCAAGAGGCCGAGGCTAAATTGCAACACGCGGAAAATAAAATTAAGGAACTCGAAACTGGACGACCGGTTGGTGGCTCCCCTGGTGTAAGTAAATTAATTTCTTTTTTCTTTTCTTTAATTTTTCAAATTTAAAATATTTAAAATATTCAAATTAACAGAAATAATAAAATTGTGTAATTATACAAATTAAATCGAGTAAATTACAAAAATAATACAATAATTTACTCAGCAAATAATTTTAATTAAAAATTCATTACAATAAATTATTTATTATTTAGAGAATAATTTTAATTAAAGATTAAAAAATTAATAAAAGTAGGCATTTAAATTAAAATATTTTAAATTTGAGTTTTGTTTTAAAATATATCGTGATAATTATTATTTATTTATTTTATATTTGTTTGGAGAATGGAAAAAGAAGTAACGATTGATTTTATTTTTAGAAAATTGGAAGTTGTCCGCCTCCGCCACCAATGCCTGGAATGGGAGGTGCGCCACCACCGCCTCCAATGCCAGGAATGGGAAGGCCGCCTCCACCTCCGATGCCAGGAATGGGAGGTGCACCACCACCGCCTCCGATGCCCGGTATGGGAGGACCTCCACCACCTCCAATGCCAGGTATTTTATTCAAATTTTCCCCTTCTAAAAATATTCAACTAGGGAAAATTGAATATTTTTTACAATTTATTATATTTTTCAAAATATATTTTTGACCATCAAAGTTCTTTTTTTGCCCATCTAATATATTAAGTAGATAAATACTTTATATTTTAAATTTTACTTTTGTCGATCAATATTTTTTTCGTCCATCTATATTGAATAGATAAATATTTTATTTCTTGAATATATTTTTATTCATGAATATTTTTTTTTGCCCGTCTATATTATTTTTATAAATAGTAAAATTTCTTGCGAAAAATTCAATTATTTTTAAACACAATTTTAATAAAAATTTCACAAACGAATACAATTATTTTCTAAAATTTTAATAAATCCTTTGAACAATTCAATTATTCCTTTAAATAGTAAAATCTTTGCAATAATTCAATTATTATCAATAAAATTTCACGAAAGAATTCAATTTTTTTCCTGATTCGTTATAAAATTTTTCAAAAAAATTCAATTATTATCTAAAATTTTAATAAAACCTTCAAACAATTCAATTATTTTTATAAGTCGACAAATTCTTTACAAAAATTCAATTATTTTTAATAAAATTTCACTAAAGAATTCAATTATTGCTTAAAATTTTAATAAATCCTTCGAAACAATTCAATTTTTTTTTAAATAATAAAATCTCTGCAAAAATTCAATTTTCAATAAAACTTCACGAAGGAATTCAAATTTTTTCTTAATTCTTTGTACAATTTTTCAACAAAAATTCAATTATTTTTTAAAATTTTAATAAAACCTACAAATCAATTCAATTATTTTTATAAATCGAAGATTTCTTTGCAAAAATTCAATTATTTTTATTCTAATTTAAAAAAAAAATCATATAAGAATTCAATTTTTCATTATAAAATTTTTCAAACAAATTCAATTATTTTTAACAATTTTAATAAATCGTTCAAAACAATTTTTCGCAGGAATGGGAGGACCAGCACCGCCTCCAATGCCTGGAATGGGACCTCCACCACCTCCAATGATGGGAGGCTTTAGGCCGCCCGCAAATGCTGTTCAAGTCTTGCCACACGGAATGAAGCCCAAAAAGAAGTGGGAAGTGGAAGGACCACTAAAAAGAGCGAACTGGAAAGCGGTAAATATTCCTTTTTTCGAAATAAATTGAATTAAATTTAATTTAATTTAGTTTTCAATACAGAAAAACTTTTTATTTGTTCAAAAAAAACAAAATTTCTAATTATTTATTTATAGTAATGACTGAACGAACCTCTAATTTTTGTACTAAAATATATTTTTATTTATTTTTTTCATTTATTTACACAGATTTTGCCGCACAAAATATCGGAGAAATCGTTCTGGGTGAAAGTTCAGGAAGACAAACTCGCAAGTCCGGAAATATTAAATGGCCTCGCACAAAGATTCTCATCGAAACCAAGTGGCAAGAAAATCGACGACGTTGTTGATAAGTACGAAAACTTATTGCTAATGCTGTCTTTATGATTTTCGTTTATTGTAACAATTTTATTATTTGATTTTATTTTATTTATAACAATAGTTGTATTATTTGACTTTTTTTTTATTTGATTTTCTTATTTTATTTTCTTATTTTTATTTTATTTTTTTTTTATTTATTTGATTTTATTATTTCATTTTATTATTGATGCATTGATGATCGATGCAATGAAAAAGAAAAATAAGAAAAAATTTGTAAAATTTGTAAATAATATTGAAATATATGGTAAAATTTAATTTTAGATCGGCACCAGCGAAAAAGATAAAGGATCTGAAGGTATTGGACAGTAAAGCAGCGCAAAATATATTAATTCTCCTTGGCGGTTCGTTGAAGCACATGTCCTACGAGGATGTCAAAACCTGTTTACTTAAATGCGAAGGTCCTGTTATCTCGGATAATATTCTTCAGGGTCTAATTCAGTATTTACCACCGCCCGATCAATTAACGAAATTGCAAAATTTCAAAGATAATTATGACGATTTAACGGAGGCCGAGCAATTTTGCGTGACGGTAAATATTAAAGCCATTCATTTTTAAATATCGAAGAACGATTTCAAATTTTTAATTTTTCACTAATTACGAATTTAAAATTTTTAACTATCGTTTTTTCAAACAATGAAGAATTTTAATTATAATAATTTAATCTTTATTATATTTGTCATATTTTATTTTTTCATATTTCCAATATTTATTTTTTATTTATACTTTTCAATTTTTCAAACTTATTATTCAATTCAATTATTTTCAATTTTATTTATTTTTTAATTTTCACTAATTTCCCTCTTTTGAAAAATGGGTATTTTTGTAATTATTGGGAATATTTATTAGGCTTGAAGATTTCGATCAGTAAAATAATGAATTAATAAATATTAGAAATTAATTTGATTCATTTTGTTTTTTTTTAATTCTATTTAGGTGTCGACGATAAAGCGACTACTTCCAAGACTGAGATCGTTGAGTTTTATGCTACGATATGAGGAATTGGTCCAGGACATCAAACCAGATATTGTGGCAGGAACAGCAGCCTGCGAGGAAGTGAAGGGAAGTAAAAAGTTCGCGAAAATTCTCGAATTAATTTTACTTCTTGGAAATTACATGAATTCAGGCTCGAAGAATGGTCAGGCTTTTGGCTTCGAAATCAGTTTTCTCACCAAGGTTTGTCCATTAATTTTTTAATTACAAAAAAAATGCACAAGAAAATAAATAAAAAAACATTTTAAAAAATTGATATTTAGAAATCAAAGTAATTTTTAATGGAAAAAAATAAAAGTGATTTTTAACTAAAAAATAAAAGTGACTTTTAGCTAAAAAAAAAAAATGTGACTTTTAACTAAAGAATAAAAGTAATTTCTAACTAAAAAATAAAAATAATTTCTTTCTTCATGAAAACGGAAATTATTTTCAGTTGACGTCAACGAAAGATATCGACAATAGGCAAACTTTGATGCACTACTTGGTGGATACAATAGAGCGAAAGTTTCCAGACTGTTTGAATTTTATGGAAGAATTGACTCACGTTGATCGAGCGAGTCGCGTATCCCTGGAGAATATTCAACGAACACTTCGGCAAATGGAGAGTAATATCAAAAATCTCGAGCAGGACGTTGTCAATGCAAGAATTCCTCAAAGCGATCAGGATCGTTTTGCCGACGTCTTGACTGTATCCTTTTCTACAAAAATTTACTTTTACTTTTAAATATTTAAAAATTAATTGTTTCGATTAATTTTTTAATCGAAAAATTTTTAGTTTCGATTACAATTTTCATGAAAAGATAAACTTCAAAAGGTTTTTAATTTGAAATTTTATAAAATTTAAATTCTGAATTAATTTCATTAGAAATTTAAAAAAAAACACTAAAAACTAAAACACAAAAAAAATTGAATTTTGGAGAAGTTACAAATGATTGCAGAAATTCAATTATTTTCAAAAGTAATAAAATTCTTCGTAGAACTTTAATTATGTTGGGAAATTTTTTAAAAATTCTAGTGAAAATTTCAATTATCTTTATAAATAATAAAATTCTTCTCCGAAATTCAATTATTCTCAAAAAATTCCCTCAATTCAATGATTTTTTATATTTATTATTTTAATACCATTTTCCAAACACATTCAATTATTTAAAATAATTTTAATAAAATTTCACGAAAACATTAATTTATTTTCATAAATAATACAAATTTCACAGGAATTCAATTACTAACAAATTTTTTATTATTATTATTCTTAACGATTTGCAATAAAATAGCCATTTTCGAAAAAAGCCAGAGAATCTTATGAGGTGATGCAAAATATGTTCAAAAACATGGACACTATCTATACGGAAATATCGGAATTCTTCGCTTTCGATAAGCAAAAATGTACAATCGAAGAATTCTTCGGTGATATTAAAAAGTTTAAGGACGACTTCACGGTAAATATTTAAATATTTCTAAAAAATTATCCTGGATGAAGTTTTTAATCTTTAAAATTTGATTTCTGTTTTTAATTCTATTTGTGATTAATTTTTTTTTTTTTTGCAGCAAGCGCAAAAGGAAATTGTAAAAATGCGCGAATCAGAAGAGAAACAGAGAAGAGCAAAGGAGGCGCGCGAGAAGGCGGAAGTTGAAAAAGCGGCACGTGCCGAGAGAAAACGTGCATTAGTCGATATGAACGCGCACGAAACTCAGGAAGGCGTTATGGACAGTTTAATGGAAGCACTTCAAAATGGTTCGGCATTCAGTCGACCCGATCAACGTCGCAAACGTCAAACTCGCGTTGCTGGTGGTAAGTTTAAACTCGTCAGAAATATTCACTCAAACAGTGTGACAATAGTAAGACGAAAATCTAGCGTTCATCGTAATTTCACGCGTATCGCACCAAATACAATGTCAAATGTAGATAGCGACGATTATTTTACACCCGACGATCAAAATCAACAATTCATCAAGAATTTAATATTCAAAGAGGCAATGAAAACGCCAAGGAAAAATAATAATAAATCGAGACTTGAAATTGTCGATTTTATACGTAAGGAGAAATTTTTTACACCCGAGGAAAATCAGAGTAGAATTAAAAATATTTTATTAAGTCATGCTGAGAAGGCGCCGAAAAAGAATGATGTGATTTATAAAATGAGTCGAATTTTTAAAAATAAAACAACTGATTCCCTGATTTCTAACTCTGAATTCGAAGAGACGCCGCGAAGAATTTGTTCTATTTCCACAAATTCAACGCAATTGAGTAAAAATTACGATTTTCACACTCCATCGGCAAAGAATTATTTAACGGGACAAAGAAACAAATCGTATGATTCGGTGATTAAAGAATTGAAAATTACAATGCCAGATGCAAATGAATTGAATCCAACGGAAAATGTAAGAAAAGTATTTATCGTCGGTAAGAGAAAGAAGAAAAATAGTTTTATTCGACGAGCTATTGTTAATCGAAGGAAAAATTCTCGAAATCATAAAAGATCATTGAAATTATTGTCTGATAATAATATTCATTATCATGATAATTATCATGATGAATTTACAAGTAATAATAATCTTGATGAGAATGAGAATTTTTTCACGCCAAATCGATTTTTCTTGGGAAAAAATTCAAATTATGATAACGATATTGATGATGATGATGATGATGATAGTGAATTGAGAGAAAATTCTTCTTCTCTTGCTGTTGTGAATAATTATCATGGAAAATTCTCACCGATTGCTAAACATTATAGGGGATCGATTACATCGCAGAGTAGCGAGGAAAAAAAGAAAACTTGGAAATTGTGGAAAAAATTGGGTGATTCGGCAAAGAGTGTTAAACGAAAATATAATGTCAAGCAAACCACTGAATCTGAAATTGGAAAATAGAAATTGAAATTATTTTTAGACTTTTTCAAAATTGAATGTAATTTGTTTTTTATTTTATTTCTGAAACGATTTATTTTTATAATTATTTTTTGATGTTTTTGAAATAATTGAATTTTTTGTTGTAACTTTATTTTTGGGGAATATTTTTTTAATATTTATTAATTAATTTATTGCTTGCGCAGTTTTTATAGAATTTTGATAGAAAATTTTTTTTACAAGAAGATATTTTTACGTATTTTTATACATTTCTGTACATATTTTTTACCTATTTTTACAATATTTACTTATTTTTACATATTATTTACTTTTTTTACAAATTTTTCTACGTTTTTTACTTTTTAAAAAAATATCTGATTTTTAAAAGTCAACAATAGTGAATCGAAATTTATAATTACAACTGTCATGGAATTTTTGACACTAACCGATGAATTGAGAAATAAAAAACAATTTTTTATTATTGATTAATTTTTTTCGAAGAGAATGTATAAAATGCATTGCAATTGGAAAATTTGCAGTTTATCGATGAGAATTATGTGATAATTGCAAAAAAAAACTGTAAGATATGGATAATTTTGTGGATTAAATTTTGAGATTATTCGGATTTTCGTTGCAAAAAAAAAAAAGATAATTACTGAATTAAAAGTAAAGAAAAGAAGATAGAATTGAGTGAGGCATTTTTTTGTGATTTGTTTTTTAATTTTTTTGTTTGTTATTCGACATCAAAATGTTTTTATTTTTGCGAAATGTATCAAGAATCTTGTACGAACACTTGTCAAACACATGAATTATTTATTAAAATTATTTTCAGAATTTTTTTCGTTTTTTTTTTTTATTCAATTGGAATTAGTTGTTTGTTGGTAAAATCTATTTTATTATTGTTTCTTAATTTTTTTTTCTATTTTGTAAATTTTATTCATTGTTTTTATATTTTATTTATTGCTTTTTACTTTAAATTTTATTTCTTAAATGTTTTTTATTTTTAATTTATTGTTATTTGATTTTTACTTTGTTGTTTTGTAAATTTTGCCATTTTTTATTATTTTTATTAAAAAATTTTATTTCATTTTATTTTACTTATTTCTTTTTACAGTAAAGTTTTCTATTTTATTTATTGTTCTTTACTGTCAACTTTTTTATTTTATTTATTTGTTTTACTGTAAAATTTTTTATTTCATTTATTTGTTTTATTGTAAACTTTTCTATTTTATTTATTGTTCTTTACTTTGAAGCTTCTAAATTTTGTTTATTATTCTTCACTGTAAGGTTAATTACACTTTACAGTCAATTTGTTTTTAATTTTGTTTATTGTTTTTTATTTTGTTTTGTTATTTACTGTCAATTATTTTTTTTAGTATTTTACTTTTTTGTCTATAAAATTTAATCTTATTATTATATTTATAAATTATATTTTTATACTTTTAATAATTAATCTATAAAAATTCTGGCTAAAATATTAATTTTTTTTGCAATTATTTTTTTTATATTTTACATTTTTTGTTTGTTTATTTATAATATTATATATTTTATTTATTAAATATTACGTAATAAATACAGTTTGTTAATTAAATTCTACGTAAGAAATATATTTTATTTTTAATTTTTTGTGATAAATTGAGAGAGAATAATTTGTCACTTAAAGAGAAAGAGTATTTTGCGTCCGATAAGAATTGTGTGTAACGAATAATTAAACGAATAATTACTAGATTATCGTTTCGGTTGGTAAATTGTTCGCAATTGTTTTCATTTGTCACTTAATCGTACATGTTTGCCAGATACAAATTAGTGTTTTTAATTGCTTTGTGTACATTTCGTCATCAAATACCTACGAACGAATTAATTTTTCAATTTAGTTTTTTTTTTTTGCGTACGTAGATGAATATTAATTAACGGAATTTTTAAAAAATACCAATTAAATTAATTTAGAATATTATTAATTAATCGCAAATTTTTGAAAATTGTTTCTAATTAATTAAAATTTCACAGCTGAGAGAAGAGCACAACTTAATAGATCACGATCACGCACAGGATTGGTCGGAACAGGATTATTAGGAAGAGAATTATCAACGTGAGTAGACAATTTTTCTTGTCCAGTATTATTATAAACAATAAATAATTAATAATATTATTATAAATAAGAAAATTATTAATTATGAGAATAAAAATTGAAACTTGTATTTTTTAATATTTCCTGCAATTTTTTTCTTAAAAAAAAAGTAACAAGTAAGAAAAATAAAATAAATATTGGAAAAAATTGAAAGAAATATTTTTAAATACTAATTTGCAATTTTTATTTTTATAATTTATATTTTTTGTTTTGATTTTTGGGGAAATGTTTCAGTAACAGAAAAATTTAAAAGTACTTTTTTTCCATTCAGTGAATTGCTGAGTTCGGCGTAACAAGAAACGTGATGCTGTATCCGTCCTTATTTCAATGCTGTGATGTTATACGCTTCATGATAAATGAAACAAATTGTTTCTTTTGTTTTTTTTTTCTTCTTGTCAAGAGGATAAAATTTTTTTTTTGATGTGAACATTTTAAAAGCGCAAATGTTCGAGAGGTACTAAAAAAACAATTTTTGTGTTCATCTAATTAACACAGGGCAAAAAGAAGAATAGAAGTCAATACAGTCTTCCTTTCTTTCTTTCATTAATTTTTTTTTCTTTCCAAACGAAAATTCGTGACAGTGAAATTTTTTGCCCCGCAAAAATTCACTACAAAGTTTATTTTTTGTAAAAAAAAGTTTTAACTATATCTGGATATAATATTCTCCAGATATAAAAAGAAATGTAAATAACATTGTACACGAATATATTTTTTTTAGCAACGCGAATTACAAGAACCGATAATTTTTTATATCAACATTTTTATAAGGTGCATTTTTTTTTATTTAATTTAAAAGAAAAAAGTGTTGAAATAATAAAAGCGGTGCCTAATAAATTTACAATAAATTTATTTATTATTATTTTTTTGGACGCAGAATTTTCTGCGAATTTATTGTGATAAAGATATAATTTTTTAATTTAATTTTTTTTACCGATATTGTAAGACTTTTTAAAGTTTACAGTTCGTATTTTTCGAAATTTTACACATTTAACATTCGCAAACTATTTTGATACACTAAATTTATTTATTTATTTTCTTTTTTGAAGAAATTTGAAAAAAAAATTACGTTTAAATGACCAATTTTTCGTCTACCTCAGAAAATTTTTTACTAATGAAAATTTGGTCTTTTAAAAAACACCATCGGGATTAAAAAGTAAGAGGAGAAAAAAGAATCAAAATAGAAGAGAAAAATTAAGCGGAAATAATTGAATAAGATAGTTTAAAAAATATTTTTATTTTAAATAAACTATTTATATTATAAATACAAATATTCTATTATCACGTATAATGATAAAAATGACAATTATCAATATAGGCAGACCCGCGAAAGAAAAACTAAACTTTTGGTCTGAAATTCGAATCTTCAGTCTTTAAAAGTTAATATTAATATAATTATATATGTAAATAGTAAAAACGCATGAATCGAATATTTAATTCAATAATAATTAATTAAATAATTATTAAAGTAGTGAAAAAAAAGTTGAAAAAAACGTTGTGAATATTAAGTTTAAGGATAAATAGGAACCGCAGTGACCTGAAAGAAAAATTTATTTTAATTTAAGAATTTAAATTAGATAATTTGTTATACTTTCACATTATGGAAACTCAGCGGTGAAAAATTTTGTACAATATTGTATAAAAATGAGAAACTAATTATTAAAAAAAAAAGAAAAGAAAAATAAGTGTCTTTTAATATTTATATTACAAGTTTTCTTCTAGAAAAAAAAATTGATGAGTGAGGGAATTTAAATATTCGATTTTAAATGAACTTCAAGATCGAGATCTGATATTGAATCGGGGGGAAGAATACGATTATTTGGTACATTAAATCTTCCACAAGCTCTATGAGCTTCATGTTGTATTATAATTTCATTTGTTATATAAATTTCCCGACGAATTCGCTTGCGAAGTGAATTACTCATGTCGGGAATAATCCATCTGACTAGAATCATGACGAGAGCGACCACATTCTGAAAATTGGGAAATTTCAAATTAGATTGGGAAAAAGAATTGTTTTTTTCTGTTTTTTTATTATTCGTAATGAAGAAAAATGTTCATTAATAAAAATTATTATAATATTATTAATATATAAATTATTAATGAAATAACTGGGAAAATATTTCGAAAGCAGAAAAAAGGAAAACATATTTTTTAAGAGAAAGTGTGAATTATAAAAGAAATTACCTCAAAGACGACAACAAAAGCGAGTCTCGCTGCTAGGATATGCCAAAATAAATTTGTGTATTGATATTTATTGACTGAATTCGGTGGTTCCCGATAATCTGGATAATAGCAATTGTTTATGTGATTATTCAATTCAATCATTGGTCGAGATTCATTTTTAAAGTCACTAGTGTTGAAATTTGACAGTGAATGCTGCAGAAATCCACTCAGTGAATAATCTTTCGAGATTGTTAATCGATAAACCAAACGGGGAATGAAATTCGATGTGAAGGCGAGGATGAAGGCCTGTATTTGGAAAAATTAATTAATTAATTAATTAAATTATGAATTAATATTAATTAAATTCAATTATTTTCATGAATTTTAATATAAATTCAATTATTTTCGACAAATTTGATGAAAATCTTTTTAAAAAATCATTGTTTTCAAAATTTTTAATAAATTCCTTCATAAATAAGAAAATTTTCTGCAAGAATTAAAATATTTTCATAAATAATAAAATGTTTCGGAGGAATTCAATTATTTTTAATACAATTTTAATGAAATTTCACGAAAGAATACAATTATTTTTAAAAATATTATTTAAATTTAATTATTTTCAAGAGTTTAAATAAAAATTCAATTATTTTTATTAATTATAAAATTCTTGACAAGAATTCAATTATTTTCGTAAATAATAAAATTCTTCTGAGAAATTCAATTATTTTCAATACAATTTTAATAAAATTCCACATTTAAATTCAATTATTTTCAAGAGTTGTAATAAAAATTTAATTACTTTCAACAATTCTGATAAAATTCTTCGAAACAATTCAATTATTTTTGTGAATTCTAAAATCCTCCGAAAAAATGCAATTATTTTCATAAATAATAAAATTCTACAAAGAAATTTAATTATTTTCATAAATAATAAAATATTTCGGAGGGAATTCAATTATTTTCAATACAATTTTAATAAAATTTCTTGAAAGAATTCAATTATTTTAAAAATATTATTTAAATTCAATTATTTTCAATAGAATTTTAATACAATTTCTAGGAAAAAATTCAATTATATTCAAGATAAATTCAATTATTATTTTTAAAAATTGTAATAAAATTTTTCTAAACAATTCTCAAAAAGTTTTTTTAATAGAAGTTTTATTCTGAAAAGTTTTTAATAAAATTCTTTGCAAATTTAAATTATTTTCAAATTTTTCGATAAAAATTGCAAGAATTCAATGATTTTCAGTAGGTAAATTAATTTTAAAATTAAAAACATTTAAAAAGGAAAATTATTTCAAAAGTTAGTAAACAAAAAAGCAAACAGCAACTAATTTAAAACTGCGAACAGATTACCGGACTACAACGATGTTATTAATAAGGTTAGTTAATCAATAATAAATAATTAAAAAATTAATAAGTAAAAATAAATCGAAATAATGAATTAAATATTAAAATTTGTATAAATATGGTTTAATTTCTCTCAAATTTGTAATAATTTCTTACGTTCGTAACTGCCGACAGTTTCGATACAGAATCCAAAATTTTGTACCAAATTCCAATGTTTCGCACTCTTTGTCCAACGGGTCTTCTGTACAGGGTCAAAAGTTTTTTCGCGTCTAATCGCATTTCTAAAATGTTGTTAATTAGGGCGCAAAATGGTGCTAATGGAAATGCGGCGACAAAAATAGTTACAAATCCATATTGTAAGACTGAAAAAGAATTCATCGAAAAAATAATTTTTACTTGAATGAATAATAATCGATTTTAAGGAATTTCTATCTTTTCTATTTTTATTTCAATTTACATTTTCTATTGTTCATTTCTAATTTCTATTTTATATTTTTATTTTCTATTTCTATTTCTGTTATTCATTTTTTATTTTCTACTTCTATTATTTGTATTTCTATTTCTATTTCTACTTCTACTTCCACTTCTACTTTTTATTTTATTTTCTATTTTCCATTTTTTATTTCAATTTTTTATTTCTATTTCAATTTCTATTTTCTATTTCTATTTTTCATTAATATTGTTAATTTAAATGTAAATATAAAAACAGAATTTTCTATTTATCTTAAAATTGTCAATATTCTATAAATCTTCGAATTGAGAAAATAAAAAGCAAAAATCGAAAATTGTAATAAAAATAAAAACTCACCCATTTCTAAATACTCGGGAAATAAACTCCTTGGTCCCCAATTGACGAGTTTATAATCTCTCACCCATGGGAGAAATGTTCTTGAAAAATGTTTTCTACCCTTTCTCGCCTCTTTACGATTCATATGAACTTTCACTGTATTCAACCACTTGAAAAATAAGGGAAAAAGCATTTCTAAAACTGTATTCATCGCCTGTTTTCCAATCATTATTATACTCAATTGAATGCACAGTTCCATTAAACATCCACCGGGTCCACATTCCTCCTGACGATTTTTGAAAAAGAGATTATAATTTCCCGGATAGCCGACAAATTTCCCCTTGAAGAATGCTATGTAAAATATTGACGCATAATAATTCACAAATTCGAGGAGATAGATTTTCAATGTTAAACTGTCGTCGAATTCTGTTTGCGTCCTTGGTAATTCTATCTGAAAAAAAATTATTATAAAAAAATTATTTACATTGAAAAGAGCCTTTTATTTCTATTGAATCGTAATTTAAAAATTTTTTTTAATTTCAAAAAGGAAAATTCTACTTCATATCGAAATTTTTAACTTGATGAGCAAAATTTTTAGTTATTTTTTAATTTTCGAATCTTTAGTTTACAAATTCAATGTTTAAATTCGTGTCTGAAATTGAAAAATCAAATAATAAATTTGAAAAAAGATTATTTTCTATACTCATTATTGAGAATATTTTTTATTTTCTAATTTTATTTTTACTTTTTCAGTATAATTATTATTGATATTTTTGTTTATGTTTTTAAAAATTACCTCCGTTAAATATTCCGCTAACCAAATATAAATCCAATTGAAGACAATTATGCAACATAAATTAATGCAAGCTGCAGTGGTTGTTGTAAAAATAATTGCATAACTTGTGACTGACGGATGACCATAGACACTGAGGGCTGACAAAACTGATACTCTGTATAAAACAACTCCCAAAACTGCTGCCATTGCCACTGCTATCTAAAATTAAATTTTTTGTTATTTCTTTTTTTTTATTCACCAATCAATTTTTTATTTCATATTATTAAAAATTAAAAGAATAGAATACCAGTAGTAAAATAACAGAGAAACTAAGAATAGTAGCTGGCAATTTGACTTTCCAGAATGGAACCTTCGGCTCAACAGAATTGGTGATTAAATTCACTTTTTTCTTTTTCACGTGAGCAAGTCGAGCCAAATATTGCGGTCGTGGATGCTCCTCATGAACATCCAAACTCGTCAAATCCCATCGATGAGTTATTTCCGCCGAATATTTTTTCCATAATTCCAAAAACAGGGTCGCTGCGAAAAATCGAGTAATAAAATAAATATATTAGTAATGATAGTTCTTCAAGAATTAAGTTATTTAAAAAGAAATTATTGTAAAAGAGGAACAAAAAATTGCCGAAAAATTTGAAAAATTAAAAATAGTTACTTAACATTGAAATTAAATTTTTTTTAAAAACTGAATAGTTTACGAGTGTAAAGATACAAACCCCAGATTGACATGAAGACGGCAAAAAATACAGTCGCTGGATTATCGAATAAATAAGTGACTCTTGCGTGAAAACATGTCTCGCTGAGATCCCAATATCGACAATAATGATCGCAGAGAGGACACATTTTTATCGTTAAATTACGACTGCAAATATCCTCACTCGGTTCATTTGAATTCAACGTTAGACATCCGTAGAGAAAACAAAGAACACCGACAATACTCGCCGGTATTAACATATAAGTGTAAAATCCAAGCCAAGCGAAATATAAACCAATTTTCACTCCAAAATATTCCTTCACATAGTCAAGTGGCTGATAGTGAAGGCATTTTTTCACATTCGCCCATTCTTTGTACAGCAAAAAGCGCATTGATGCCTCATTCTTTAAATTGCCCTGAAAAATATTTCCCTTTAGAAATAATCTCATCAAAATTTTTTCTTAAAAAAATTATTATTTATAATTGAATCTAAGAAAATTGATCAAATAAATAAATGTTTTCCAAAGATTCAATTTGATTCAGAAAAATATTATCAAATTTGGATAAAACTCATTTCTTTATTCAATTGAGAGAAATTTATAAAAATTCAATTTTTAATTAGAAGAAAAGAGAATATTTAATTAAAAGAAAAGAGAATATATTTACATCGTGCAGTGGATAAGCCGAGTCGTAAGCCTTCTCCGAAATAAGTCTATCAATGCCAAATGCAAATTCATCGATATCGTCGGTAAATTTAGTTCTATCGAGTATAAATTGTACAATTCTTGATTTTGTCGATGAGGTGAAAAATTCGTCTGAATTTGTGTCAAATAAATATTCTTTATCACGACTATAGACGGCATTGAAACGATGTTTCATTGTTGGAAATATATTTGCATTCACATAATATCGTTTCATTAATCGATGAAAAATTGAATTCATTTCGTCGATAATCACATTGCCACGAGTTGGTGGTAATTGTCTCAATAATTGTGGCACATCCTTCATTGGTAGTCGGAGTTTTAGAATTTCCGCATATCTTCGCAATACTTCACGCGGTGCGTGAATCTTTATGAAGCACAATCCATTTCTCTCCGGTTGTTCGTATTCAAATTCGAGACCCTCGGCCGATAGATTTTCTTCGAATTTCTGAAGATTCAAGTTTTGGGATTAATTTCTTTTTTCATTTTTTCCTTTCATTTTTCATTTTTTTAGTTAATTTCTAACTTAAATTGTACCTTTATTAAATTTCTGATTTGTTAATTTATTTTCTAATTTTTTTATTTGACTTCTAATTTTTTTAAAATTTAATTTCTAATTTCTTTAACTTCCAAGTTTTTAATTAATTTCTTATTTTTAATTTTTTAATCAATTTCTAACTTTTTGAATTAAATTTCTAATTTTATATTTAACTTCTAATTTTTTAATCAATTTCTAACTTTTTAAATGAAATTTCTAATTTTTTTATTTAATTTCTAATTTCTTTATTTAAGTTCCAATTTTTTAAATAATTTCTTATTTTTCAATTGAATTTCTAATTTTTTAATCAGTTTCTTATTTTTTTAATTAAATTTCTAATTTTTTTTATTTAATTTCTAATTTCTTTATTTAACTTCTAATTTTTTGTTAAATTTCCATTTTTCAATTTAATTTCTAATTTTTTTAATTAATTCTTTAATTCAAAATTGATTATTTATAATATAAGTGGAGATCAAATTTCCTCAATGCGGATTTAACTTTTAGAGAGCAAAATCAAGTAATAATCGAATCGAAATTAATTTGGGCCAAAAAAATTTAAAAACTGATTATTAAGAAATAGTTTATAAATAATTTTTTCATTCTTACCCTTCGATATTTTTGGTGCGGATAGATCATCGCATCCTGATCGAATTCATCATAGACGAGGACGAAATCAATGCTACGAATTTTGTCCCGGAAGTATAAATTCGGATCTTCCTGTAAATATTCGAAAATTAATTAGAAATAATTCTAAATTTTCTATTTTTCTGTTTTTCTTTTTTCTATTTTTCTATTTTTTGTTTTTCTATGTTTCTATTTTTCTACATTTCTTTTTTTCTACTTTTTCGAATTAAAATAGGAAACAAATAAAATTTTTAATTTAAATTAAGAATAAAATTATAATTGATTTATTTAATTGTTTCCAAGCATGAAAAATGTTTCTAAATCTAATTAACAAAATAAATTTTAAGAAAATAATTTGAATATTACAATTACCAGATCCGAAAATTGATCATTCAGTTTACAATCTTGTTGTAAATCCTCGTGCATTGTTTCGTAACTTTTCCGAATTAATTCACAATCTTTTTGATTTAATTGATTTTCAATAATTAGAATGTTTTCCTCCTTATTGACCTCGTGAAAATCTAAACAACTGTTGAATATTGTATCTTGTGATGATCTCGCAGAATTGAACGAATTCGATTGTGAACCTGTACTTCTGCGCTCGCGCTCAACATTGCTCTCTTCATCTTCTTCCATTTTTTATTTACAAACAGTCTTTCGTCCTTATTCTGTAATGAAACGACAAAAACACTCTTATTAATTAAAAATTTTGTAAACACAATTTAATTTAATTTAATTATTTCACAAATTTATTACATATTTTTATTCTCGAGTAACTAATTCTTGTCGTGAATTAATTTTGCGGCTATTTTATTTTTTCTCTCTTTTTCAGACTCTTGTAGAAAAAAACAAATTTATCTGTAAATTATTATATAAAATAATAATCTGGTGAATATAATTTCATTATCAATCGGAATTTTTGGTTTAATTGATAAGAAAAATGAAAAAAATACAGTTTTTGAAATACAACAAAAAGTTTAATTATTTCTATTTACTTTTATTTAAGAAATTATTATTAATTGATTAGTTAACTAAACAATTAATTAATAATTATAAAAGGAAATGATTAATTAATATCAGTTATTCAATTACAATAATTGTTGTCCAATTTTGATAAATATTACAAAGTTTTGTAAGAAAATATTTTCGATAAAAAATTATTAGGAAAAAAATATTTTCAATAAAATATTTTTCGATATAAGATGTAAATTAATAACAAATTTCTTTTTCCAGTAATAATTCCAATTTCGAACAATAATTATTGTACAATTTAAAATTAAAAATATTACAATTTTTTGTAAGAAAATATTTCCGATAAAAAAAATTTTCGAAATAAAACATTTTTCGTCATAAAATGAAAAAGGTATAAAATTTTTTCAAATTCTTTTCTCTTTTAATTTTTTTAGATTATTTATGTTAAATGTTCTTTTTTCTACACATTTTAGTGACAACAGTTACGTTCCTGAAATGTACGAAAAGTAAGTAAATAAATATAATTATATACACTGAGTGTAAGATTTAATTTTTTTTTTTTGTTTGCAAATGATGTAACAGAAAATTGAATTTTTTTTCTTTATCTTTGTTACAGGAAAGAATTTGATTTTTCAAAAATAAAAAAAAAATACAACTCACCCCAGTAGGTTGAAAATAAAATAAAGCAGAATGTGTTTCTGTTTCTCGAATATCCTCAGATGAAAATAGCCGTAGAACTTGTGTTTTATCCAAAAATAAATCGGACGCTGTTGCCATTACAAAATCAGATCGTCGAAACAAATAGACATTATTTTGGAGTTTTTTCATTTTTCTATATGAAACGAAAGCTCATTCCAAGCTTATAGAGTTGATCAATCGGCTGCTTAGGTCATAGGAGCGGAGCTTTATAGGGAGCTTAATTTAAAGCCACATGGACGTTAAAGAAAAAAAATTAACAATTCTCCTGGAAAGTAACTAAATTAAAATTTTATTAATATTTGTAATTAAAAATTTTTAGGTAACACCATTTTATTCAAATTCAATTTTATTCAAATCAAACCAAAAGAAACGAAAAATTGTTTTAAAAAAGGAAAAAATAGAATAGAATTCAATAAGTTTTGATCGAATGAAAATTTAAAATAATCAAAAAACTGAAAAGTAGAATTAAAATTTCCTTTTTCGAGAAATAGTTAAATTTTTTATTCAGTTTATAAAAATGATAAGTTTTTTTTATACATTTCTTAATATTAAATGTTATTAATATTTTCTGAAAATTATAATATGATAATGTATATATTACATAACAATTTTTAATAAAATTCTTAATTCTTTTAATTAATCTTTATAAATAGAGGAATTTTATAATTCGCAGCATTTTCTTTTTTTGTATAGTGTAAAAAAAATATCAGACAAGACAATTTTTTAAATATTAATAATAGATTAAATTGTCTGTGTTTGTTTTTATCAGATTCTATACTTCCTGCAATAAATTAAGTTCATCCTCTCCAGGACAAAGTACTGAATCAATATTGTAGAAACTGGCGTGAATCGTTATCAAAAAACAGGAAACACCTGCGAAAGGAAAATTACTTTTCGATTTAATTTCATTCATTGGCGGGAGATTTTATTTTGCCTTATTGAATTAATTGCAAAAATATATTTAATTTAATTCAAATATTTTATGTAGTTTATAATTTATAATTAATGCTAAATAAAAAAAATCGTTTAGTTCAACTTTTTCATTTTATTTGATTTTAGGTATTTCTTTCAAATAATAATTAATAAAAAATAATCGTTCGTATTGATACTAAAAAATATTTTAAAAATAGGCAAAGGAAAAAATAACAATTGAATAAAAAGAATAAAGGAAAAATTATTACCGAGTACCCAGAAGATCGCACCTCCAGCGCCGACTAAATAAAATAAAGGAAGACAACATATTCCAATCACGGTGTACACTTGAGGAAGAGTTAATTTATTGTTAAAAATAGTGGTGTGTCTTTGTGAAATTTTGTAGCAAATTCCAACTGATCCTGCCACGGCAACTAACAGCAGTGGAGACGTTATTCTAAATTACGTGAAAGAAAAAGGAAAATTATGTATAAATTAAAAAGTTTACGTATAAAAGCAACTTAATCTAATATTCTCATTATTTTTTTATAATCAGAAAATAGAGAAATACTTAAGAAATAATAATCTATATTATTAATAATCGTATTTCGGTAATTTATTCAAAGTTTGAAGTTTGCTGTTTGCTTTTTTGTTTCCTAATTATTTGAAATAATTTCCCTTTTTAAATGTTTTCAATTTTAAAATTAATGTACCTACTGAAAATCATTGAATTCTTGCAAAGTATTTATCAAAAAATTTGAAAATAATTAAAATTTATAGAGAATTTTATTAAAAACTTTTGAGAACAATTGAACAATTGATATTTGCTAGTAAAAATAATAAATACTAAAAATACTTATAAATAATAAATAAATAATATGAAATTACTTACAGAACGTAAACAATGAGGATGATTGACACAAATAAATAATTACTTTGGAAGTACTCTAAATTTTTCAATACTCGTTTACTTAATCTTGTAATACTTGGCGGTGGTCTAAAATTATTGCTATTTAAAAATAATGCCCATGGTTTGACATTAGCCTTCTTCTGTTGTACCCATTCTTGAGCCTGGGGATAAGTAATTTGCCCCAGTGGTGGAAGAGCAAGTTGTGAAAAATCGAATCTAAAGAAATTGAATTAAATTCTAAATTAAAAATAGAATTAATAATAAATAAATTATTATTATATAATTTACATATGCTACTTATATTTTCAAATATATACTTTTATCTAACTATTATCAAAAGGGTAAACAAATACAATATTCCTATTTATTTTGCGTTGAAATTACATTTGACATATGGAACTTGGAAATATTTAACTAACCAATAATTAAGTTTCTAAAGTACAAGTTTTTAATTCCAGTGATTGTATAATTTAAAATACTTTGGAAATCTTATCTAAATTCGAAAGAAGAAAAAAGTAGAGTTTAATATAACAAAATAAAGTTTTATGTTTATATTTTGAGGTTAAGTAATTTTGACAGTTCGGACCAGTTAGGAAACATAAACAAAGATTCTAAAAACTAAATATATAATTTCTATTACAATTTAATGACAATTACCGTTTAGAATTCGGTAGTTTTTCATCAGAAGACTGAATTTCTCCAGTAATGGGAATTTCCACGTCAGCCATTGTAGAATATATTTTTTAATCTCCTTTTGCTTACATTCACAAAATTGACATTACAAACATTTAATATTTCTTTGGTTTGCAAATTTAGATTTAAGTCACGATTATTTTTTTAATTGTCGAGTATAAAATGCTTATTTATTTACAAATACAGAACAAGTGTATATTTAAATGTTTTCAATTTTTGACGTTTCCACTCCTTGTGCATTCCGATGCATAATATACAGTTGCAATACGGTTGCAACACACATTCACTGTTAACACGTCAACAAAAAACACAAAAAACAAAGACAAGAACAGGAAAGGAATAATAAATAAATTGAATATAATCTTTGTTGTTTTAATATCAGTGAATGAATTTTAAAGTTTAGAATATTATTCTTATTGATATAAAAACGATTTTTAAAAACTTTATAAAACAATCGGACTTTTAGATTTGAAATTTTGCGCGTAAAAAATAATCCACAGAAAATTGCGCATTATGAACAAAGCTTAAACATACTTTTTTGTGAACTCTTCTTAAGGGGGTGCTACTCTCTGTACCAAAAACATAAGTTCGAATGCTCATTATGCCGAATTTACAATTTAGAAATGACCAGATACGCGAATCCTCAATAACCTAAATTGTATATTGAATGAAATTCAAAAGTAGGGAATAATCATTTGATATATTCTGCATATGGAGAATATTATTTTAAACTAATTCTTTTTTTCCACAATTTGAAATTATTGCAATTTTTATTTTTGGAATTTCCACTTTACCTACATTTTAATAGATCGAAACGTAAAATATCAGAATTGACATTTAATTGAAATATGATGGAGAATAAATATATATTCACTGAATAAAAAGATTAAATAATTATTAAATGTTTGAATTTAATAAAAACATATTGTTCAAAAGTTACAGTGCGAATTGTACAGAATATATATTAATAAGAAATATAATTTGGCAGAATGTCGATTCGATCGATTTTATATTTGCAAGAAATTCAATTTGACAGAATATCAATTTATAAGAAACACGTTTTCGTAGAACTTTAACTTGTCAGAATTGTAATTTTGTAGAATATTAATATTGGCAAATCTAATTTTGGTAGAAATCTGCTTTATCAGAATGATCACATGTTCGAATCCTCAAAAGTTAGAATTCCATTTTTACCGAAAATGGATTCCACATAAATATTTCGCGCAAATTTTAAAATTCTGATTTCTGATTGGTCGATTTTAAAATTTGCGCCAAATATTTATGTGGAATCCATTTTCGGTAAAAATGGAATTCTAACTTTTGAGGATTCGAACATGTGATCATTCTGATAAAGCAGATTTCTACCAAAATTAGATTTGCCAATATTAATATTCTACAAAATTACAATTCTGACAAGTTAAAGTTCTACGAAAACGTGTTTCTTATAAATTGATATTCTGTCAAATTGAATTTCTTGCAAATATAAAATCGATCGAATCGACATTCTGCCAAATTATATTTCTTATTAATATATATTCTGTACAATTCGCACTGTAACTTTTGAACAATATGTTTTTATTAAATTCAAACATTTAATAATTATTTAATCTTTTTATTCAGTGAATATATATTTATTCTCCATCATATTTCAATTAAATGTCAATTCTGATATTTTACGTTTCGATCTATTAAAATGTAGGTAAAGTGGAAATTCCAAAAATAAAAATTGCAATAATTTCAAATTGTGGAAAAAAAGAATTAGTTTAAAATAATATTCTCCATATGCAGAATATATCAAATGATTATTCCCTACTTTTGAATTTCATTCAATATACAATTTAGGTTATTGAGGATTCGCGTATCTGGTCATTTCTAAATTGTAAATTCGGCATAATGAGCATTCGAACTTATGTTTTTGGTACAGAGGGTAGCACCCCTTCTTAAGCTTTCCACACGTGGAGGCATTTAAAAATGTCTAAAAACAACAAATTTTAATAAGTTTCTTTATACAATTGTCATCAAAGTATTAATATCATTTTATATTGATTACAAAATTTAATAATTTGTAACAGACTGAATATTATGTATATACATAAATGTTCAGATTATTGTATTTTTTAAATAATTTTCAGGTTATAAAAGTTCTATTATTTATTAATTTTGATTTTTGTAATTTATTATTTTATTATATAATTAATGTTTTATGATACTTAACGAAACAGTAGATTTATTACTATTTATATTCAGAATAAAGATTAAAAAGGTAATTAGACATAAAAATTATAGTTTCTCTCATAGAACATAACCTGCAAATTTAAATCTTTGCCTTTGCGAAAGAACAGAAAGAGAATTTTCTATATTTAATCATTATTATTAATATTAAGTAATTATTTTCTTAATTCCTTGCACAATTAAATTTTCTTTTCCTAATTGTTGAGACTTATATTATTTTTCAGCTGCGGTATTAAATATAGAAATTTATAAAGTTTATTATTCTTCTGTTAAAAAAAAACAATGATTATTCTACGAAGAGGACTCTCACATTTGAGTAGATATGTGCAACATAAAACTACGAATTTCTCCACAAATGGTACTTGAACGTCTACAATTTTCAATAATAATAATTATTATTAATTGGACTATATAATAAAATTAAATTATTAAAATTTTTACATATTAAAAATTAAAAAAATGACATTTTAAAAATTCTCAAAAAAAATCTAATAATTCACTTTGCTTGCATTTATTTTTATAATTAGTATAGAAGAATAACAAAAAATTATTTTTCTAGAGTGCACACCGGAAAAAAAGAATTCGATGTACAGAACAAGTGAATGTATAGTTTGGATGGATATGGAAGTAAGTTGGAGCATATTTTTATTTGAAAAGTAGAAAAAAATTTGACAAATCTTATAGTTATTTATTTAATAAAATTCTATTTATTTAATTAAATAAAATACTAAAAATTACAGATGACTGGACTCGATCCGCTGAAGGACAAAATTTTAGAACTCGCATGTCTCGTCACTGATTGCAATTTAAAAACAGTGAGCGATGAATTTGAAATTGTTATTCATCAACCGGATGAAGTGCTCAATGGAATGGATGAATGGAATACAAAGCAACATCGAAAGGTAATAAATAAATAAATCTTACAAACATTAATAAATTATTTTTATTTAATTTTCCTATATTTTAACTGATATTTAAATTTTACATTTTAAAATTTAATTTTTTTAAATTTGCATTTTATCCTGAATTCAAATTTTATTCTAAAATTTACATTTTATACGAAAACTTACACTTTATTCTAAAATTAGCACTTTATTCTAATTTTATATTTCTAAAAAATTAAATTGTATATTCTATTCTACAGTCTGGATTAATAGATGGTTCTAGGAATAGTAAAATAACAAATTCAGATGCTGAATTAAAACTGCTGGATTTTTTACAAAATTATATTCCACAAAGTACCTGTCCACTTGCTGGAAATTCTATTCACATGGATCGAATGTTTCTCAAAGTGCATTTGCCTTTAGTCGATTCATATCTTCATTATAGACTAATAGACGTTTCTTCTCTCAAAGAACTCGCAAGGTAATTTTTTCCTATTTGAAAATTAATAATTTTATCAATTTAAAAAAATTACAAATAATATTAATATTACTGAATAATTATTAAAAAGTATTACATTGACAATAATTCGAATAATTAATATGTAATATGAATAATGAAAAATTCGAATATTTCTTAATATAAATAATTAATAATTCGATTTAACAATAATTCTAAAAATTCGAATAATTAATAATACGAAAAATTAACAATTCAATTAGTTAATAATTGGAATAATTATTAATACGAATAATTAATAATTCGATTGATTAAAAATTCGAATAATGAATAATTCGATTGGTTAATAATTCAAATAATTAATAATTCGATTGATTATTAATTCGAATAATTAATAATAAACAATTATTCGACAAATAAATAATAATTCGAATTGTTTTCTTATTAGACGCTGGAATCGCAGGGTTTACAAAGAAAGACCACAAAAACAATTCACTCACCGAGCACTCGATGATATTAAAGAAAGCATAAGTGAATTAGATTATTATAGGACATTTGCGTTTCAAGCACCTGATTTGCGTTGATTTTAGATAAATTACTTTTATTCTTAAATTAAAGTGATATTGAAAAAATTTAATTTTTCTTCTTGTAAGTATTTACGTAATATCAATTGTACAAAGCGACATTAATTTTTTTATACAAATAAAATACCAAAGGAGTTTATAAAAGGTAAATTGTGAATTTTTTAGTCTTCAGGGGAATAATTTTTTTAATTCGTTTACTTTTTATATAATTTGAAATTTAAATTTAATTTATAAAAATAAAATGTAAAACGATAAAGATAGTCGAAAGTATAGAATTTCATAAAGAATTCCATTTTATTTATCATTTAAAAAGTTTTTTTCTAAATTATAATTTTCCAATAAAAATAAAAAAATAAAAATTATTACTTTTTCAGTATTTCAAATAAGGCACTTAAAAGTTGAATTACGATTGGTGGAGAATTTTCTTTCAAAAGACCCAAAAGACGCGCAGGTCACGTGGAATGCCTGCGCATGCGTCGAGAATGTGAACATAACCTAAAAGTGTCAATAACTCGTGGCCCCTCGTGTTGATCAGTCTCAGTGTTTATCGTGTTCTATTTTCCCAGTAGAATTTAAATTTTTAAAAGAATTTTTACATACTTAAATATTAAAATGACACTTGAAAAAAGGGATTATATTGTTTGGATGGATTTGGAAGTGAGTTGAGAAAGTTTTTTAAAAACACTAATAAATTTTCATATAGAACTTTAAATTTTAATCGTTTTAATATCAAGTTTATTTATATATATAGTAATATAATAGTCAAGAAGTAGTATAATAACAGTTTATTTATATAATCGTATTGACTAAAGTTATTAAAGAAGAAGATGTAAAAAATAAACATTACAGATGTCTGGCCTCGATCCTGTAAATGACAAAATTTTAGAAGTAGCTTGTCTCATAACTGACGGTAATTTAAAAAAAGTGAGCGACGAATTTCATATTATAATTCATCAATCAGACGAAGTACTCAATGGAATGGATGAATGGTGCACGGAACATCATGAAAAGGTGCTAAAATTTAACCTAGAATTTCTTTTTTTTAAACGAAAATTAAATACTATTTATTCTTTAATTTTTAAAAATTCTAACAGACCGGATTGACAAATGCTTCGAGAAATAGCACAGTAACAAATTCCGATGCTGAATCAAGATTGTTAAAATTTTTACAAAAGAACATTCCACAAAGAACATGTCCACTTGCTGGAAATTCGGTTTATATGGATCGAATGTTTCTCACAATGCACATGCCATTAGTCAATGAATATTTACATTATCGAATAATTGACGTTTCAACTGTCAAGGAACTTGTGAGGTAAAAAATAATAATTTAAAATAGTAAATTTTCAAATTAAATATTATTGCATTATTTTTAGACGCTGGAATCCTTCTGTTTTTAAGAATACACCACGTAAAAAATTGTGCCACCGTGCACTCGATGATATTATAGAAAGTATACAAGAGTTGGAATATTACAGAAAATTTATATTTTAATTATGGAATTAATAGGAATTAATTAATTTCTCTTTAGTTAATTTAGTTAAACTGTTATTCGTATTTTTTACTTTTTATTTTTTTTTTACTCTGAATCTAGAATTGTACAAAATTAATTTCTTCTTTTTTGAAAGTAGGCGCCTAAAAGTTGTTTTCTGATTGGTTGTTATTAAAAGTTAATAATTATTTATTATTGGGGGGAGGAAAATTGTAAATATAATTAATCTAACCAAGAAAAGAGTGTTAAATGCAGACAAAAATGTTAATATCTCTTGTTGAAATATTTACTCAATTTTTTTTAACTACAAAAATAGCTATAGAAACGAGAATTTATTTTTTTATAACTAATTTTACATTTTCTGAATATTAATATGACACTTAAGAAAAGTGACTTCATCGTATGGATTGACATGGAAGTGAGTATAATAATACTTTATAATAACTAAAATAACTTTATAATAAATAAATTGTTTTATTCAATGTTTATTAACACAAAAAAAAATTTTTTTTGCAGAAAACGGGACTTGATCCTCTAAAGGATCGAATTTTAGAACTCGCCTGTATTATTACCGATGGCAATTTAAAAACAGTGAGCGATGAATTTCACGTTGTTATTCATCAATCGGATGAAGTCCTCGATAATATGGATACTTTGAATAGAAATCGTCATAAAACGGTGAGAAAAATTATTTTTTCTATTTCTGAAAATAATTTCTTTTTAAATAACTTAAATTGTAGAAGAATTTTTTGTTAAGAACACTAAAAAATTAAATTTTGGAGAAATTACAAATGGTTGCAGAAATTCAATTATTTTCAAAAGGAATATAATTTTTCGCAGAAATTCAATTATGTTCAAAAATTAAAAAAAAAATTTGTCAAAATTTCAATTATCTTTGTAGATAATAAAATTCTTCTCCGAAATTCAATTATTCTCTAAAATTTTAATAAAATTCTTAGCAAAATTTCAATTATTTTCAAAAAATTTCCTCATTTCAATGATTTGCAATATTTACTATTTTAATAACATTTTCCAAAAGAATTCAATTATTTAAAAACATTCTAATAAAATTCTACGCAAACATTTAATTTTTTTATAAATAATAAAAATTTAACAGGAATTCAATTATTTACAAATTTTTTATCAATTTCTTCGCAGTAATTCAATTATTTTCAGAAATTTTAGTAAAATTCTTCACGAAATTCAATTATGTTCATAAATAACAATATTCACGATAAAAATTCAAATATTTTCAAAAGCATTAAAATTGTTCGCAGAAATTCAATTATTTTCAAAAATTTTAATAAAATTCTTCTAAAGAATTCAATTATTTCATAAATAATAAAATTCTTTTTAGGAATTTAATTATTTTTAATACAATTTTTAAAGGAATTCTTCGAAAAATGTAATTATTCTTAAAAATTTTTATTAGGTAACAATTAATGAATAATTAATTATGTTTTTCTTTTTTTCTCCAGCAAATAAAAATAATTTGAATAACAAATAATTACTATTGTAATTATAATTGTACAATAATTGAGGATTTCAGTGAAGAGAATGGTTAAAATTACACTTATGAATAAATAATTTTATTTATTTTACAGTCTGGATTAATAGACGTGTCTAGAAGGAGCGAAATAAAAAATTGCGATGCTGAAACAAAATTGTTGGAATTTTTACAAAAATATATTTCAAAACGTACCTGTCCACTTGCTGGGAATTCTGTTTGTATGGATCGATTATTTCTCACAACACAAATGCCTTTAGTTAATGACTACTTACATTATCACATAATTGACGTGTCATCTCTCAAGGAACTCGTGAGGTAATTTTTGTTCATTTTTCCGATTAACTTTAATTGTTCACAAAGAAAATATTAATAGTATTCAGTGTTTTATTATTATTAATATTATTATTTGTATTTCATTATTTCTTTTTTTTAATATTTTTATTGTTTGTATTTTTATTATTGTTTCTATTATTAATATTTTTATTGTTTGTATTTTTATAATTGTTTCTTTCATTAATATTTTTTTTTGTTTATATTATTTTCTATTATTATTAATAGTTCTTTTATTATTATTTTCCAATTTTTATTTGTGTTTTTATTTATTGTATTATTTTTTTATTTTCATTAATTTGAGAGAAAAAAATTAAAAAATTTAATATTGTTTCAGACGCTGGCAACGTTCAAAATATCGAGATAAACCACCAAAATATTTATGTCCCCGAGCACTTTATGGCGTTAAAGAAAGTATAGAAGTATTAGAATATTACAGAAAATGTTTATTTCAACCCGAGAGTCAATAGTGACGAATTAATTCCTCTTTAGTTGAATTTAATCTTGCCAATATTTCTTTAAGTATTTAAAATGATATTAATTATACAAAACTGATTGTGTTTTTCAATTATATACAAAACTAATTGTTTTTACAAAAAATTTGTTTTACAAAAAATTACAATAATTTACTAATTATACAAAACTGATTAATTTACCAATTATACAAAAACTAATTGTTTTATGAATAAATTATTAGAATGAAATGCAAATTATTTCCTTATAAATTCTAATTGTATAAAAAATATTTTGTCATTTAATTTTTTTCTTTCTCTATTTTTTTATTAATTTATATTTTTTTATCAACTTGTAGTCTTTTTTCTTAATTTACATTTTATATCTCAATTTAACAACTTTATTAATTTATTATTAATAAAGTTTTTTTTATTAATTTATTCATTATATTTTTTTTATGAACTTATAGTTTTTTTTTATTAATTTACTTTTTTATTATTATTCGAAATTAGGCGCGTGTCGTAGTTAATGCGCGCGCAGATTGTCGCAACGCATGCGCATTAACAAACCTGGCGTGGTGCGAGCCGTGGAAGAAGATAACCAAAAAAAAAGAGGTATAACTCGTGGTGAAGTGCTTTGCAAGGTCGGTATTTTTAAATGTTCATCGCCTGTTTATAATAACAAAAAAAGTATATTAATTACAATTTCTTCAAGTGTCTGAATATTAATTGCATATAAATTCCAAACAGCAGAGAATTCTTCATTAAACGATAAGAATGGGCAATGTTCATGCAGCTTCTGCACCTCCTCCACCGCCACCGCCTCCATCCTTAACTCCTGAATTATCATCAAATTTAGCAAAAATAGAAACTCCCTCCTCAAAGGATTCATTCAAATTGTCAAATCCAGGAACCATCGAGGATTTAAATAAAAAATGCCGAGGTACTCTTTTTACATTATGTCACATTTTTTTCTTTTCATACATTTCTTCTTTTTTTTGAATGATCATTTTGTCTTGGAAAACATTTTACTTGAATTTATAACAGAAAAGTAGTTTTTTGATAGTTGATGTTTACTTTGTATTTGATTGGTTTTAGTTTTTGGAGTAATTGGCAAAATTTGAGGGACAATTGACATTTGGGTGATGATTTTAACCTCTTATTTTAATTTTTTATTTTTCTGGAGATGAATATTTAATTTTTATTATCTAATCAGTGTGTGAATATCTAGTTTGTGTTCAAAATATGCTGAAACATTTTTTTCTAGTTCAGTAACATTGTTTTTAAAAACGAAATTAATTTTTCTTTTTTTGCAGATGTCTTTCCTGTTAATTTCGAGGGGGCCAAGTTGATGTTAAACAAAGGTCTTAGTAACCATTTTCAAATATCTCATACCATAAATATGAGTTCTACAACACCTTCTGGTTATAGGTAAAGGAAAGATTTATTCAGAAATATAATAAATTTAATAAATAGAAAACTATTTAGAATTTTAATTTTTGTGGTAAAAAAAGGGTATTTTTAGTGTAATTTAAACGCTTTGTATTGTTTTTTTTCTAGATTTGGAGCCACGTACGTTGGTACAAAACAAACATCACCAACGGAAGCTTTTCCAGTTTTACTCGGTGACATTGATCCCAATGGAAATCTTAATGCTAATATTGTACATCAATTTGGCTCGAGAATCAGAGCAAAAATGGCAACTCAAGTTCAAAAAAGTAAATTCTCAGCAGTACAAATGTCATCAGATTATCGTGCCGACACTTACACTGTCTCTCTGACGTTAGGAAATCCCGATATTATTAATAATTCAGGTTCGCATCGACTTTGATATTTAATTAATTTTCTCGTTTCTTTGATTTTAAAACTGCTCTGCAGGTATTTTTTTTCTTTTTATACAGGCTTTGCAATCATCTACTATTTGGAAAATAATTGAATTTTAAAAAAAATTAGATTTGAAGTTAAATAAGAAAAAAAGTGAATTTATTTTTTATTGAAATCAGGGAAATACAGAATCAAATTTTTGTATTAAATCAACAGTGCGAAGCTTATGCATATTTATTTACTTCTTTATTTATATTTTGTATTTAGTTATGTACTTCTTATATTTATTTATATTTTGTATTTATTTAAATTCTTATCTTTATTTCTATTTTTTGTATGTAAGTTTTCTTACTTCTTCTATATTTATTTATTTATTTCGTTTTTTGCTTTTTGCATTATTTTATTTATTTATTTGATTTATTTACATTATTTTCTTGTAAAATATTTCAGGAGTGGCAGTTTTACACTATTTGCAAAGTATAACACCGTCATTAGCTCTTGGAGGTGAACTTGTCTATCAAAAAGCGCCAACGATTCCCGGTGGTTCGCTCACTGTTCTCTCGGCTGCTGGAATTTATACACAAGGCGATTCGACAGTCAGTGGAAGTCTAAGTATGGGAGGCTGTCATCTTTGTTTTCATCAAAAAGCCAGCGATCAAGTTCAAGTCGGAGTTGAACTCGAAATTAATACAAGAATAGCAGAATGTGTCACTACAATTGGCTATCAAGTTGACCTTCCAAAGGCCGACCTCGTGTTTAAAGGTTTGCTCAAAATTTTCAATTTACAACCCATTCTTGTGAATTTATCAACTTTCATTAATTTATTAACTATAGAATAGAATTTTATTTATATAACAAACAAAAATTAGAACAAAAAAAATTTCTAGAAAATAAAACGAAATTTATTCATAGAAAACGAATTGAAATTAAATTATTAACTTTATTTTTATTTATTAACAGTGGAACTTTATTTATCAACTTGAAAATTGATTGAAATTTATTTATAGAGAAAATAATAAATCGAAATTTATTTAGACTTGATTAAAGATTAATTTTATCGTTATTAATTCATTATTCTTCTTGCAGGAAGCGTCGATTCGAATTGGAATGTCGGAGCAGTGCTGGAAAAGAAATTACAGCCTCTTCCATTTTCATTTGCTTTAAGTGGCGTGATTAATCACAATAAAGCAATGTTCAGACTTGGATGCGGATTAATAATCGGATAAAAAGAAATTACTCCAGTGGATAGTTGATTGTTTCAAGAAAAAGAAGAAATAAGAAAAAAGCAAATCTTGCATATTAGTTACATCACTTTTTTGGAAGATGCAACATTAATTTAGGATCTCTTGTTACCATCATCATCATCAACATTCGACAATTTGCTCACTGCCTATATTTCTGCTCACAATAGTCATCTTCTTTTTACCACAAAAAATAGATAAAACCTTTTTTTTCCCCTCGTAGATAATAATCAAGGAACATTAACTAAACTCGGAGAAACGAATGATGTAAATATCAATTAATGCAACATTTGAAGAATTTCGATTTGCAAAAAAGCGAAACAAAAGAGGATTTTTCTTTTTTTGTCTCAAAAAAAGCGTCAAAATAATTTCTTTTTTTGATGTGTCTGATAGAAAACCAAGTGAGAAGTAGAATGGAAATACTTTTTTTTTTATAAATATATATAAATATTTTTTAAATAAGACAAACGAGATACTGCAAAACGACGTCGAGAAATGTTTTATTTTACAACTTAGTTAAATAGGCATTGAAATTGAAAAAAAAGAAGAAAAAAGTAATAAATGCATTTAATCTAGATATTTACAATATTGCATTTTCAATTGCACTTTAATAAAATATGTAAAAATCGTTTTATTAAAAATGTGCTGTGAGAAGAAGAGCAATTTTCAAACATACAAATTCGTATAAAATTTGAACAAATCGAAGAAGAAAAAAAAACAAGTGTAATATATATTGTTGTACGATAAATGTATGTGAAAATAGAATGCATTTATTTTGCTTTTATGTGGTGTTTGCGTATATTTAGTACATGATCGACTGGTCTGAATAATTTTGCATAAGCAATTTATTTCAGAGTTCATTTAAAGATTTTTAGAAGAAAAAATAAAGAGAACATTTCAAAGAAACAATTCGTGACAATATTATTTTGTGACGCGGTTAAGGCACGAATTATAGGTTATGTTTGCGTTCGATTTATTTTCATTAAAAGTTCCTTTTTCTATAAATTTAAATTAAAATCCGGTTTTTATTGAATACTTCGGTGGTAATAACAATTTGAACATAAATACAAGTTTTGAAGAGTAATCGCCTCTCTGTATTTTTACTTCAAAAATTGTGATCATAACCTAAAATTTATCGCTTCTTTGGTAACTTTCCCAGAAAAGGTTTTTTTTCCTTTTTTTATCAAAAATAAATTTTTAAATAACTTATTCATTAAGACAGTGGATTTTCTATAGACCTAATTTATGCAAATTGAATAATTTTAATAGAATTGAATTATCAAGAAAAGTATAAAGGGTATAAAGTAATTTGCTGTTTGTACAAAAATGTATAAAAAATAAAAAATGTTAAATTTGATGTCTTCTTTTTTTGTTTTGAAAACAGGAAGTTGAGAGCGCTATCAAACGAGTGAATCTATAACTAAAATTGTAAAGGACCAATCAAAAGGAATTTCGAGTCTACGACGAATCTATAAACAACCTAGTCTCTCAATTTGCTTGATTGGGATAAGTTTTTGTGTTTTAAAGTATAATATATAATATTTATACAAAAATTGGGAAGGGAACGGATATTATAAACAATCCCCCAAAGCAGTCTCTACTTTTTATTATAAAATAAATAGTGCACACAAGTTTTTTATTCATTGATTTTAGATTATTTATAATAATAAATTATAAAAGGACCAACTTAAGGTTGGTGCATCTAAGGTGCATCTTGAAAACTTCTCTGCTTTTTTTTGCATGCTGTAAACCTGCAAGCCATTACCTTTTCAATGAATAGCACGTATCTTTGTATTTTGTTCCATCAAAATATTCTTTCGATTATTTTTTTTTCGTTTCAATAAAATTAACATATTGTTATAATAATAGTGTTTAGTGTTAATTTTTTTTTCAATAACTCATCCGTTTGGAGCATAATTTTCTCTCGACCCCTTTTTAAGACACCATCATGACCAGATAAGTGATGAATTTTTAAAATGGTATTGAGTCGAAATGATAAGAGGAAAAGAAAAGAAGGAGATCTCGTGGACCTCATGGATCCATTGTCGGATTCACCGAAAAGGTAGGTTTTTCATTGTTTACCTCGCTCTCATTTTCAATTATTCTACTCCGGAAAAAAAAGTGTTAACAGACAGAAAGAAAGGAATAAATTGAAAAAGTGTTAGTTTTTTCATTGTTCATAGCTTTATATGTGTTTACTAATTTTTTCTGAAAATTCTGAAATAGCTCTCGGCTTTTTTTATTCTTTTCCAAGGCAAAATATATTTGTTTTTTGAACAAAAGTCGTCAGTGTTATACATGTTTCTTAAAATGTGTTAATTAATAATTATAATAGTAATAGTGGTTTTTTTTATTGTTATCCAAAAAATTAATGAAGAGGAAATAAATTTTCTTTCTTTTCAGGACCAAAATTCATGCACAAAGAAAATTTGCACAGGGAGCTGCGACATTTTACAGTCCATCCACGACTCCTGTTAAAGAAAAGGAGAAAGAAAAATCAAAACCAGCTGTTATTAATGAATTGATAAGTCACAAGCGACCGAATACGGAAGATTTTTTAACATTTCTTTGTTTCAGAGGTAAAAAAAATTCTGGAAATTAAAAAATATTCTAACTTTTATTTTTTCTCTAAAAATATAATTTTTTTTCTTTTAGGAACATCGATATTACCGTCGAGTTTGAATTTTTTCAACGTTTGTGTCAAGAAAGAAAAAAGTGATTCAAAAACAATAAAAAATTTAAAAGCAACTTCTTCCACTTCAAAACCAAGAAACACCGAATCCACAAAATCCGATCCGTCCCAAAAGGCAGCAAAATCAAAAAATGTAAAAGAATTCCCGAATGGATTAAAAAATACGATTAAATTTAAAACGAAAACCTCGACAGTTCAGGCGCTAAAGAGAAAATATCAAGAGCAACGATTGGCGAAGCAGAGAATTAAAAATAAAATCAGAACCTCTTATGTTATACGAACACGTTCGAATACAGAGAAAAATGTCAAGAAACCAACAACACTGAATAAATTATCATCGAGAAAATTCACAAAAACAGAGAGTAAACGACATGGTCTTCGTAGTGGCGGTCTCATCGAACAAATTTGCAATCCGAAAATAATTCCCAAAAATAAACGAACAAAAGCAAAGAAGGGCTTTGGGAAAAATAAAAATAACTCAAAAGACGATTCTCTCGATTCAGATTCAATGTCAAATGACGAGGAATTAAAATCCCCGAGTAATAAGAAAATCACAGCTAAATCCCTACCGAAGAAAATTGGAACAAGAAAAACGGAATTACGTCGAGTGACACGCTCATTTGTCGAGACGAAATCAACACAAAATTTATCTCGTCGACCAACGAGGAAAACAAAAGAAGCCGCGGCGGTTTACATGGAAATTTTGGGACGTAAACTAGTGAGTCCCGATTTAGAAAATGAGGACGATATTTCACTCGATAGTTTTCCGGAATTGCCAAATTCACGGCGAATCCTGAAAGAGGAATTCGAAATCAAGGAGAAAGTGAAACAAAACGCAAAGACGGCCGCCAAAGAAAAGGATATAAAACTCGAAACCAGCACTTTGAGTAGCAAGCGAATCGATAAACTGAACCGAACTGTAAGAACAGTCCTCAAAAGTAAACGTATCGTCAAAGTTCAAAAATACTGCGAATTAGAAACTGACGAGGAGAGCGAAATTTCTTGTGAAAGTGAAAAAAGTGGCAAAACAAGACCAATGACCCGAAGAAGTTTAAATAAAACAAAACCAACGAATAGAAGTCTAAGATCGTCGGCGAGAAATCTCTCCCTGAAACTAAAAGTCGAAAGTTGTCAGGTCAGGAAATTTATTAACAAAAAGGAGAAAATTTTACTCAAACGAAAGCAAATTGACGAGAAGAGTCTCGAGACGAAAATTGAAAAGAATCTCGAGACGAAAATTGTCGAGAAGGAAACGAAAATTGTAGAAAAGGAAACGAAAATTGAAAAGAATTTCGAAGCAAAAATTGAAAAGAATTTCGAGGCGAAAATTGAAAAGAATTTCGAATCGAATATTGAAAAGAATTTCGAGACGAAAATTGAAGAAAAGGAAAAAGAAGAAAACTTGAAAGTGAAAGAAAAGCAGACGAACGAGAGTCGGAAACGGAACGAAAATTTGAAAGGAGAAATAAAGAGCGAAGAGATTAAGAGACAAAAGTCAGAGGACGAACGGGAAAGTAAGAGGCAAAAATTAGAGGAAGAAATAAAAATCGACAATGAAGAGAAAGAAAAAGAAGAATCGGACGAAGAAACATTGGGTTCACTGCTGAGTAAAATAAAACGAAAACGAGAATCCGACGACGATTTAACCAAGTCGGTGAAAATTCTCAAAGAAGTGAAAGAGTCGAAAATGTCCGACGACGAGGAATCATTCCGCGGTTTCACGAAGAAGGCAATATCGAAGGTACTCGACAAACTCGACACCTGTCAATCGCACGTGAATTCAAATCTCCTCGTGAGCGACAGCATCGAATCAAAATCAGTCCAAGTCTCCTCGATTTCTCCCCTCGAGTCACCGAATCTAGACAAAAATTCGCCGCAAAAAGAAGAAAGCACAAAAATTCAATTAGAAAAATCATTTTACGAACCAAAAATTGAAAAGGAAGTTGTCTTCGAAAAAGAAAATGAAAAAGAAGAAGAGAAAGAGATAAAAATTATCGACATGCCGTCAACAACAACAGGTCGTAAGGAACGTGTCAATATGTCAGCAGAACAAATCGAAAAATGGCTCACAGAAAGTTCAATAGCAAAGGAAGAGAATAAAGTCGATCTCGAAACAAGTTACAATTACGAGAAACCAAAAATCTCCCATCATTTGTCAATTTCCTCAAAAATTCAACATCTCGTCAGACCCGTTAACGTAACCCTAGCGAAATTGCACGATAAATCAAAAGCACAAAAGCTATTTGTAAAAAATACAACTCTTGTTGTGAAGAGTTGTGACCCAGCTGGGGAATCGATAAAAATCCCTCAACTAAAGACACCGAAGGAGAGTCCCGATGACGATGTTTCGAAATCGGATCACTCGCCCGAGGAGAATTCCGAAAAGAAAGAGAAGAAACAAACGCAGAGAAAATTATTCCTACCAAAAGTAAAGGAACGAAAGTCCACGACCCCGAGTGCAAATGCCTTCTCACCGGAGAACGAAAGCAGTGTCTATGCTTTTGAAAGTGATACGGAGACGCCAATCAGCACCCCGTTTAGAAGAAAAAATAAAGACGTCACTGTCTTTAATCAGAAGGACGAGCAAACTGGGGAAATTTACGAGAAACAAGAGAAAATGTCCGAGAAAAATGAAAAAACGTCTGAGAAAAATGAGAAAACGTCCTTGGAGAAAATTGAGAAAACTTCCGAGAAAAATGAGAAAACGTCCTTGGAGAAAATTGAGAAAACGGTGGAGAAAATTGTCGACAAGAAGGAGAACACGACCAACAGTGATTTGAAAGGTTTTCCGAATCTGGCAAATATACAAGTTCTCTCGCTGGATAAATTGACGACAAATTGGAGTAACGTGAATTGTAGTGCGTCAATAGCGGTGCAGGTGAATTTGGATCAGAATCAAAAGCAACAGAATCAGAATGACGAGAGTGAGCAGACGAGTATGGAGATATCGACGCAAACCGAGAGGGGAAATGATAATGACGATGACAATGACAATGATGGACAGTTGTTTTACATTCCATTGCAAGCGGTGACGAGAAATGGCTCGAATTTGGTGCAGGGACAGCAATTGATTCAGGGAGTGGCGGTGAAATTGGGAACTGAGGGACCAACGGGACCAAATCAGAGGGTTTTGTTGAAGGCGAAATTAGTGACGAAACCAACGTTAACTGTGGCACGTGTTCCTCCGGTGGGAACTGTTCAACCAACTGCACGAGCACCGCCAATTCCATCGACTTCGAGTGCTGATTATCCTGTTGCTTCGACATCGACATTGGTGGGGAATTCGCAAATTCAGACGATTAGTAAGGAGAATAGTAATGTTGCGACGAGTGGAACGGAGAAAATTACGAAGACGACGAAAGTTGCTCGTGAGAGGAAAATATCGGCAGAGTCGGCTAAACTTGGAAAAAGGTAACTAATTTTTTTATTATTGTAATTAATTAATTTATTTTTTTGGAATTCAGAATCACAACTAGGTTTGACAATGGTCAGGGAAAGCAGGAAAAATCAAGAAAATAAAAATTTTTTAGAGAAAGAAGGAAAATCGGGGAAAAGTTAGGAAAAATTAAATTAACCAACGAAAGCAGGAACAATGAAATTAGTCAAAATAGTCAGAAAAATTACAGGGAATTTTATGTAAAGAATTGGAAAGATATTTAATTTATAGAATTATCACAAAAAAAAATCTAAGTTTTTTTACGTCCAAAAACATTTGAAAAACGTAATTTCATTTCAATTTAATCTAAATTTAATTGAATTTAATTAAAATAAAATAAAAATTATATTTTAATTGAATTTAGAATTTAAATTTGGAAAAAGTCAAGAAATTACTCAAGGAAATTAGGAAAATTGCAGGGAATTTTATTAAAATAATAATTGGAAAAATATCAAATTTATAGCAAATTATTACAAAAAAATTTAGTTTTTTATGTCTAAAAACATTTGAAAAACGTAATTTAATTTCAATTTAATCTAAATTTAATTGAATTTAATTAAAATAAAATTAAAATTATATATTAATTGAATTTAGTTTAAATTTGGAAAAAGTCAAGAAATTACTCAAAGAAATCAAGAAAATTGCAGAGAATTTTTTTAAAATTCGATTAAAAATGAAAATAATTGCGAATATTTTTCAGAATTTTATTGAATTTTTAGAAAACAATCGTGAGAACTTAACTAGAGTAATTGATTTTTTTTAATGGCTAAACACCCTTAAAGTTTTAAATCTAATGTTCGCTTTTAAAAATTATCTTTTTAATGCATTTAAACTCCCCTTGAGTTTTTTTTTATAGAAACCAGACAAAAAAGATAAAATATTGTCCTGAAATCAGGGAAAAATAAAATCACGTTAAGAAAATGAAAAGAATGAAATAAATTATATAAATTATATAAGAATAATATAAAAATAAAAAGAATGAAAAATTTTATACTAACAAAAAAATGAAATTTCAGATTCCAAGGCAAATCGAAGCAGAAAATAATAGAAGTCTGCACGCCAATAAATACGACAACATTCCCAGGAACAAAGGATCCAAATGAAGAGGCACGTCTCGTTGAAGCGCCAACATTTCATCCATCGGAGAAAGATTTTCAAGATCCCCTCGAGTACATCGACAAAATACGTCCAATCGCTGAGAAATTTGGCATTTGTCGAGTCATTCCACCGCCAAATTTCAAACCCGATTGTAAAGTATCGGACGATATGCGTTTCACAGCGTACAATCAATACGTTCATCGAATGCTCCATCGTTGGGGACCGAATGTCAAGGAAATGATGGCAATACGCAAATATTTGGCCACGCAAAGTATAACATTAAATCATCCGCCTTGGATTGGTGGAATGGAAGTTGATCTTCCCCATTTATATCAAACAGTTCAATGTCTCGGCGGTCTAAAGGAGGTGATTGAGAAGAAAAAATGGCAAAAAGTTGCTGACGGAATGAAAATACCACGCTCGGCACAGGATCGCGTTACCAAATTGGACGATATTTACTGCAAATATTTATTGCCCTACGATACACTTTCGCAGGGCGAAAGAGATAAATTGTTTGAGGAAGTTGAATTGGAATGGACGAATCGAGAGGCGAAGGGGTTATTGAGATTGGAGTCGCAGTCGATGTCGAATGATAATAATGATGATGAGGAGGATGACGATAGTTCGGAGGAAATTGAGGAGTGTATCGTTAAGGGACGAAATATGCCGCTTAATGCATTTTATCGTATCGCGAGGAATACGCAGAGAATGTGGTTTGCCGATAATCAAAGAACATTGAATGAAATTGAAGGCGCTTCGGCGGCTGATGTTGAGAATGCTTTTTGGAAACATGTCACTGAGAGGAAGCGTCATGTTTGCGTTCACGCTGCGAGTATCGATTCAAGTGGTCGGGGTTTTGGTTTCTCTGTTGCCAAGAACAGTCCCTTTGCGCGACATCCTTGGAATTTGAAAATTCTCACTAATAATGCTGGATCTGTGCTCAGAGCTTTGGGTCCTTTAATGGGTAATTTCATCATTTTCTATTTTATTCTTTTTTTGATATTTTCTCTTAGATACGTTTTTTTTTAGATTTGTGACATTAAAAGTTACTTTTTTTATATAATCTCAGGATTGCTACGCAACCTGGAAACCTGAAAATGTCAGGGAATTTTATAAACTTTGAAAAAACCTTGAAAAGTCAGGGAATTTTGATCGAAATCCTAGAAAATTGTTGTTTTCTAAAGTTATTATTCTTCTGAAATTAACTAAATTTGTTAATATTATATTTAATTGATTATAAAAAATAATGGATTTATAGAAGAATTTTAGTTAAAAACACTAAAACAAATTGAATTTGGAAGTAATTACAAATTATTGCAGAAATACAATTATTTTCAAAAGTAGTAAAATTCTTCACAAGATTTCAATTATTTTGAAAAATTTTAATTATTTTCAAAAACTTTCCACAATTCGATGAATTTTAATATCTACTACTTTAATAAAAATTTATAAAAGAATTCAACAGAATTCAATTAGTTATAAAAAATATTAATAAAATTCTACGCAAACATTTAATTATTTTCGTAAATAATAAATATTTCACAGGAATTCAATTATTTACAAATTATTTTCATATATTATTCAATTATTTTTATAATAATATTTCATAAATGATAAAATTCTTAAAAGAAATTCAATTATTTTTAATAATTTGAATAAAATTCGTTACAAGAATTCAATTATTTTCATGCTAATAAATTTTCTCATAGGAATTCAATTATTTTTACAAATAATAAAATTTTTCATGATAATTCAATTATTTAAAAATTTTTTTATCAAATTCTTCACAAGAATTCAATTATCTTCATAAATAAATAAAATTCTTTCTAGGAATTCAATTATTTTTACAAATAATAAAATTTTTCATGATAATTCAATTATATAAAAATTTTGTTATCAAATTCTTCACAAGAATTCAATTATTTTCATAAATAAATAAAATTCTTCCTAGGAATTGAATTATTTTTAATAATTTAAATAAAATTCGTTACATGAATTCAATTCTTTTTACAAAGAATAAAATTTTTCATGATAATTTAATTATTTAAAACATTTTGAATAAAATTCTTGACAAGAATTCAATTATTTTTATAAATAATAAAACTGAATTTATATTAAATATTTATAAAATAAAGCTGAATTTCAATTATTTTTAATACAATTTTAATAGAATTTCTCCAAAAAGTTGTTATTCTTAAAAATTTTATTAAAATTCTTTATGAAAATTTAATTTTAAGAAACATTCAATTGTTTAATCAAATATTTATCTTTATAGTTAAATAATTGAATTCTCGTAGAATTTTTTAATAAATATTAATTTAAAAATGAATTTTAAATTAACAGTTGAAACGGAAAAATTATTCTCATAAATTTTAATAAAATTCTTTCAAATTATTCAATTATTTAAAAAATTTGTAATTAAATTCTTGACAAGAATACAATTATTTTCATAAATAATAAATTTTCTCAATGGAAATTTTGAATAAAATTCTTCGCGAGAATTCAATTATTTACATGATAATAAATTTTCTCAGAGGAATTCAAAAATTTTCATGGATTTGAATAAATTCCTTCTCAAGAGTTCAATTTATTATTTTCATAAATAGTAAAATTTTCCCAAGGAATTCAATTATTTTTAATAATTTGAATAAAATTCGTTACAAGAATTCAATTATTTTTATAAATAACAAAATTCTTCTCAGAATTTCAATTATTTTTTAAGAATTTTCATAAAATTCTTTACAAGAATTCTATTATTTTTACAAATAATAAATTTTTAATGAGAATTAAATTATTTAAAAAAAATTTAATTAACTTCTTGACAAGAATTTAATTATTATCATAAATAATACAATTCTTGACAAGAATTCAATTATTTTCATAAATAATAAATTTTCTCAATAAAGTTAAATTGTTTTTATCAATTTGAATAAATTACTTCGCAAAAATTCAATTATTTTTTATGGATTTATTTGAAAAAAATTCTTCGAAAGAGTTAATTTATTTTCATAAATAATAAATTATCTCGAAAAAATTGAATTATTTTCATAAATAATAAAACTCATCACAGAATTTCAATAACTTTTAATACAATTTTAAATAAATACCTCGAAAAATGCAAGTATTCTTAAAAAATTTTTTAAATTCTTCGAAAGAAATCAATTATTTTTAACAAGTTTAATTTAATTCTTATAAGAATTCAATTTTAAAAGAAATATTTACTAATTCTATAAAGTATTTACTTTTTTATTTAAATAATTGAAATCTCGTAGAATTTTCTAATAAGAATTGATTTAAATTAAAATTTAGATAATAATTGAATATTAAAAGCGTTATAGTGTGAATTTTTAGAAATAATTCAATTCCAAAAGGATTTTTAAATTGAAATCTTTGAAAATTTGAATTGATGTAAAATTTGTAATGTTATTAAAATTTATGAAAATTAGGAAATTAAGTAAGTGAAGTAAAATCCAGAATGAAATGTTTGTGATTTTTTTGAATAGTCTAAAACAAATTTTTAATTTTTAAAAGATACTTGAATTAAAAACAAATAAATTATTAAGAATTTTTAAATTAATTGGAATCTTTTTGAAATTAAATTGAACATAATTAAATTTTAAGAAAGAATTTCTTTAGAGATTTCAAAGAATTTAATTTTTATAGAATATTAATTTAATAAATAGTAATTAGTTAAACTCTAAAACAACTTTCTAAAACTTATTCATTATTATTAACACAAAAAAATATTTTATTTGCAAATTTCCATTAAATCAAATTTCAGAACAGTTTTTAAACTAAAATTTTCGAAAATTTTAATTTGCTTTGAAAAAAATAATTGTAAATAGAGATTTATTTTAAAAAATTTCTGTAAGTTTTAAATATACCTAATTTCATTTAAAATTGAACAGAATTAAATTTGTGAAAGATTTTCATTAGAGGTGACTTGACTTTTAGGTGTGACAGTGCCGACACTTCACGTGGGAATGTTATTCAGCGCTTGTTGTTGGTATCGCGATCCCCACGGTCTACCTTGGATAGAATATTTACACACTGGTGGGAAGAAAATTTGGTACGGCATTCCCGATGAGCATAATAATAATTTTAGAAATGCACTTGCAAAAATGGTGCCACGTTATTGCAAGAATAAAACAATATGGTTACCGTCTGACACTGCAATGGTACCGCCAGAATTGCTCGTTAAAAATGGAGTTCCCTTGTGTCAAACTGTTCAGGAACCTGGACAATTTATCGTCGTATTCCCAAAAGCATTTACTTCAAGCATTTGCACCGGTTATGTTGTCTCGGAAAGTGTTTATTTTGCTCAATCCCCATGGCTCGAGGCCGCCGAACAAGTATTTAAGGTAATTTTTCAAATTTTTGTATAAATTTGTCCTTTTTGTCTCTCTAATATTTGTTAGTAGATAATTTGTCCTTTTTTTCTCTCTAATATTATTAGTAATTTGTCCTTTTGTTATCTCTTAAATTTTAGTAATTTGTTCTTTTTGTTCTCTTTTAATTTTTCGAAATTTGTCTCTAAATTTCTAAATAAAATATAAATTTCAAAAAAATTTCCAAATAATTTATAAATTAATAATTTATTTCTTTTTAGGATATACAAGATAGTTGCGAACCATCTATATTTTCTTTGGAGAAATTACTCTTCAGTATTATTAACGATACGAGATCGCATATCGATGTTTTGAAACAGGTAAATTTTTAATTTGAATTTACTTATTCAATTAAATTCCAAAAGGTTTTTAAATTGAAAATTTTTATTTTTTAGTTGAAAATTTTAATTTCTGTAAAAGTATAATAATATTTAAATATTTTCTTTTTTAAATGATTAATTTATGATTTTTCTAAAAAAATATTATAAGGTTTTAAATAATTTTATTTGAAAAAAAATAATTGATTTTGGAAGAATTGTAGTTGTAATTTTTAGAAATATTCAAATTTATTTTGACTTTTATTAGTTTTTTCCTTTCTTATTCTAAATTGATAATTGTCTTTGTTTTCTTTAGATATTACCAACGGTGAAGAGAGTCTGCGAGAGGGAAATTGATTTTCGTCGACAAATAAAAGCACTGGGTTTGACAAATACGGAAAAACTGCCAACGCCCGAAAGTGGCAAGAGAGGAAAGAGCAAGAAGGTGAAGGAAGAGGACGGCGATTTTGAATGTGAAACATGTCGATCAAATTTATTTGTTTCGTTAGTTAATAATTCACAAGATGACAGTATGTATTGTCTTCCACACGCGATTCAACTTTTAACTAGAAAAAAGCAGATAATGAAAAATTGCTGTCTTATGATTGCATATAGCGAGGTAAATTTATTCTCTATTTTTATTTCATTAATTTAACCATTTTTCTTACTCTTATTTCCAATTATTCAATTTTTCTAATCTAACATTCAATTTGAATTAATGGAATTTAATTTTAATGTAATTTTAATGTAATTTTAATTTAATTTAAATTTAATTTTCATTGCAGGATGAATTGGACGATTTAATTCACAAACTAGAAGACAGAATTGAAGCGAAATCCAAGAAGAATTACTCCTTTAAGCAAAAATAAGTAGATAATTATATCCGTGAATGGATTTATAATATTTTTTTTCTTTTTTTTTTTAAACTAGACATTAATTTTCAGATCGCAATTTCTATTTGTTGTCTTAATAATTATAAATATGAAATTGTCGAAATAGTCATTTCGAGATATAAACTATATAATTAGTTTCATAAGTTTCCATATCAACAGATTAAATGAAAAAGAAACAAAAGTTTTTCCAATTTTGGTGAAATTTTTACTTAGACTGACTGATTGAATTTTGAAAGAAGAGCGTGATATATAATTGATTTTTTTTAAACTCTCTAGTGACTGATTTCCAAAAAAGAAAAAAAAAAGAAAGAAAATGATTCGAATACTTGAAACAATTGACTGGGAGATTATTTTTTCTATATGTAATATCGTAGTCAATTGTTAAGCATATTTCTTTGATTCCTAACACTTAGAATTAGTTTTTAATTGGTGCCAAATGAAATGATTGAAATGAGATTATAATCGTAATCAATATATGATTATACTTTTTCTAGTATATACTTTGTTTGTATATTTTAGAAAATATTATCTATAGATAGAATAGAATTTAACAAGACAAGAAAAAAAAAGAAGTATTCATAGTAAAAAGAAAATAGCGAAAGTATTAATGCATTCGAAACTTATTGGTTTCGATTGATGTGATCCTATTGATCTGTAGTGTGCCTGCAATATAAAATATTATATAATTTTTTGTTCCTCATAATCGAGCAGACAATTTTTTTTTTTAATTTTTTTCGTCAAAGTAGAGAATTTATTGTGTAAGATTTTATCTCTTTTGCGCTTAAATCCATGTAACTTCACAAGTATCGAGTCAACTGCCGTGTTTTTGTGTGCTTTTTACCAAAGTACAGCCTTGACCTTTTTTTTACACAAGGCTGCATAATAAAATAGTAAATTGTTTTTTGCTCTCTATGTATCGAAATTGTAAAAACCTTTTTCCTCGTGAAATATATGGCCTTAAATGTTTCATCGTTTCAATTTTAATTAATCTGCAAATAATTTCCTCTAAAACTAATTTTTATAATTTCTTCCCCTATTTATTATTTTTAATATTTTATTTATTAAATAGTAAATAATAATGTAGGTGCTTGAAATAAAAAAAGTATTCATAAGTGAAAAAAATGTATTGAAACTTTCAGTTCACAAAAATATGATAATCGCTTGAGGTAGCATTATTTAAGAATTAGAAAATACATTTTCATTCATCATCATCATCATCACAATATTTATCAATTTTCATTCATTCTCTACAAAGATTTTGTTTTTTCTTTGTAAAATGCGAAAAATTATTTTCTTAACACTATTTTCTTCTTTTTTTTTATACAATAAAAAGAGAAAAAGACTTTATTTCAGTCTTAACAAACTTACGTATATTATCATGATATCATTGTGTACAATTATTTTTCTGTTACGAAACAAATTTAAATATTCTAAAAAACTTTTTATTTTTGTTAAATAACTTTATATATTTACAAATATTAAACACTAGCAACAACTAGTAAATTTAGATTCATAAAAACTTTTAAATATAGTAAAATTTTCTTTCTAGAAAAATTATAATTGTGTATAAAAAATATTTTGATCGTGAATTAATTTAGAGAAAATAATAATTTTAAGTTTTAATAATTATAATTGAAAATTCATTTTAAATTTAATTTTTTAATTCCACCGGTTTAGAAAAAAATATGCTCTATAATTATAAGATAAATATATATATAGTGACTGTTGATAAAATATATACAATAGAAAAAAAAATTGGTAAAATTTTCAATATTATGCGAGAAAATTATTTATATTGCGGTAAAATTATTGATAATTATAGAAATAAAAAAAATATACGATAAATGAAAAATTTGAACTTAAGGAATTCATTGCACATTGTTATTTAAATTATCCATGGCGCATTTGACTTTGACTAGCAAAACCTTTGGATAATGTGCAATGATTTATAAGAATAGTTTTAAATCTTATTATGACTGCAATATTGACTTGATGGCAACAGTTCTTTTTTTATAAGCTAAATAAAAAATACTTCCTCTATACTGAAGCAGTTGAATAAAAAAAAATGTTAGGAATGCTTCTCATAAAACTTGATTTTGCGTATTAATTATAAAAAAAAATAAAAAAAAGAAATACAAAAGATTAACGAAAGAAAAAACAGGAAAAGAAATATAAAAAGAATAACGAAAGAAAAAACAGGAAAAAAATATAAAAAGAATAAGGAAAGAAAAAACAGGAAAAAAAATATAAACAGAATAACGAAAGAAAAAACAGGAAAAAAAATATAAACAGAATAAAGAAAGAAAAAACAGGAAAAGAAATATAAAAAGAATAAAAATAATAATAAAAAAGAATAAAAAAGGAAGAAAAGAAAAAAAAATAAAAAAAGAATTAAAAAATAAAAAATTTAAAAATAGTAAAAAAAATAAAAAACAAAACTGAAATGTCCGAAAAATAAAATTACTTATCCCTGTGTTGTAAAACGTTTAAAACAGATTGGGAATTATTTGTATCCTTTGATTCTTCTTCATCATCGTCAGAACTGAAATTCGAATTTAATAAATTACTTAATGATGTTGATTTTTGCAGCAATAGAGGACAATTAATTTCCATTCCCTCCTCGGAATTTCCGTCAATGCTCATTGAATTTATTGATGAATTTATCTGTAGTTCTGCATTATCATTCGGTTCTTTTTTACTCCTCATTTTATGAATAACGTGAAGAATTAATCCGCAAAGGCACATGAGCAGACCAAAGAAATTTAGACTGCTGTTCATTCGATCTTCGCCAAATTTAAATGCTATGATGAAAATACTAAATTCCTGAAAGAAAAAATTTAAATTAGTATATTTTTTCAATACTGAAAAAAAAGAATGTTTTTTGTTTCGCTTTTCTTTTTTTCCTTTTACATATTTTACTTTTTTCACTTAATTAAATTTTTCTTTTCTTTTCTTTACTTTTTTTCTTCTATTTTTCTTTTATTTTACTTTAAATTCTACTTCTTTCTTTCTACTTTACTCTTTTTGTTCTTTTTTTATTCTTTTTTTTTTTAATAAAATGGATTTTGGTTTACCTTCAATATCCCAATAATTGAGAGTGTCAGACTAGAAGTGTATGTGACAACTAAAAATTCGAAAATTTCCATACAAAAGGCAATAATACCTCCACTCACAATGTACGTTACTGTTAAATATATCGCATTCAAATTATTCCAATCAGTCGCGTTGAGACCGTTGTAAATTTTTTCACCTAAAAATTTTAAAAGCAAAATTTAAATAAATATAATTTTAAAAATAAATTAATATAAATTAGAAAAATAGTTTTAATATAATATTTAATATAAACATAATTTATTTACAATTCCATTATTATATTTTCATCAATTTTAATAAAATTTTTCGCAAGAATTTAATCTATTTTTCTGTTTAGTAGAAAAATTAAAAAAAAAATTACGTACCTTCTAAGAGAAATGTCACAAATACAGTTGATAGTAATATCCAAGGTTGCATGTAGTACATCATATCTATTGGATTTTTAAATCCAAGTTTTGTTTTTTGCATTACTAATTGAGCCAACGTCCAACGTATTCCCGACGAAAACGATGCAATAAGACAAAATGTAAATCCCAATAAATGAAAACTTGTTGATTCATATGTGAACATTATTAATCCGCCTGAGATCATTAATACTATGAAAAACATAGACGCTGACTGAAAAGTAATTTTTATAATTAAAGAAAAAAGTCATTTTTACAATATTAAAGCGAAAATAATTCTTAATGATATTCAAGAGGCAAGAGACAAAGAGTGAATTTTTATAATTGAAATGAATGAATTTTTAAAACTAAAATGAATGAATTTTCAAAACTAAAATAAATTAATTTTTATAATTAAACAAATTCATTTTTATGATGAAAATAGAAGACAATTTTCAATCGTTAACACTAAAATAGATGGAAATTTATTTCTTATTATTTAATTAATCGACGATTTCTTTTTTGTTGAAAAATTTTCTGACAGATTTTCTTTTCTAATTAATTTATTACCTTCCTCTCCAGTTTGAAAAGAACGGCAAAAAATAGAATGAAAATGATTGACGTTGATTTTGTCATTGTGTACCTGAAAAATGGAACAAAAAACCCTCATTTTTTAATTAAATGAAAAAAATGTATTTTACAAGCGTAAAAAAATATTTAACAGGTGTAAAAAAATATTTTACAAATATAAAAAAAAATTCTGCAAAATAAAAAAAAAATTCTGCGAACAGATTACCGGAATACAACAATTATTAATATATACATATATATTTTACAGATATAAACAAATATTTTGCAGATATAAAAAAAAACTTTACAGATATAAACAAATAATTTGCAGAATATAGACAAATATTTTGCTGATAAAAATAAAAATTTGCCAATAAAAAGAATAGACAAAGGTAGACAAGATGAAAAGAATGCAAAAAATATCTAAAAAAAACAAGGATTACTCACAAAGGTACCGATATAAATTTAAGTGATTTGTTAGAAAGTCCAACATCGATTCCAGTCGCAAAACCAGGAATGGCAAGTGCCCAGACAACCGTTTTCCATGGCAATCTTATTGGTTGACGTTCTCTACAAATTGTTCTTCCACAATTTATAAGAGCACACAAAATATATTTTAATAACGAATGAATAACCACAGTGGCAAGAGGATAATTAAAATCCTAGAAAAACGAAAAGAAAAGACAATTTTAAATGTATCCACTTTCTTTAAATAACAAAAATAATAAATCTAAATAAAACAGTAAAATATAAAAATATTTATTTTTATATTTTAAATATTTATATTTCTAAAATTCAAATAAAAATTTAAAAATAATAATTATAATATAATAAAATATTTTACTTACATAAGTTTTGAAAAGCCATTTTTGATAGAACGTAAGTCCCATCGACAGGACAAAATACGGGCATATTATTATAATAAGCAAAAATTGATTTTGCTGAAAGACTAACTGTTTTTTCGACGGAGTTTGTAAATTTTGATCATTTTGCAAAAAGTACTCAGTATTCTCGACTTCATCTCTTGCAATTTCGTATTTAACATTGAATCTTGGCATATTTCATTCATTTGTATCAAGTACTGCAAAAAAAGAAAAAGAAAATATTGTGTCAGTTTTCGAAAATAAATAAATGTTCAGGAAACAAAAAAAATATATTATACAGTAAAAATAGTCTGAAAATACGATCGATAACAAGAATGATGGGAGAAAAATTTTTGCCAGCATATGTTCAACTTGTTATCACTGAAATTTCACTGATAATGAATTTAAATAGAAATGTCTTTATTCTAAATATAGAATACAATGAAATGAAACCAAAATTTATCTTTGTTGTCTCACTTAAATAGTGATTAAAATAATAAAACAATTTTTTATCTTCAAAAATTGATGTATTATGAATTAAATTTATATACATATATATTGTAAACTTACTTACTGAATGCAAATTTTTCGCTCATTTGTAATGTTCGAAAAAGAATTTCTTTTTTTTAATTTAGTGCGAAGAACTTGATTGCAAATTTGTACATTGTGCACTGGGGAAGATTAAAAAGATAATCTAAACATGCCACCTGTTTGACTGAATAAAATAATGGCATCTTGACATGACATAAACAATAAGTCTAGACGAAATTTACTTAATTTTCCTGATTTTCCTATTTCGAAAATTCGATTGATAATCATTGGAAAATTTGCTCTTCCAATAAAACATCTAGTTAGGCAATTTGTATGGGAAACTGTTGTAAATATTTATAAAATAAAGTCTAAGTTTTAAATCTAAATGGTAAACAGGGGAAACAGGGTAAACACTGATGTAAACATAACCTCCAAATTTGTTATGTACCACAATTCGCGCACTAAAATAACAAACTTAATTTGAATAAATTACTGTATATGAGAGTAATTCGGTACGTTAACCATCGAAAAGTATTAAACAGTAAAAATACATCTTTTCAACAAGGAAACATTGATAAAGTTTGTTGACTTACGCACACATTCATAACCAGAATCACTTTTTTTTCAACGGAACTGAACGGAACGAATCGATTTATTATAGTTTGTAAATCGTTATTTTGAAAAAAGTATTTTTTCTCCAAAGAAAGAAACCAGTTTAAAGAAAAGATTTTTTTTATAAAGATTATTATTTATAACAAATTATTATTATTTGTTATAAAAAGACAAAAAGTTATAACTTTGATTTAAAAAAAGGCGGGAAGGAACAGCCATGCGAAATTTCGCGCTTGCGCACTGTGGGTATTAAAGGGCTGAAGGTTATGTTTTCCTTTAAAAAATAAAGTTCCTTTAGTAAATATGGTAAATATTTGTGTTTATTGTGTTTAATTAATTAATGAAATTAATAATTTGGTACAATGATTGTTTGATTCATTTCCAAACTTCCAAAGTGGGAAATTACAATAATCGGAGAAGAATGACAATTCTATGATTCTAAGGATTTACGGATATTAAGAGGAGATTAAAAATAATTTGCCGAGCCATTCATACATATGTAACTATTAACAAGTAGTTTTTTTTACACTTTCAATTTATATTTATATAAATAAAGACGTACGTTCGTCGATCTGTGAGGGAAAGAAAATTTAAATGCAATTTTTCTCTATGAATAACAAAACAAAGATTTATAGTGTTTGATAAGTGAAAAAACATCCAAAAATATCCTAATCGAATGATTCCTATTTTTCTAATGTTTCTAATTAATAAAACATTTGGTTTTATTATAAATTAATTTTGCTTTTTCATTTTTTAATTAATAATTTGAAACTAAAGGAGAATTTGACTTTATTTTTTAAATTATTCACGAGTAATTGCATTTATATTTATAAATATTATTTCGTTGTAAATATTATTTCATAGTTTTATATATATATATATATATATATAATTTTTAGGAACGAAGAAATCTTCCGTGATTTCACAATATTGGGTAAAATTATAAGTGACTGGAAATTATTAATTTTAATATTCAAAAATGAGTGCCGGATGTTGGAAATTTAACGAGGAAAATAGAGGTGAGTTATTTTTGTTTTTTAAAAAAATTAATTTTTGATTTAACATTTCTTCTCTCTATTTATAGACGGAAAATTTAATTATGGAATTTTTTTCGTCGTTGCATTTTATACCTTGAAATAATTAGGGCAATGTTGCTTTCATAACGTTTACATTCGTGATTTGTTTCGTCATCGATTAATAGTTTTTGAATTTAAAATCGTTCGCGGTTTTTTTCTCTGTTTAATTATTTTTCTATTTTTTTCTCTTTTTTATTTTAGCTGTGTACATAGACAGGGAAGATGAGTCTGAGGAACAAAAATTAAAAAATATGTACAGTAATTGGGATCAGTTGCCGGATATTTTGCTTGAGCAGATATTTTCCTATTTGACGATTCGCGAACGTTATTATGCATCATTGGTCTGTAGAAATTGGTATCGTGCCTTTAAATTGCAAAATGTTTGGTCAATTTTCACACTCGAGGATACAACATTGACGAGGGGGAAATTTAATTATTACAGTGGTTGGCAATATGTTCTTGATCACATGAGAATATCGACTTGTTTGAATAAAGTTGGAAAACACTTTCGTTGCCTTATATTTGAGCCGATGTTGAATTTTTACAATTTATATGAATTTATGAATATGGTCTCGTGGTATGCGGAGAGACAGGGCTCGGACAATACTTCGGTGGCTGGTGTTGGCACGCATATTCGTCGATTGAAATTTACATTTTTTTGCAATATGGCAAATAGAGATAATCCTGATCGAATTCGTGTTTTTGGAACTGGTGGGAAATTACTCGAGGCTTTAAAGAGATTAATGATTAATTTAGTTAATCTCAAGTGTCTCGAACTTATAGACTTGATGCTTGATAGTAAGGAAGCACTTTTTCTCATGGACGATATTTGCGCGAATTGTACACAAACTTTGAGGAAACTTATTCTTATTAATGCAACGAGAGAATTTTGTCCACTTTTACACGTCGGTGTCTTTCTCAATTTACACGTAAGTTTGTATCTCAATCTACTGTACAAAAAAGTAATTTTCTTTATTATTAATTATTAAAATACAATTTCTTTATTATAATAATATAATTATAATTTTTATCTGAAAAAAATATAATTTTCTTAATTATAAATAATTATAAATAATTACAAATATAATTATAAATAAATACTAAATAAATTATATTTGCAATAATAATTAAAATTACTAAAATACAATTTATTTATTATAATATAATATAATTATAATTTTTATCTTTATATTGACTGAGTCGCTGTCAGAGTCGAAAGTCGAAAGTGTTTTTTGTCAATTTTTTACTTTACAAAAAACAATTAATTTATGAACGGTAATTTTTTTTTCTATTTTAGACTTTGATAATAAGTCCTCAGAATTTACACGAAGATGTTGTGGAACTGATTGGACATACAAAATTAAAGCATCTTCACATTGTGCAAAATCGTTACAGTCCAAAGGACACTACAATTCGTTTGGTAATGTAAAAAATAATGAATAGATTTAAATTAGAACCAAATTTGATAATTTTGAAACAAAAAAATTTTATTTTCAAATATGAACTAAGTACAATCTTTTCATAATTTCGGATTTAAAGTTAAAAATAAAAATCACTTATTAATTAATTAAATAATTAATTATCTATTATTCAATTATATTTATAAATAATACAACTTTTTGAAAAAATTAAATTATTATCAAAAATTTGAATAAAATTTAGATTATTTATACAAATTCAATTATTTTCATAAATTTCGATAAAATTTGTTTAAAAAAATTAAAATTTTCATAAATTATAATAAATAAAAAAATTAATTAAATAACTAATTTTTTCAGCCGAAAAATTGTTCTTGGGTGAAAATGAGACTGAACAATCCGAATTTGAAAGTTCATTTTGAGATAGAGAGTCAAAAATCAAGTGACATGTCGTTAGTTGCTGATTTAATGAGTTATAAATCAATTCCCTGCCACAGTATCGTTTTAGACAGTCCAAAATATCAGGTAATTTCGAGCATTTTTTAAATAAATTTAAATTAAAGTTTTCTAAATGAAAAACTAATTTAAGTTGAATAAATTAAAAACAGGTTCCCGTCTCTGCAATTATAGAACAAGGATTGTGTTTTCAATTGTCATTGAAAGTTTATGCATTAAAGGGATTATCGAGATATTATTTACCGAAGAATTTCGCCAAACGGATCGACGAGACAATTGTTAGATTTTGCCGATTGTGTCCAAATCTTCACACACTGGTAGCATTTTAAGTTTGAAAAACTTTACGTGTGCTGCATTGGTTTTTCCCTGGCTGTTATGCTGTCTCTTTTAAATTAATAAGTTTGTATTTTTCTCAATCTTTAATAATCATTTTTAATTTTATCTTACGATTTTTCAAAAATCATTTTCAATTTTACCTTCACGAATCGTAATAATTGATTTCTCTTTTTTTACTTTCTACGAAATTTTTTTGTTAAAAATTGACTAACAGAAAACAATTTTATTACTAATCGAAATAATATTTTTTTAATAATAATAATAATAATAATAATATGATTAAAAATTATAAGCATGTTTTATTTCTGTGCTTTACTTTCAAATTCTGTTTTGATTAAAAATTAATCATTTTCCCAGGTGGAAGTTTCTTTTAGCTTTCCATTAATTTCAATAATTATGATAAAATTAATTAAAATTAATTAATTAATTAATTAATTATTTAAATTTAAAACGTATCTTTTTGTTTTGAGTTTATTTTCTTTGTAATTGAATTCATTTTTAATTTCCTAATATTTATAATTAAAATAATTTTTGTATTAATAATTAATATTTTTGATATTAAAATTAATATTTAGTTCATTAATATAATTTGTTATTTTTTTTTTTAATTAATATTTCTTCGTTTTAATAGAATTATTATTTTGTCTATTAAAATAATTAACATTTTTTACGCAGATGATTCATGATAAAATATCAACAGCCACGATTCTCGAAATTGTATCAACGGCAAAAAGATTACGCTGCTTGTACGTTCGAAAGAATGTCATTTTAAAAAGATGCGATCGAGATTGGTCAAATATCACCGACTGGACATCGGAACATTATCAGTGGATTAAGGCGAATAGTAATTGTTACGAAAGTACTGAACGAGAGGTCTCGAAAATATTGGGCTACCGTTGGCATATGCTCTCTGAAAAGGAATTCAAAAATCAGGAAATTGGTTTACACATTTAAATTATAAATCACATTTCCTCTTTTTCTCACTTCCACCATTGACTGCAATACTCATCTTTTTCATGGTAAATTTTCAATTTTATTTAAAAGCAAAAAATATCATTTTTCATAAAATTCTTTCTAAGACTCTTTTTACAGCTTGTTACGAAAAATCTTGATTTTAAACTTTATTCTAGTCATTAAACATGTAGATCTTTTTTTGAAAATGTAAAGTAAATATCCTAGTAAACGGCACTGGCAAAACAAAAAAAAATATTTTTAAACATTTTTATCATTATTTTTAACCAATTAGCCAAGTGTCGCTGACTAGTGCATTTACCTTATTTTGGATTGTTCAAATTTTTAGGAAAACAAGGAAATAAAAAGTTTTTTGTTTCTCAATTCTGTATTTATTAAAATTCACTTCCTAATTTACAATGAAAAAATCAACAAAATTAAAACTAGCAATGCCCCGATTAAAGAGCAAAAAAATGAATTATTTTTATCCATACCAATTATGTTCGATAAAAAAAAACAAATATAACATTATCGTAAAGCGATATATTTTTTTTTACTATATAAATGCTTGTCTTACTTTTTTTTGTGTCCAAATTATCACTTTTTTTTCTTTAAATCAACGTGTCTTTCTTCAGAAAAAATAGATACAAATATAAAATATTTCAGAATTTTCTTCAATTATCTATATAGTGAAAAAAAAACTGAATTTATCTAAAACATTGTCAAATTCTTTAAAAAAAATATGTATATACAGTAAACAAAATTTCGATAACTACACGTATTTTCAATTAGCAAAATATTAAAATCTACGAGTTTTGTTTGAAGCTTTTTTTTTTTGTTTCTTTAAATAAATTGTCCTTCTGTATATACAGTTTCACATGATTTCTTTTTCTTTTATAGAAGTAATCATTCTCTCATCCGTTAATTGTTTTCAATAAATTAAAAATTGTAAAATTCATTCATTCTCTCACGCGGTAAATTAACTATAAGGGGAAAAAATTGAAAAAAAGTGAAGAAGTTTACAATGCCAATGCTGCGGAACGCTTGTCGCGATTTTTACTACGAAGAATGGTCCTTGCCTTAAATGCTGCTGCGTTCATCAGTGTCTGGAAAATGGAGGAATTTTGTTATTATTTCTATTCCGAATAATTATCCATTTTTAAAAATATATTAAAAAATCTATTTTTAACAAAAGAAAAGTAGAAATTTTGTTGTATTTTTTTTTGAAAATTAACAACCTTTTCGAGTTTGGTGGTTTTTTGCGTTGTCGGCATTGGCAAGACACGATTTCCAAGATGAAAGATTTCCCGCAAGAGTTGATTTTCAGAGAGATGAATATTTATTCCCGGACCAAGAAGTCGACAGCATGCGTTATATTGTGTTCGTGCGCACCAACCCTCTAGATACAAGACTTCTTTGCCGAATTTTATGTGCATTTCCGGTGTAATATCATCCTGGAAAAAGAAAAATTAATTTCAATTTCAAATTAGAATTTTTGCTTTACAAAATTTTCCAGAGCAGCCACAACAAAAATTGGAGATATTTTAGCGAATATCACTCGATTATTTTTTAAAATTTAAAATTCAATTATTTTAATTTTAAGAATTTTGAGAAGTTTTAATTGTTAATGAAATTTTAAGAAATTTCAATTGTCTTTCTAATTCCAATTATTAAAAAAAACAATTCAACGCTAGTAAAATTATGAGAAAAGAAACTTTTAGATTTTTAAGTTTTTCAAAAAATGTTTCTCGATAATAAAAAATAGAATATTTTGTAGTAATTAGAAATTTTGATATTTTTCCTGTAATTTTAATAAAATTTCCAGACTTTTCTCTAATGTTCCTGAACTGTGGCAATCCTGTTTTTTGTTTATTTGAATAGTAAATACCTCGATATAGCGTAAAATATCTCTGAAACTCGCTCGCTGTTGTTTACGATCCTTCTTTGCTCTGTACTTGTTGGAATCGGTTGCAAGATCCCTGAGCATCTCAACCAACTCAAGTGCCCATTCTTGTTCGTAGTCATCGCAAAATTCACGACCGAGTTCGAAAATCACTGCCAATGCCTCGCCAGCAGATAGACGCACGTCAAGATGAGGCGATTCGAGCAACTCTCGCAAACGACTCAAAGATCTGACAAAAAAAAAAGATAGAACGCTTCATTAAAAATTACAGGACAAATTTGGTACAAATCTTTAAAAAAATGTTAATTTTTCTTATTCTGTGAATAATCGGAATAAAAATAAAAGAATTACTTTACATTAATTTAAAAGGATTTCTTTACAATAATTGAAAAGAATTACTTTGCATTAATTGAAAAGAATTACTTTAAATTGCAAAGAATTAGCCTAAAAGTATGTTTAGATCGATTAGCAAATTTTCTTACATATTAATTTCTTTTTTTTTATTTTATAAAAATTAATTTATAAAAATTAATTTTCTTAATCTGCGAAAAATCACTTACGGCATACAAGTATTGGAGCGATTACTTCCAAGTAGATTGTAAATTTCAAAGGGTGACATGACAGTCAAAAGTAAAGTCCACGAGGAAATTGCTGCCGCATGAAGAGCCGCCACATCAGCCGAAATTGTCGGCAATGCGCCATTGCCTTTTAAAAATGAACCGGAAAAAATTGTCGAAAACAATTGAATTATTTCAATAGTGTCAGCAGAATCGTTCCCAGAGAAAAATTGATTTAAACCCAAAGCCCAGCAGCACTGAAAAGAAACATAAGTTAAAAATGAAAAAGAATTTTTTTTAATAGAAAAAGGAAGAAACAGAAAAATTATTTTCTTTTTCTTTCTTTTTTTGTTTGTATTTTTTTTTGGAACTCACCTCTGATCTTGCATTAGTCGACGCCGAATTATCATTGGCAATGCAAATTAATGTCGATTTTATTTCCTTGCAAACAGTTTCGGCACTCTCAAATGCACCCAATTGAACGCAAAGTAATGTACTTAATCTTGCAGCAATCGATTGTTCATCACCGCGGCCCTTCTTCAATCCACGTTCAATTGCATCTGTGATGGTCATTTTTCGATCCTCAACAAAATCAGGAACATATTTAGTGGCAAAAATTTTCTCAATCCCCTGAAAACAATTTGTTCGTCCCTTGGCACTTTTTTGCGTTAATCCATCGATTGCGTCCCTTAAATTCTCCTCAAATGCCTCCTGCTGCTGAGTAGGTTCATCCACCTCATTATCATTAACTTCTTCCACGATATTTGCATCCGACAATCCACTCGTCACACTACAAGCATCATTAACCGAATCCTCATCGGAAGTTCCCTCCGTCCTCTTCCCGCCGTGACCTGCAATTTTTTACATTTTTCTTGAAAAATTAATTCTCTTACCAATCAAAAATTAATTAATTAATTTCTCTTACCAATTTTAGAATAAATATAATTTTACAGGGTATCTACTATTTTTGTTCAACAAAATTCACGGCTTTGTCCTAATTTTTTCCGGTTTTTTTTTCTCATCAAATTTAAATTTATTTGATTTCAAACATAAATAAATCTACAAATGGCTTCAAAAATTTTTAATTATTTGTTTATAAAAATTCAATTATCTTGAAACAATAGAATTGAAAAATTTCAAAAATCTTATTTTTCAGAATTTTCAAAAAAAAACTTTGCTAAAATTCAATTTTATTAAAAGATTTTAAGTGTGTATCTTTTTTTAAATTAACTAAAAAAAAATTTACTTTATAAATTAAATAAATATTTAAATAAATAAAAATAAATATTAAATTAAATTGAAATTTAATTTATAAATTCAAAAATTCAATTGATAAATAAAATTTTTGTTTTGAATATTTCAACTTCTTGTTTGTATAGGAAAATTATTAATTCTGATTTTTTCTTTTTTTTTTTTTAGTTTTGAATGGCCTCTCGGATTGAATTAATATTTTCGAAAGGGAAATAGACGCGTGAAAAGTGAATGTTACAAATGTTATTACATAAGATTAAATCAAACCAGCTGTTACTTCATCTGGGTTGCATAAATTCAAAACTGGATTTAATATTGAAAATAGAGAATTTTTATTAGTAAAAATTACGTGTGTGCAATTAAACAAAAAAATTACGTAATTATATCGTTTTCAAAACGAATGAAACAATATGGTTCGCGGGTAAATATTAAATTACTAAAAAAAGTCAAGGTTATCGTATGAAAAATATAATTTAATGAGAGATAATATTAAATCTCGCAGTAAAAGATACATATTTGACGTTTCTTTCATATACAAAAACAAAAATTCCATTAGTCATTTTTAAAATTTTTTTCTGTGTATTTCCCAATAGCAATATAGTTCTTGATCTTTAAAGAAAGAGAACAAGTTTATCTGGCTTAGCATATTTTAAGCAGTTGCTATTTCTGACTTTCAGTCGATTTTAAATTTATAATTTTAGATTCAATTTACACTTTCTGTTTCTGTCGTGACCTAAGAAAAATGGTTCATTTGAAAAAAAGATAATAAATGTAAATTAAAAGTATAAAAATAGTAAAAACAATAATAATAATAGTAATAATACTAATAATAATAATAATAATAATAATAATAATAATAAAAATTATAATAATATAAATAAATAAAAAATAAATTATTTACATTATAACGATTATGATTTTATTACAGTTAAATCAATTTCAACTATTTATAAATAATTAGCAAATCTGCGTAAAATGCATCCTTGTAATTGCAAATCAATAACTGAATTTCTAAGGTCGCACGTGGAAAACTTATAATAAACGGAATTAGATTAAAAAAAATAATTTCCTTTTTATTGAGAAACACGTTTCCTTTATCTTATTATTCTCAATATGGAATTTGCAGTTTCATTATCAAAATTACTATCATCCATATTGTACATTATTCCACGAATTTCGTAGAAAATGAAAATATAATTAATTTTTGACGTTTAAAATAAACATAACCTAAAATTTCTATTTCTAATATCACTAGAGAGTATTTTTCTCTTTTTGGATGATATAAAAAAACGAATTGACGTAGAAATTAGTTTGCTACGCAATGCATGACGTCCTTCCATGTGCGAAAGCATGGAAGTCACATGGAGCTTACTAAGAACGAGAAATAAGTAACAAAAAACATTTTCATGCAAACACGATTTCAACCCATCTCTAGATCCATAAAGAAAATATCAAATTCCCGCACTGCAATTAACCTCGAATCAATAAATAATTCGACTATTGTGATCACAATAAAAATAAATATAAAATCCGTGACGTAAGAATAAACGAGGCCGCGAATCAAACGGATGATTTGTCTTGCCAAATGTAGCAATGATGTTCTCACGTTACACAATTCTTTTTTAAAAAAATCCCCCTTGTATCTTACAATTTTTAATCGTATTTTTCTTTAAAAAAAAAGGAGAGAAAACGGAGAAAACACACTAGTTGATAACAAAGAAGAATGTATAATAATCATGTGATTACTCACCAAATTTTCCTTTTCTACTCCCTTTCCCAGGCATTCTTCAAACACTCCTTTATTGCACAATTTACACTAAAGAAAATATTCGATCAAGAAGGTAAATGTCTTGCACTATAAATTTTCTTTCGTATACTGAATACACTGCATGAATTTTTAATAAAAATTTGATAAAAACTCATTAACATGTTGCGGGAATTTCAAAGCATACACGTCGAGTAAGCCAGCCAGGGCCTTCTCCTCAAGTTTACACTGTCGTGCTCGCTATATTAAACGAATTTTAACGATTCTTCTCGAAAATTCACGAAGGAATCTTTGCTTTTGCGCCAAACTTTCTTGTGGGCGGTTTATTTCTCGACCAATAAAAAATTACAAATGAGTGAAACTTAAGTTTTGCGCATGTGTATTGTGAAGTGCGCGCATCTCGCGCAGCTCTTTAAAATAGAGGCGGGAATTTTAAATTTACTAATGTTACGACTCTAATCAAATTTAATTTTTGAGAGAGGAAAATCTCTAAATATCATCGAAACTGAAAACCGAATGTTCAAAACCGAACAAATTTTAAAGCTACGTTCACAATAGGAATTTTTTATAATTAATTATAAAATTATATAAATCTAATAAATGTGTCAAAAATTGACCATTAGTAATAATTACACATTTTTTTTTATTATTATTGTTTATTTGTCGAAAAATATTATTTTACATTTTAGTAAATTTCTTAATTCTAATTTACAGAAAATTTAATAGTATAAAGAAGAAATTTTTCATAATTTATAATTATGTGAAGTAAAAATTTGTTAGAAAAAGTGTGAAACGTAGAAAAGTGCAACAATTACAATAATTATTAAAAATAACAAAAAATGCTTATTTTCATTTATAATTTTCACATTTGTATACAAATTGTCTTAATTGTATCCTTTGGCATTACAAAATTTGTTGCATGCTGTAAAATATCTATAAGTAATTATTAGTACATGAAAGGCTCATTAGTTTAAAAAAAAAAAAAAACTTGCTCATCCCTTTGACATGCAAAAAGTTTTTTTCTTTCGATTTTTAATTTGTTTTATTGTCAAAAAGTGAAATCCCTTTTTTAAAATTATGTTAGTTTTTTAATTTTTCAATTAAAAATTTAATTATTATTTTTTTTTAATTCTTAATTGCGTTTAATTTTTAATTCTTTAATTTTTAATTAAGTATTTAATTAATAATTTGATTATTAATTAATTATTTAACTAATAATTAAATGTCAAAAATTTAGAATGTTATTTTGTTCTAATTTTCGAGAAAAAAAAATGTTACGATTAAAGAAGCGAATGTAAATTAGTGTGAAAATATTAATAAAATTACAAACTATACTTATTTTATGATATAGTAAAAATATTTCTCTTTTTTTGATTCGAATAAAAAAAAATAATTGAAAAAAAATATTTAATCACAGTGTAGCATGCGACTGATATAAATTTTTTTTTTTTTTTTGCAATGCACATGCAGAAGAATATTTTTTCTAAATGCTTACAAAATTGCAATTATTTTTTGCTTTTGTTTTCTTTTTTTAAACCTTAATGTCAAAACGAGGGCCAAGTCCACAAAAATAGAAAATGATAAATTGTAAGAAGTATTTTGCGACGAAGTCCATTACAATCCTGCGAACAATATTTAGAAATAAAGAACTTGTATTTTTTTTTTAAATTCTACTCTAATTTTTAATGTAATAACTAATTTTAATAAATTTCTATTCTTTAATTTTATTACTTTTAATATTCAAATATTTCAATTATATTTTATTTAATTTAAACAAATTTCCAATCAAATTAAAATTTTATTTGATTTAAACAAATTTCCAATCAAATTAAATTTTTATTTGATTTAATTTATATTAATTTTCAATTAACTTTAATTTAATTTATTTTCATTTCATTTAATTGATTTTAATTTTCAATTAAATTTAAATTTAATATAAGTTAAATATTGAATATATTTAAATAAATAATATTTTATAAATTATCGTGAAAGGCAACAATTGAATAATTAAAATTTTTTAATACGTATTCTGGTCAATAAGCTACTTTGTAAAAAATATAATTAGAGACTAGAAGAAAATAAAAACTATATATTATAAGGAATTATCTTACGGAATTAAATATGTTTACCGTCGTTCAATATCGAACACAACGTTTAATTTTATCTAATCTCAAAAATGATTAGCTGTATAAACGATCAGAAATCGGTCATTATTGAAATTTTAAAATGTAAAAAGAAGAAAAATTTTCTTCAAAAGTTCACGAACTCATGTCAGAGCGAAAGCAATTTTATCTTTTGACCTCAACTCTCTCTCTCTCTCTTTACGTTTAGATAAACAATTATCTAATCAAAGAGTCTCAATTTTAGAACAAAAAATATTCTAGATTTTTTTGAATTTTAACTGTTTTTTTTATGGAATTTGATTTAGTTTAGTTTTGTGATTTCTGTCAATTTTTTTCGTCGCGTTTGTATGAAGTCGTCAACATGGAAATTATATTCCATTTTTCCTCCGCGTGTATGTTTTGGTTAAATGTTTGCTTTAAATGATTCTCAATACTGAGGGTAAAATTATTAAGAAGAGAATTGACGATTTGATTATTGTCGATGATGATGGTGCTTCTCTGGAAAGTAATTTATTAACAGTAATTTCATACGATGTACCTAGCAATTTTTCGCAAGGTGTTACTCTTATCACAAAATTAAAGAGTGCTTCGGCAATATTGGCTGGCGTTTGATCGTCACAAGTCTCCAATTCCTTCACCACGCACACTTGCAATTTTACCAGATCGCTGAAAAAAGAAAAAGAAATTTAAAATTAAAATTTAAAATTTAATTAAAATTAAATTTACAAATTGACAGTGATTACAAATTTTTCAAATTTATCATAATCATATTGCTAAAAAAGAAATTTTAAATTCAACTTATAATTTAGATGAAGATAATAAAAATTAAGTATGTAATTACAAATTTCTATAACAATTGAAAGAAAGATGTAATTTCAAAAATTACCTGCAACTTTTGTGATCCAAGACAAAAAGTGGTAGAGTCATTTCCGAAATATTATTCACATTTGTGCTGATATTTTGAACACTTTCTCCGTATGTGGAATTAAGACATTGTTGAATCACTAATTGTTTATCTTGGAAACATTTTGGTCCATCAGTTGAGATAAACACTAAAGAAAGAAAAAAATATTATGTCATTATTTTTAGTATCCATTAATAAGTCTAGAAAAAAGAAATTAAACAAATAAACTAAATTTTTTAAAAGATCCACTTAATAACTAATTGATTAAAAATTATTATATTATTATTTTTAACAACTTATAACTAATTACAAGAATACAATTATTTTCAATATAATTTTCATATTGCATTACTCAAGAGAATTTAAATTATTTTCGAAAATTTTAGGAAAATTCTTTGCAAGAATTAAATTATTTTCATAAGTAATGGAAGTCTGGATAAAATTTAATTATTTTTTAAAAATTTTGATAACATTATTTATAAGAATTCAATTTGTTTCAAAACACTTTCAATTAATTCCTCGAAAGAATTTTATTGTTTTAATCAATTTTAATTGAATTTCTCGAAAGAATTCAATTATTTTCATAAATAATAAATTTTCTCGTAGAAATTCAATATTATTTTCATGAATTTAAATAAAATTTTTCGCAAAAATTCAATTATTTTCATAAATAATAAATTTTTTAAAAGAATTCAATTATTTTGATGGATTTAAAAAAAATTGTTCGAAAAAATTCAATTGTTTTTATAAATAATAAATTTTATCAAAAAAAAAATTAATTATTTTCATAATTATAAATTTTCTCGAAAGAATTCAATTATTTTCTTAAATAATAAATTTTCTCATATAAATTCAATTATTTTCATGAATTTAAATAAAATTTTTCGCAAAAATTCAATTATTTTCATAAATAATAAATTTTATCAAAAAAAATTAATTATTTTCATAAATAATAAATTTTCTCGAAAAAATTCAATAATTTAATGAATTTGAATAAAATTCTATTCAGAAATTCAATTATTTTCAGAAATAAATTTTCTCGAAAAAATTCAATTATTTTCATAAATAAAAAATTTCCTCGAAAAAACTCAATTATTTGCATAAATAATAAATTTTCTCAATGAAATTAAATTATTTTCATGAATTTGAATAACATTCTCTTCAAGAATTCAATTATTTTCATAAATAAAAAAATTTCTCGGTAGAAATAAATTATTTTCATGAATTTGAATATTTTTTACGAGAATTCTATTAATTTTACAAATTTTTATAAAACTCTTCGAAAGAGTTTAATTATTTGAAAGAATAAATTGATCAAATTATTTATAACAATTTGTATGAAACTCTTATCAAGAATTTAATTATTTTCATAAATAATACATTTTTTATTGGGAATTCAATTAATTTCAGAAATAATAGTAAGTTTTCTCGAAAAAAGTAAAATATTTTGATAAATAATAAATTTTCTTCAAAGAATTCAATTATTTTCATAAATAATAAATTTTCTTCAAAGAATTAAATTATTTTCCTGAAGTTGAATATAATTCTTTGCAAAAATTGAATTATTTTCAAAAATTTTAGAAAAATTCTTCGCAAGAATTAAATTATTTTCATAAATAATAAAATTTCTAAAAATAATTCAATTTATTTTACAAATTTACTTAAATCTCTTCGAAAGAGTTAAATTATTTGAAAAAAAATTGATAAAATCATTTGTAACCGTTTAATTATTTTAAAAACATTTTTAATTGAAATCCTGGAAAAAACTCAATTATTTTTACAAATTTTTAGAAAAAATCCTTTGCTAGAATTCAATTATTTTTATAAATAATAAATTTTCTCATAGAAATTAAATTATTTTCATGAATTTGAATAAATTTCTTCTTAAAAGAATTGAAATAATTGAAAAGAGTTCAATTATTTTCATAAATAATAAATTTCCTCGCTAGAATTCAATTATTCTCAATACAATTCCTCAAAAGAATTTAATTATTTGGAAATATTAAAATAAAATTCTTCGAAACAATTGAATTATTTTCTCAAAATTCTATAATTCTATAATAAAGCTTTAAAGCAAAAATTAAATGATTTGAAATTAAAAATTACAAATTATAAAATTATTAAAAATGAAATAAATGAAATAAAGAGATCTTACAAGCAATTCGATCACCCTCCTTGAAGCAAATAAAATCCAAAAGACTGTTCGTAATATTAAGAACAATTGGTTCAAGTGCCTGTTCAGGAGGTTCAAGACAAGGTTTCAATGCCTCCGTCCAATTGCGAACGCAATGCTTTAAAATTGTCGATTTTCGACAATATTTAGCGAAAACTTCGTCCAAATCGCCAGTGGGTTTAGCGTCTTCGATTTCCTTATTTAATTGCGTGACATTGACCAGTGACGTTACACAAGCACCTAAATCTAAAATTCCCTTTTTCGCCGTCTCATAAGCCGTTGGTCCACCATTTTTCTCGCACTTCTTCTTTATCACATTCTCAAATTCCTGCACTGGCAATGCAGACGCATTAATATTTTTCAATTCCGGTATATCGACGATTGAATTAAGTTTATTTAACGCATCATCGGCATTTTCAATATTGTCCTGTGCAAAACATTGGCTGAAAAAACCTGCAAAACAAAATAAATTAATTAAATTCTCCCAAAAAACAATTATTATTTCTACCTTAAAATCATGGGACCAGGAAAAATTTACAATGAATGACGCATTTTAAACCTGTTTTTATAATTATATTGTCGAATTAAAAATTCGGACAAAAAGGAAAAAAATTTTACGGGTGATAATAAATTAGTAATGGAATATTTTTCGCATAGTTTTTTTTCCTGTACAAAGCAATTATTTTAAGGATTAAAAATAATTTTTGAAATTTTTTTATTTACATGACAAAATAATTACGAAAAAAATTTTTTTTCTTGTGCTATTAAGAAATGTGATGAAGCGATTTCACATTACATTCACACGGTCGAGGGTCAAAGTACGGGCAATGAGTCAAGAAAAAAAAATCAGATAATTATTGATACGAATGTAATTCACGTGGACATAATCGTATAATATATGAAAGATGTTAACAATGTTAAAAATAATTTAATCAATTTCATTCAATATTCGTGCATTAAATTTCTTTTCGAAAAAGGAAACAAGTAATTTCATTATTTTTGGAAATAATTCACAAGTTGATAATTTTGCGGAAAATAATTTTTAATCTATAGAATTAAACTATTTGGAAAGATTATGAAATATAATTTTAAAGTTTTTAGCAATTTTTTAGAGAAATATTAAAAAAATAACAAATAAGAAACATAACCTCACATAAACAAATAATAAATGCGGTTTATAAATATACCTTGTCATAGAAGAAATATCGATTTATTATATAAATGTAAAAGAAAATTTTTTGTCATAAAAACGAATTTTCGTACAGGAACTATTTTTGCAGTAAATACAGTTAATATTTGTACAAATCACATTAATAAAGTTAATAAACAAAGTAAACAAAGAAAGACCATAAACAAACTAAAAAAATCTAAGGTTAACGACTTGCATTCGAATTTTGCACTACTGTACCAGTCATACCAACAACCATAACTTCGAAAATTGAATTTTCAGTTCGCGATTGATTACTGATCGTTAATTTTTATATAAAAAACAGAAAAGTACTTATAACACAAAAACGAATCGTACCTAACGAAGAGTGTAAAAATTAAATAGTAAACATTAATTATAATATTAAAAATAATTCAGTTTATCAAATTCGAATCACGTAGTCCTTGGAAACTTCCCCCACTCTTCATTATCCTGCGATTCATTGCAAATTCAATAATATCAATAACGATTTTTGTTCAGTAATTTTCCTAGTTTTTAAATAAGAATAAGTGAAAAACACAAATACTCACCTATAGAAACGATGAATAGAATCGTAAACTTCATTTTTATGGTAATTAATACAAAAAACACTGGTTACTTGTTGGAGATTTAACTTTGCGGACCTTGCGGATGAAACTTAACCTCAAAATGCACAAGCGTCCATGAGGAAAGTGATAAATATTTTTTTACACAATATTCACGAAATATTTAAAATTAAAATGAGGGAAAAAAGTGCATGGATGTTGATTATAATAATGAAACACCAAAAGAATTTAGGATTCTATGAGAGAAATTAGTTGCGATTGCGAGAATTTTATGGTTCAACGCACGCTTTTTTGTATATACAAGAAGTACAAAGACGAGGAAACGTACGCGGTGAGTATTTTTGTTTTCTAGTCCCGCTAGACTGTCCGATACTTGAATGACTGAATAAATCTTTTTTCCAAACACTTATATAATCCGTATCATCCCTTCCCTTTAAATTCAATATTCTAGTGTGTGCAAGTTTAATCATCTTTTATTTTTTTTCGGTAAATAAAAGCTCTGATTTTCATAAAAGAATTTTTCTATAGATATGGAAATAAATATTTATTTCGTCTTTTATGGAAATAAATATTTGTTTTTTTCTTAAAATATACAGTTTCTCCCATACAAAATCCAAAAACTAAAATTTAATTTTAAAAAAAGCAAATGAAACTATAATTAATTTAATTGGTAAATAAAAGGAAAATATTATGTTAATAAATTTTTTATTTTCTTGTATATTTACAGTAATTTTGACGACGCTATTTTCTCAGAGGAAGTTTATCACTAATTTTACAGGACGAATATTAAAATATTGAGGGAAACTATATTGCATTTTGTGTTTAGTTGCAAAATTACTAAATTGTTTTTTATATTTAAGGGGGATTTTCCTCGCAAAATAGAAGAAGGTCAAGGAACCAGGAGTTTACAAGAAATAATTGAAACATTAACATCAGCATCGGTGGTTCAGTGGTAGAATGCTCGCCTGCCACGCGGGCGGCCCGGGTTCGATTCCCGGCCGATGCAATTTTTTTTCCTTTTCAAATACAGAAAAAAGTGGAAATTTCCCTTTCTTTTGTTTTTAAAACTTTTTTCTCTCTCATTAATCGTTAAGAATAATTTTTTTTTCAAATTCGATTAGTAATTTAAATAGCAATATTTTTTTTATGTTTATATATTTTTTTTGTATTTATATTTTTTTTAATTATAATTTTTTTGGAATTAAACATAAATATTTCTTTGTAATTATATAGTTCAATATTTTTCTTTTTTAATAAATAATATACAGATTTTAATGTTTTCGATTTGTTTCGACTGATCTATAAATTTGTTGAAGTTTTAGTAGTTTAATAGGATTTATTATTATGGATTATAAAGGAAATTTTTGTCTTCTTTTCTTGTTAAATTACAATTTGTAGGCATTACGAATCATTAAGTCGAAATAAGCATCATTATCGATACTTGCGCTGATAGCACTGTAATAGTTCATGAATTCCTCCTGTGTGACCTAAAAAGAAAAAATTAATCTTTAATATTTATTTTACGATATATATTATTTATTGGAAATGTTTATCTATTGCCTGATATTTTAATAAATAAAATTAATTCATTTACTTTCAATTTCTAATTATTCTCAATTTTATTATTATAATAAGAATTTTTGGAAACCTCAGGAAAAATCCATCGATAATGATGTTTAATTTGAAAATATTTGTTTTAGTTTTGATTTAATATTTTACTTACTATTTTATTCACTATTTTTATTATTTTATTTATTAACATTTTCTTTTGAATTTTAGGAAAAATCGATCGGTTATGATATTTAATTCAGAAATCTTTTTTATTCTCTATTTTATTATTTATTTTATTATTTAATAACATTTTTTTTTGTTGAATTTCAGGAAAAATCCATCGATAATGATATTTAATACGAAAATTTGTTTTAATTTTGATTTACTATTTTATTTGCTATTTTTTAATATTTTATTTATTATTTATTAACATTTTCTTTTGAATTTCAGGAAAAATCGATCGATTATTATATTTAATTCAAAAATATATTTCATTCTCTGTTTTTATTATTTAATAACATTTTTTTTTAATTTCAGGAAAAATTTATCGATAATGATATTTAATTCAGAAATATTTTTTATTCTCTTATTATTTAATAACATTTTCTTTTGAGTTTCAGGAAAAATCCGCCGATAATGATTTTTAACATAAAAAAATGTTTTATTTTTTATTCACTCTCTATTTAACGTTTTTTTCTAAATTGCAGGAAAAGTCCATCGATATTGATATTTAATAGAGAAATATTTATTATTTTTATTTATTCTACATTTTATTACTTAATAACATTTAATTTTTGAATTTCAGGAAAAATCCTTCGATAATATTTAATAGAGAAATATTTACTATTTTTATTTATTATCTATTTTTTTATTATTCTCTTATTGTTTATTTAATTGTAAATTTTTTTTTAAATTACAGGAAAAATGGATCGATATTAAAATATTCAAATTAATGATCGAGAATGACTCAATGTTTATTATTGTTATGAATAATAATTTACTTACATTTCCATCCGCGGTGGCTCCATTCTCGAAGTTTTCTAAAAATTTATTTAAAATAGTTTCCTCCGACTCTTCGCCGCTTATGTATCGTGGATGGCATTTGACATTATAAATACCCCGTAAATCTTCCATTGTAATTTGCCCGTCGCCGGATTTGTCCATTTTTTGAAATGCTTGATCAACCATTTTTTTACGACTGTCGTTCATCGGTGGCTGTTTATATAAAACAATATACAATTAGTTTTCATTAATTTTTTAATTTTAATCTAAATCAATTAAAATTAAAATTTTAATTTAATTATAAATGCATTTATCATTGCATTTTTTAAATTTAATTTTAATTTAAAGAAAAAACAATTTTATTTTTCCAATTTTGCAAAAATAATTTCATTTAATAATCAAATATAAAAAATAATAAACTTTCATGTTAATATATTGTTATTTTTGATAGCAATTGTTATTTTAAAATTTACTTCCACATTTCTTTTTAATTTCCAAAAGTAGAAAAACTTACTCTCACAGCAGCGATAAATTCGTTGATACTAATTGACCCACTTTCATCGGTATCCAATTTTTGAAAAAGATCATTTATCTCATCTTCGGATAATTCGAGTCCTGTGTCTGCTATTCCAGTTGTGAATTCCTCCAGATTCAATTGTTTATTCCCATCATCGTCCATTCGTCGAAATACTCTATAATTAATAATTTTTGTATACAATATAATTATTATCATCTTTTTTTAATTATTAATTTCTACAGTAAAAATTAATTTTTACTGTAGATTAATATTTTTAAAGTTGCGACTATTTTTAACACAGAAAATTATATTTAAAAATTTCTAGTTTTAATTTAATTAATTTTTTAGTTTCTTTTTTTAGTTGTAAATCTTTTAGTTTATTTTTTTGGTTTTAAATTTTTTAGTTTCTTTTTTTATTTTTAAATCTTTTAGTTTTAAGTTGTTTGGTTTGAAATCTTTTAGTTTTAAGTTTTTTGGTTTTTAAAATTTATTAGTTAATAATTTTTCAATTTTATGAGTGATGACTAATAATGGTTCTTCTTACCTCCCCAGACCAAGGATGCCATTAGCACCCCTGGAAAGGCAGAGAAGACGTAATTTTTCGATGCTGTCCGTGGCTGAAAATATGGCCCGTTGGGACTTATTGATCATCTCAGTCTCCTGCCTCGTGGTAGCACTCTGCGGCCTATTGAACATCTGAAAAAAGTAAAGTGTGATTCAGTTTTACGTAATCGCAGTCAATGTGGTAATAAACGCCGCTGCTCTTGCAAAATATTAGGTAAGAAAACTAGACTTTTCAATAGTAGACTAGAAAAGAACAGAGATAGATATATAAAGTAATCATCAAACAGGTAACGAGAGACTCATATTCTTATCTCATACTATTGCAATTTTATATCTATAGGACACTCTTTTAAAGAGAATTTCAAGGACATGAGAAAAGAAAACGATTAGTTTTTATAGAAAAGGCAAGAAAAAAAAGAAATCGAGTATTTCTTATATTATTTCTTTTTTTATAGTAAAAGTAAAAAAAAATAAATAAAAACAAATTGAAATATTAGGGAAATTTTATTTAGAAATATCAAAAATATAAATGAATACAAAAGAATTATCAGGGATCATAGTTAGTCCCCTATATTCACCCTTTTTTGTCCCCATAAATTAATAAAATCCCCCTAAAACACCTAAAATTATTTATTTTCTATTTTCTACATATTCCCCTTTTTATAATTTTTCAAAAAAAAAACTTTTTCTTTGGAAATAGTAAAAGTTATTCTCGAAATTGAAATTTTAACAATAAATTTTATTAATTTTGGAGAAAATTTCAATTCCATAAATTGAATTTTAACAGACTTGCGTTTACAATTTTCATAAATATACATAGATGAACTTCGAAAGGTTTTAATTTTAAATTTTATCAATTTTCAATTTTGAATAAATTTCATTAAAAATTTTTAAAAATTAGATTTTTGAAAAATTGTAATAATTTAAATTCTTCTGAAATTAGTTAAATTTTTCAATAATATTTCATTAATCATTAAAAATAATGGATTTATAGAAGAATTATAGTAAAAAAAAAACTAAAAAGAATTGAATTTTGGAAAAGTTACAAATGATTGCAGAAATTCAATTATTTTCAAAAGTTAAAATTAATTCCAACTAAAAAAGTCAATTATTTCCAAAATTCAATTATGTTCAAAAATTTAAAAAAATTCTCGTCAAAATTTCAATTATTTAAAAAAAACGTTTTTAGAACGTTTCATGTCTGCAAAATAATGTTCCAAAAACGTTCCATTGCTTTTAAAACGTTTTAGAACCATATAACGTTTTTGAGACATTATTTAGCAGACATGAAACGTTCTAAAAACGTTTTTGGAACGTTTTTAAAACAATGATAGTTTTTTGCCCACTGGGAAGTTATTGAATTTGAATGTTTCGAAAAATTTTAATTCCTATGGAAAAATAATAATTAAATATTTATTTAAAAATGAAGTTAATTTAATAATTAATAATTTTAGAGTAAATCAGTATATTTTTTAGGGTCTGGGAAAAAGTCAAAATTTTTTCTCGAAATCAGAGAAAAGTCTAGGAAAAACAAAATTAAATTTTTGTGTCAACCCTGAATAATAGTAATAATAATAAAAATAATAATAGTAATGATAATAATAATAACAATCTTATTATTCAGTTCTAGTGAAACATTGAATCGACGAATTATTAAATTCTCAGTACAACATTGTTGCGCGAAAAGTTCTAAATATTAAAACAGAAAGGGCGAGAAAAATAAAAAGTTGCTAGAAATTGATTATGAGAGGCAACCTTTACATTATATGCATTTATAAGATAATTATCATACGAGACGATCTTATTTTTTTTCCATATAAATAATGACCTATAAATGATAACTGAATAACATTGTTAATAATTATTTCATTTGACATGCAATAGTTTATGAAATTAATTTTCCATTATTTTTTATATACTAGAAAAATAATTTCAAATTTAATTATGAACTTCTGTATAATTGAAGACTAAATAGAAAAAGTTCTTTCTTTTTCTTTTTTTTTGCAATTTAATTATAGTTCCGAAAGAGAAATATTATTTTATAGGAGGAAAAAAAATAGGAGTGCCATTTTGGGTGTGTCAATTCTAACTTGACAATTAATTCAATGTTTAAATCGTTTAATTTAAAGAGTTTTAAACTTTAAACAGTAAATTATAAATTTAATTTTCAAACACTTTGAATTTTTGTTTTTTGAATTTTATTTTTACTTATATTTTTATTTATTTATAAAATTTCTTCAAAGGACCAGAAAATAAATTCTTTACAATTTCAATTTAGTTTTTTGTTTCTGATAATGTTAATAATTTGAATGATTAAAATTACATAGTGATTATTTAATTCTTTTTTATTTTTACTACTATTTTTCTTATTCATATTATCAACTCTCGATAAATTAAATTTATCAAGAATTTGTGTCCCTTGAAGAAAATTTGATACTAAAAACACTCGAGAAATAGAATTCTCGATAATTAAAATTTTTTTATTTGTCCCTTGAGATTCTTTTTATTATTTTCATTATTTGCATTATTTTTTTGTTATTTTTATTATTATTACTTTAATTATTTTTATTCTTATTCTTGTTATTATTTTTATTGAGTAATTATATTTATTACTATTATTATGCTTTTTATTTTATTTTATTTATTTATTTATTTATTTATTTATTTATTTATTAATTCATTTATTTATTTATTTATTTATTCAAAATTCGAATACAAGCAAAAAAATTTGTCCTTTTATTTCAATTAGAACACAATATAAGAATTCGTTTTCTACGAGGTCATTAATTGTCATTGCCTTTGAGAAAGAAATATTAATTATGCAAAACTTAATAATTACGAACAACCGGCAACGACCTCGAATAAAACCTACCCCTGTAACTTAAAGCCAATGTCTTCATTGACTTATACATATACCACACTCGATTCTCTCTTTTCTATTCAATGAGAGAAACTTTTTTTTTCAACCCGCAGCTTTAATTCTATTTTTAGAAATTATATCTGTACATTTATTTCAATATAAAAGAGGAAGAGAGATAAAAAAAGTAGTTAGTGACAAAAAAATAGTTAAACTGACAATTTATTGAAAGATAATTTGAAAAAGAAATTTTGAATTCTGATAAATTATTTCGAAATATTTCTATCTTTATTTATTACCACACTTTATTTTTGTTTCAGATTTAATATGAAAAAAAATTATCAATAATTAAAAAATATAGATAAAAAAAAAGAAAAAAATAGAAGAGAATTTAGAATTGTGAAATGTAAAATTGTAAATGCAGTTTAAATGCGATCATAGACATATACAAACCTCGAAATTAGACGATCGAACAGGATAAGCCATGCATAAGAAAATAGTCATGAAACATATTAAAATCTTTTTTTTTTACAACAATATTAAGAGAGAGGAAAATTTCAAAAATATTGTAAACCACGAAATGGTAGGAAAAGAGAGTTTTTTTTTATTTGAAAATTAGAACATACCCTAATTTATTTCTCCAAAAATCTGAACGTATTTGATACATGGCTGAAAGGAATTAGATGATTATTTTCTTTTTTTCAAATTCAAATTCAAAATCTCACCCAACACTCAACAAGTGTGCGACTACCATTTAGGGGCTTCAATATTATAAATTTTTATTATTTCTATATATATAGGAAAAGAGCAGTCAAGAGAAAGGAAATTTTTTTTCAATTTTAGAAAAGAAATTATTAAATTATTAATTAATTAAAACTATGGAAAAATAAACACACTAGTCGAAATTTTACGAATTTTCGATTCGAAATTACAAATTGGAAAACAGTCGATAATTATTTATATCTACGAAAATACCAAAAAGAAATAAATATAAAAAATACAAAAGAGTACAAAAAGTACAAAAAAGAAAAAAAATACAAATAAGGAAAAGAAAATTTGCAAATTTTGGAAATTACAAATTAGAAACAATGGAAAATTATTTATATCTACGAAAATAACGAAAAGAAAAAAGTACAAAAAGTACAAATAAAGAAAAACATAAAAATGGAGAAAAAAAAGTTCGCAAATATTGGAAATTACAAATTAGAAACAATCGAAAATTGTTATTTTTATCTGCGAAAATACCGAAAAGAAAAAAGTACAAAAAATACAAATAAGGAAAAAAAATGTTCGCTAATATTGGAAATTACAAATTATATCGAAAATTGTTCTTTTTATCAACGAAAATATCGTAAAGAAAAAAAAGTACAAAAAAGAAAGAAATATTAGAAGGAAAAAGAATTTCACAATTCACAAAGTTTGGAAATTACAAATTAGAAATAAAAAGAATCAAAAATTATTATTTATTTCCACACGAGTACTGAAAAGAAAAGAAGTATAAAAAATATATAAAATACAAAAAGGAAAAAAATACCTACAAGGAAAAAAATACCTATACAAAAAGAAAGAAAAAAAAGGAAGAAATACAAAAGAGAAAAAAATACGAAAAAAAATTCAAATTCTACCGTTAGTATAATTTTTTTTTCACTATAGAAAACTCTAATTCAAAAAAAGAAATTTTTTCTTTTTTGAATCTTACCTTAACTTTCTGCGCAACAGAATTTTAAAATTTACAAAAACACTTGTCGTTTAATTAAATTTTTTCTTTAAATAAAAAATACTTGGAAAAATATTTGAGAGAATGGAAAATTGATGAGTGAAGAAGAGAAGTGTTGAAAAAAAATTTGGAATGTACTCGGAGAAGACCGGAAGGTAAATGACAACAAGGGTGGAACTTATTCTGAGGATATGTTCTATATATGATCAATATATATCTTTCTCTCTCCATATATACAATATAAGTGTGTAAATTTAAAAATGTGTTAGTGTGTTTACTTTCATACAATTAAATAATAGGTGTGCTCTTCCGATAGTATGTGCATGTGCATAGACGCATAAGTACTGTGTCCATAACGACGATTTGTCACAACACTTGTTTTTCAATAAAAATGAGAAAACCAAATTAGATAATTTTTTTTTATACTATTATCGAATTTTAAGAAATGACAACTTCAGGAAATGAGAATTCATTTTTTATAAGAAATTTCACTTTTCTATTTTTCTCTTCTATTTTTTTTTATAATGTAATGACACTTTGTTTTTCAATAAAAATGAAAACTAAAAGTAGATAATTTTTTTTTTCTTTTATCGAATTTTGAGAAATGACAACAGGAAATGAAATTTAATATTTTATGAGGAATTTCACTTTTCTATTTTTTTCTTCTATTTTTCTTCTATTTTTTTATAATAATACTTGTTTTTCAATAAATGAAAATTAAATTTGACAATTTTTACACTATTATTTTATTTTGAGAAATAACAACAGGAAATGAGAATTTATTTCTTATGAAAAATTTCACTTTCTATTTTTTCTTCTATTTTTTTAATTTTATATATTTATTGCTATTTCGCATTTTTGAATATTAAAATTTATTTTTTATTTATTTACAAATTTTTTTGTATTTTTAATAAAATTTAGAATATTTTGAAATGTTTTTATTACAATTTAAAATATTTATAAAATCTTTTTATTAAAATTTGTAATGTTTTTAAATAATAAAATATTTTCAATCCTATTTTAAATATTTTTAATTATTAGCAATTTAATTTTGAATATTTCATTATAATTTGAAATATTATAAATTATTTTAAATCTTAAAATATTTATTCATTTATTTATCATTATAAACGGGCTTACAAAAATTTGATGCTCTTTCGTATAAATGCACTAGAAATGTAATTAAATTAAAGAAGAAAAATAGAAAAGTAAACATTAAAATATTTTCAAAAAGGAATTTTAAATATTTTTAATGCGATTGCAAATGTTTTGAAATATTTGCGATTTATTTTGGAATATTTTAAATTATTTTAAATGCAATTTTTAATATCTTCAAAAATATTTCTATCTAAATATTTTTAATTAAATTTTTAATATTTTGAAATATTTATAATTTAATTTGAAATATTTTGAATTATTTGCAATTTAATTTGGAATATTGTAAATTATTTTAAATACAATTCTTAATATTTTTAATGCAATTTAAAATATTTTGAAATATTTGTAATTTAATTTGGAATATTTTGAATTATTTGCAAAATTAATTTGCAATATTTTTAATTATTTTAAGTAAAATTTTTATTATTTTTAAATTATTACAATATATTAAAATATTTTTAATGCAATTTCAAATTTATTTTAAATTATTTGAAAAACAATTTTTAAAATCTTCAAAGAAAATAGATATTTCTAAATATTTTTAATAACATTTTTAATGTTTTTAAATATTAAAATTCTTTTAAAACAATTTTTAATCTTTTTAATACAATTTGAAATATTTTGAAATTTTTTTATTACAATTTGAAATATTTTGCAATATTTTTGTTACAATTGTGAATATTAAAAATTATTTTAAATACGATTTTAATAGTTTTAAATAATAAAATATTTTAAAAACAATTTAGAATATTTTTAATGAAATTTAGAATATTCTGAAATGTTTCTAATTTAATTTTGAATATTTTAAAATATTCTTTTTACAATTTAAAATATTTATTTATTTAATATAGACAGGCCAAATTTTTTTTTAAAATATTTTTAGTCAAATTTGAAAGTTTTAAATATTGAAAAATAAATTTGAATTATTTATATTTTTTATAACATTTAAAAATATTTTTAATAATATTAATATATGAAAAATTAAAAGAAAATTTCCAAATATATTTTTTATAACTAAATATTTATATTAATTTCAATATGCATTGTATATTTAGTTAAATAGAATTAAAATGAATTTAGAAGCGCTAAATTGAGCGTGAAATTGTAGTATATCCAATTCATTTCCTGCCTTTGTATTATCTCAAAAAAAGATCTTAAAGACCATTAATGATCAAGCATTAAAATTATTTATAGCCCAGGTGCCATATAGTTCACCATAATCATAGAAAATTTTTATTCAAACTTAATAATTACACCACATTAATAAAAAAAAGATTTTGTTTATTTATTTACTCTCAATAATAATAATAATATTATTATTATTAAAACAATATTGTAACAATGTTAATGAATTATTTCTCTACTTAATTTTAATGATTGTAAATTAACCTCTATTATTTGGCTATACAGCTATTAATTAAATTTCAAAATAATGAATGCAATTTTTTTTTCTTTGCTAAAAAGAAATTAAAATTTCAAATAAATAGATTTTTCCCGCCAAGTGGAAATTTTCCCTCAGCGCCGTCTATCGAATAAAGCGCGAATTATCCGTTAATTCAAAATTTTCATTTCTTTCAAAAATTTCCTTTAATAAATTAAAAAAAAACAAAAGAAATCAAATTTAAAAAAAAAATTCAAATTAAAGTCTAAAATCTTATCGTTTTCTTTTATTTTTAATGTTTAATATTCGAAAAAATATGTAAATATAAAATGATAGAGATGGCAAATAATTATCTAAGGGAATAATAGAATTAATCATTGGCTGACGTGTTGAGTGATATATCGAACAAATCAGAAGAGGACATTTGTATTTGTCCGTGCCACCAACTCACATTAGATTGGTCCACATTTATATGCGTGGTTCGCTATGATTGGCTGAAAATCGTTTTACTTTCTATTAAATTTTTCGTCAGTGCTTGATTTTGTGACAGTCGCCGGAAAATAACAGTGCTTGTTGAATGTCGTGGTGAAAATTAATTTACGTGTTTTTTTTTGACAATTTTTCCACATTAAAGATGAAAAAATTGTTCTTTGCCCTTGTGGGCGTATTTTTAATTATCGGTGAGTATTATTTTTTTCTTTAACTTTATGGTTAAAATTACTTCCTCATGGAAGTGTTGTTTTTTTCCGGGGGAGCAGAAGGAGATGTTTTATTTAAGCTACTAATAAAAAAGGGAATAATTTTTGAAAATAATTGTACATTTTTGTAAAAAAATAAGCATAAAATTGTATATTTTTTAAAAAAATTACTTTTTTTCTCTTTAGGTTTTGCTCATGCTGATACAATTGAGGAAAATGTAGGCACCGTTGAGAATGATTTAGGCGCTAGTAAAGAGGCATCAAGAACCGGTGAGTTTTTTTTTACTTCTGTATTAAAATTTTTCTATGAAAATTTCTTTATTGTCATTAGTTTTTTGAAGTTTCTAAACTCGAGTCTCCTGAATATTAGATTTGCTGTCGAATATTGATTCGAATGGTTTATTTATTCTTGTTATTTGCAGAGAGATTGAAATAATCGAGTTTTTAAGGAATAGAAGAAATTAAATTATTTAATTTTACTTATTAGTTAATTTTAAAAAAAGGAAATTTATTTATAGAATAGAATTTTATTTTCTATGTTAAAATTATAGTTTTTAAATTTCTTTTTATTATTTTCTACTTCTTTTGTTCTTTGTTTCTCTTTTTCTTTCCTTTTTTTGTAAGCGATTTTTTAAGTTTTCTTTTTTTATTTTATTGGTTTAAAATTTTAAGAAGTAAATTTTAATTTCCCAGATGCCGAGGTCGTGCAAAGGGAAGAGGAGGCAATAAAATTAGACGGACTGAACGTTGCACAACTAAAGGAACTTCGTGAGAAATCGGAGAAATTCACATTCCAAACGGAAGTGAATCGATTGATGAAACTTATTATTAATTCATTGTACAGAAATAAGGAAATTTTCCTTCGTGAATTAATTTCAAATGCCTCTGATGCATTGGATAAAATTCGTTTACTCTCACTCACGGATAAAAATGTACTTGACTCGAATCCCGAATTGGCAATAAGAATAAAGGCAGATAAGGAAAATAAAATACTGAGCATCACCGACAGTGGTATTGGTATGACGAAACAGGATTTGATAAATAATCTTGGAACAATCGCAAAATCGGGAACTGCCGAATTTTTAAGTAAAATGCAAGACGCCAAGGATATGAAGGAAATGAACGATATGATCGGTCAATTTGGCGTTGGTTTCTATTCGGCATTTTTGGTCGCCAACAGTATTGTCGTCACGACCAAGCACAACGATGACAAGCAATATATTTGGGAATCGGACAGCGCCAGTTTTAGCATTATCGAAGATCCCAGGGGTGATACTCTCAAACGTGGATCAACAATCAGGTAAAGATTCTAAAACTAAAAGTAAAAATAAAAAGTAATCAGAAAATACTAAAAATTCTTTTCTCTTTTAGTTTGCATTTGAAGGACGAGGCGCTCGACTTCCTGGAGGAAGACACAATTAGAAATCTCGTGAAGAAATACTCGCAGTTCATCAATTTCCCTATTTCGCTCTGGGGCAGTAAGACAGTGCAAGTTGAGGAAGAGGACGAGGAGGAAAAGCCCGAGAAAGCAGAGGAGAAAACCGAGGATGAGACCGAGGACGAAAAGAAAGACGACGAGGAGGAAGATGCAAAAGTCGAGGACGATAAGGAGGAGAAAGAGAAGAAGAAAATCGACAAAACTATCTGGGACTGGGAAGTATTGAACGATTCAAAGCCAATTTGGACCACAAAACCTTCTGAAATCAAGGAGAAGGAATACAACGATTTCTACAAAGTCCTCACCAAGGACAGTGACGATCCATTGACACACATTCATTTCATCGCCGAGGGCGAAGTCACCTTCAAATCTCTCCTCTACATTCCCAAAGTTCAACAAACCGACAGTTTCAGTCGCTATGGAACGAAATCCGACAATATCAAACTATACGTGCGTCGTGTTTTCATCACCGATAAATTCAACGACATGATGCCAAATTATCTGAATTTTATTCGCGGTATCGTTGACAGTGACGATCTCCCTCTGAACGTATCGCGTGAAGATTTACAACAACACAAATTGATAAAGATCATCAAGAAAAAGATGATTCGTAAAGTTCTTGATATGATTAAGAAAATACCGAAAGAGGAGTACGAGACTTTCTGGAAGGAGTACAGTACTAATATCAAATTGGGAGTAATTGAGGATTCGTCGAACAGAGCAAAATTATCGAAGTTGATGCTCTTCAAATCGTCGGTGGGTGAGAATAAAACGAATCTTATGGACTACGTGGCTAGAATGAAACCAAATCAGAAGCATATTTACTACATCGGTGGACTTAACGAGGAGGAGACTAAAACTTCCCCGTTCGTCGAGCGTCTAGTCAAGAAAGGCTACGAAGTCCTCTATCTAATTGAACCAGTCGACGAGCACGCCATCTCAACCCTTCCCGAATTCGAGGGCAAAAAATTCCAGAACGTCGCCAAGGAAGGTTTCGTCCTCGACGAGGGCGAGAAAGCAAAGGAAAAAATGGAACAATTGAAAACAACATTCGAACCCCTGGTGAAATGGTTGAACGACGTCCTCAAGGAACAGATCAACAAGGCACAAATTTCCGAACGATTAACCGACTCCCCATGCGCATTGGTTGCCAGTATGTTCGGATGGACGGGAAATATGGAACGTTTGGCGACGTCCAATGCCCATAAGAAGGCCGACGATCCACAGACCTCGTACTATCTTAATCAGAAGAAAACTCTGGAAATTAATCCCCGTCATCCATTGATTAGGGAATTATTGAGGAGAGTCGAGCAGGATCAGAGCGATCAGACGGCGAAGGACATGGCGACAATGATGTTCCGAACAGCGACATTACGCTCCGGTTATATGTTGCGTGACACGCAAAATTTTGCCGACAGTGTCGAGCAATTGATGAGAAAAACATTGGGAATTCCTCTTGACGAGGTGCCCGAGGAGGAGGAAGACGACGATTACGATTCAGCCGAGAACGATAAGTCTGAAGAGCCCGAAATCGGCGCCGACGATGATAAGCAAACAGTCGAGGACGATCACGATGAACTCTAAAGAGAGATTTGTCAATTTTTAACATTTTTCAAATTCAAATTGTTCGGAACTTGATTTTTCCAATCGAAAGTAATTAATTAATTAACGACAAATATTGTTCAGAAATCGATTTTTTTCAATCGAAATTAATTAATTAACGACAAAGTTATCAGAATTTGATTTTTTTTCAATTGAAATTAATTAATGACAAATTTTTCCGAATTTGATTTTTTCAATCGAAATTAATTAATTCATTAATGACAAATTGTTCAGAATTCGATTTTTTTCAATTGAAATTAATTAACAACGAAAATACGAAAAAAAATTCATTCAAATCGTCAAATTTTGCACAATTCCAAACAATTTCGAATACAAGACTTTTTTTCCATTTAGGAAACAGGCTATACAATGTATAGCTTTTTTATTATTATTATTATTATTATTATTATTATTATTATTATTACTACTGTTTTTTTTTTTGAATTGGAGATTTTGTGACGTTCGGTTGCAAAATAATTGATATTTTTCAATCGAACGTGAATCTTTTATACTCTTTTTCATTTTTTAGTCACTTGTAATTTTTGAAGCAGACAGAAAATAATTTTCAAAAATGAGTGCGTGATGTAGAAAAATCCTTCGTGAAAATTTTTGCAAGGAATTTGTTTATAGTCCATTTACTTTGCACAACAGTCTGTTTTATACGAAGATTTATTTATTTGCTTCGTTCTTCCATTTAATTATTATAGTAAAATAAAAAAAAACGTATATTTGTGAATAAAAGGAACGAACGTCGTCGCCAATGATGTATGATTGCAAAGTGAGCATATGTGTTTATATAAAAGAGAATTAAAGAGTTATTAAAACTGAAAATGAATTTTTTACATTTCCTCTCATTTTTTTAAAAATATACACAAAAAAGCAAATAAAAAAAAACAGTTTTCGGTTATTTTTACGAAAAGCAATTCGAATTTTGCCGCTTGTTTGATAACATCCGGTGGGTGGGGGACGTGGGGAGGGTTTATTCCAAGTTTATTCGCATCAATCGAAAGAATTGACCAATGGCAAAAATTCTTTAGACTTCTTTAGTGATTATGTTTATGGTTCACATATATGTATGTACAACCCAAGTCAATTGGCGAATAGGCGAATGTTGTTTCACTTCCGGTTATGAATTCAACGTCATCTCTCTATATCAAAAAGTCCGTGTTTTTGTGTTTCATTTGGAGTCACAATGATTCTCGCTAATTTAACGTAAGTATACAATTATTATCCTATTATTTCCATATAAAAAATGAAAAATATAATAATAAAAGGAATACACGGATTTGTTTGTAAGTAAAATGGTCGCGAATCCGTGCAAAAATTCCTTGCGTAAGCAATATAAGACAACGAGGCGCACGACTTCGCCATGCCGGTTCCAAAAAGACCCTCCTTTTACATTATTAAATGCAAAATGCAAACCAGTAACATTTCTATTCATTCGTTTAGTAATTAATTATGACAGTATCAATTTTAAATTATTATGATAAATTGACAATGTTTAATTGCAAAATAATTGCCTCTTGAATATAATCTCTCGTTATTATCGGCCCATAAACAAAAACTATGTGACGCCGAAACAGTTCAATGAGCAAACGTACATAAAAAAAATGTGGAGTCCGTTGTTTCGTTGATAAAGAAAAAAAATTGCTTACATTTTTTTGGGGGGATAAAATTTTGTTTTTTATAAAAAATTCTCGATTATAACTCTCCTTTTTAATGATTTGAATTTTATTTTCTTCTATAATTTTTTTTTTCTTTCTTTTTTTTGTCTTTTTTGCGAGAGAAGATTACGAAATTGTCCGATTATTGTCTGTCGGTCTTTCTCACACGTAGACTAATTATTAAAGTGTGATTGACCTGGTTAATTGAGGCACCCGCTTCTTGTGTAATTTATGTTTTTTTCATTCACTTTGTTAGCGTCAGTTTGTAAAAAAAAATTTGCAAATTGTCGGTAAATTGTTTTTATTATGAAATTCACGAACGTTTCTCGTTTCTCCTTTGTATTGTGATAAAAGGCGTTAACAAAACGGAATTTTAGGTTATATTTGAAATTCCAAGAAACATTTTTTTTTTTTCAAATAGGCAATCAATTTTTAACCTGTTAGTGATTATTTTGTCAGCGATGGGTAATTATAATTTTTTGTGTAAATTTGCTTATTTTGTTTGTTTAATTGTCATGACTCAGTGTCAATAGAGAAATGTCAACAGTTTTTTTTAGTCGTTACCAAAAAAAAAGTTTCTCGTAACTTCTTGATGTTATTTTTTTTTAAATAAAATTTAACTTTTATTTAATTTATTTATGTATAATTTTTATAATTAAGATTTTATAATTATAATTCTATTTTCTTTACTAATCGATATTTTTTATATTTAATTTAATAATCAAACTTTAATTTTAACGTGAAAATTTTGTAATTACAGATTTCAACTTCAAAAATTCGAACTGGACTTCACTTTCTAAAAAAAACATCAAGTTAAGTAATTGCACTAAGAAACGATCATCTTTTTTCCAAAAAAAGAATCTTCTATTGAAAAAATAAGGAAAACGTATTGATTTCCAAAAACAAAAATATAAATTCTTAGGATTGTATTTTTAAATAAATAAAAAGAAAACAAAAAAAAAGAAGAAAAAAAAAGACAAGAAGCAAGAAAAATTACAAAATGGGTATTCAAGACTTGCAACTATTTTTGGATGGTAATAGCGTGCCAGGAGCAGCTGTACCAGTAGATTTATTAAAAATTGGTAGGAATATCACTCAAAGGCAACGAACCCGAGTTGGCAAAGGACAACCACAGCCAATTGCTACGCCTAAATTAAAATTGGTTGTCGATGGTGAATGTTGTCTCGATAGACTTTATGGAGGATATTTCTCAGGTAAGAAAGTGTTTTTGTTTTCGTTTCTTTTATAAATTTATAACTATCTTTAAGAAATTTTTTATTAACCAATTAATTATTATTTATTATTATTAATATTATTTAATAAAATCTTCCACAGAAATGCAATTATTTTCAAAAATTTTAATAACGTTTTTCGAAAGAATTCAATTATTTTCAAAAATAATAAAATCCTTAACAGAAATTCAATTATTTTTTAAAATAGTATAGAAATCTTTGCAGGAAATTAATTATTTCCAATACAATTTCAATAAAATTTCACGAAAGGATTCAATTATTTAAAAAAAATTGTAATTTAATTTTTTGAAAGAATTCAATTGTTATTATCATAAGTTGAGGTAAAATGTTTCATACGAATTTAATTATTATCAAAAATAATAAATTTCTTTGAATGAATTCAATTATTTTCGGTACAATTTTTATAAAATTTCACGGAAGAGTTGAGTAATTTTCAAAAATTCTAATAAAATTCTTCGAAAAAATTCAATTATTTTCAAAAACGATAAAATGCTTAACGAAAAACTAATTACTATTTTAAAATAATAGAAATCTTGGCTGGAATTTAATTATTTCCAATACAATTTCAATAAAATTTTACAAAAGTATTCAATTATTTAAAAAAAATTGTAATTAAATTTTTCGAAAGAATTCAATTATTATTGTCAAAAGTTTTGATAAAATATTTATAGAAATTTAACTATTTTGAGAAATAATAAATTTCTTTGCATGAATTCAATTATTTTCGGTACAATTTTTATAAAATTTCACGAATGAATTGAAACGAAATTCAATTATTTTCAAAATTTTTAATTAAAATTATTTTAAAAGATACTTTATTTAAAAAAAAATCAATGAAATTCTTCAAATCGATTTAATTATTTTAAATTTTTTAATAAAATTCGTTGAATGATTTCGTTTATTTTTAATTTTAACCGAATTCAAGAATTATAAGTTTAATTACACTTATTAACAAACATGATTTTTTAAAAAACTTGCGATAAATTCTTCAATAAAATTCAATTACTTCGGAAATTATCAAATAAAATTATTTTTAAAAAAACTCAATTCTTTTCAAAATATTAAAAGAAATTCTTCAAAACAATTTAATTATTTTCTAAAATTTTAATAAAATTCTTGGCAAGAATTCAATTATTTTCAGTACAACTACAATAAAATTCTTTGAAGAAATTCAATTATTTTCATGAATTTGAATAAACTTATCAAGAATTAAATTATTTTCATAAATAATAAATTTTTTCGATAGAATTAAATTATTTTCATGTATTTAAATAAAATTCTTCGCGAGAATTCAATGATTTTCAATATTGTAATTTTCAATAATTTAATAAATTAATGTTTTATTCTTTTATAGTAAGTAGGATGGTATTTTTATTTTTGATATTAAATATTTCCTTTTTTTTCACAGATTGGGCTTGCGGCGGTCAATGGAATCGAATGTATCAATTTATTCTCGTTTTATTGCAAGCTACGGAAATGCAAGGAGTCGAATTAGCTGTATTCTTCAATGGATCACTCGAGCCATCCCGTCGTCAAGAATGGATTCAAAATCAATTAAAAGTCAGATTGAAAGTGAATAATGTACGTCTTCTTTTAAAATTACATAAAATTCTTGTTATTTTTAATTTTAATTTTAATTCTTTTTATTAATTGCTTTTATTTTTATTGTTGCTTCGCAGGTTTTAAAGCACATCACAACCAAAGGTACCCCACCACCAAAAGTTTGGTGGACACCTCCTGTCTGTTTGCGTACAAGTTTACGCATGGCTTTCCGTCATCATAACGTCACTGTGGTAAGTATTTGAATTTTTAAAATTTTACTTGAAAGAAAATATTTTATTCATTTTATTTTATATTAAAATTCATTTTATTCATATATTAATTATCAAACTCGGCAATTAGGAATTTTATCTTTAAATTCCTTTTCAGTTATCCAGTATGGATGATCATCATCAGGAAGTAATTGCCTATTGTCGTGAATATAACTTTAGTGGTCTCGTTGCTAATGACGCTGAATACGCAACATTCGATCCTCCAAGATATTTTTCCTCGGAACAATTGAAATTGACCTACAAGGTAATAATTCTTTTCCTCTCGACATTTCCTTCTTTCTTTTATTCTTAATACATTCTCCATACATTTTTTTTCAACTTTTTATTCTGAATACATTTTTTTATGTTCTATTTCAAATCATTTTTTTTTATAGTTTATTCATTTTGAAATTAATAATTGAATTTAATTATTGAATAATGATTACGTATTTTGAAGCATCTGGTTTTTATTTGAATAAAATTCGACATGAGAATAATACAAATATGAAAACAATAATAAACTAAAGTTTTAAAATAATTTGTAATGTAAATAAAAAATAATTGAAAGAAATTAATTGATTTTTGCAGGGATCATTGGAAACAAAGGAATATATAATTTCTGAAGTCACGAAAGCATTGAATATACCGGCCGATCGATTATGTATTCTTGCATCTTTACTTGGTAATTTTATTTTACCAGAACACGAATTAGCAGAATTCTACAAAAAATTGAATATTACGATAAATTTGAATAAGACAAATACCGAACAAACAATTAAATTAATAGCAAATTTCGTCAAAGAATTGCCATCGACTGAACTCGATGTTGTGGCGCAAAAAATTTTTGGATCACTCAATGATCCAAGAAGCTCAAAATGGAAGCAATCTGTTCAATATTACATCAATGGTACCAAAGAGGGATTCTTGAAGTACAAAACAACCAAGCCAACTAAAGGTACTTTTATTATTTTATTATTTGATCATTTTTACTTTAATCAATTAATTTCATAATTTTATTTAGTAATCAATTTGATAATTTCAATTTAGTAATCAATTTAATAATTTTAATTTAGTAATCAATATAATAATTTTGATTTTTAAAGAGAAATATTGAAGGAAGCTAAATTTAGAGTAATTTGGTTAATTAATTTTAAATGAACTGTTTTTTTGATAAATATTTTGATATTTGTTTATATATTTTTATAGGATTTAAATTCGATTCGAAACAAGATTCTCATTTAAATTCTTCCGACGCTGCTGGATGTTCAGAGGACGATGCAAATTTAGAGATGACGGGATTCGCGTCTGAAACTGCGGAGAGTCAGAGAGAGACGTTGAAGGCCTACGAAGAGGCTACCGCGAGTGCTAAAGCTGCCAATCCGGAAATTGTGATCGAACCACCTGGAATCCAAGGACACGGAGACGCCGATACCGTACGAGTTGAAGAAGAACAAAGTAAGTTTTTTCTCAATTTAAATTAAATATTTAAATCAGGGTTGACATAGGTCAGGGAATTCAGGATAAAGTCGGGGATTTTTATTTAAAGTAATGGAAAAAGATAAATTTTTAGAATTCATAAGAAAATTCTTAATTTTCGTGTCTTTTTTGTTTGTCTCATAAATTCACACAGGTTTTTTTATTTTTTCATTTTCTTCTGTCTTTTGTCTTTTGTCTTTTCATTATTGTTTTGTTTGTTTTGTTATTTTTGATATTCCCATTATTTTTTTGTTATTTTTATTTTTCCTCTTAATTTTCTTTTTATTCCTTATATTTTTCATTTTGTCTTTCTTTTTGTTTTCATTATTATTATGTTTCTTTGTTACTTTTATTTTCTTTATTATTTGCTGATTATTTCTTTTGCTATCTTTATTTTCTTTACTATTTGCTAATTATTTCTTTTGTATCTTTATTTTCTCTACTATTTGCTGATTATTTCGTTTGTTAGTTTTATTTTCTTTACTATTTGCTGATTATTTAATTTATTATTTTTATTTTCTCTACTATTTTCTAATTATTTCTTTTGTTATTTTTATTTTCTTTACTATTTTCTAATTATTTCTTTTGTTCTTTTTATTTTCTTTACATTTTGACGATTATTTTTTTTTTGTTATTTTTATGGTAATTGGCATATTTTGTCGGAAGTTTGAATTCAAATTTTAATTAATTGCTTTCTTGTTTATTCTCACAGTACCGGCTGCAATGGGAAATGGACACGCTGCTGTCAATGGAACTCACAATTTATTGATAAGTACATCGAGTTCAAGTAGCAATTCATCGGCAACATCGCCATTGCATGAGAAAAATGCAAATTTACCGAGTACAGTGCCAGAGGTGATGCGTACAGCTTCAGAACGTCATCAAAAGGGTTTAATGTCACCTTATATTTATCAAATTCTCACAGCCGGTGAAATTAAATTACCAGTACTATTGGAGGATGAAAATAATCGTGAATTTCCATCGATTCATTTAATTTATCGACCGGTACGCCAAATGGTTTACGCCATTCTGTTTAATGTTCATCATCGTATTTATTTGGCGAACAAGAGCAAGGAGAAGGGAGGTTAGTTCATTTCTATTTATTTTCTTGATTTTCCTTTTATTCTCTCTTGTTTTCTTTTTATTTTCGACTTACTTTCTTTTTTTATTTTCCGCTTATTTTCTTTGCTTTCTATATATTTTCTTGTTTTTTTATTTTCTAGTTGTTTTCTTTGTTTTTCTTGGTTTCTTTGTTTTCTTTCTATTTTCCTTTATTTAATTTCCATTTTCCTTTTCCAGATACTGACAAAGTTGAATTATCAGACGTGACTATAAAGGAATGGATTTGGTCGAAAACGAATACTTACCAATATCCAGAGTTGGTAAAAGCTGAGCAAATTGGTTGGGGCGTTCCAACAATTCAGCGTTTGTGGTTTGGGTAAAAAAAAATAAATTTCCGTATTTTCTTACTTTTTACTGTTTTATTGAAATATAATAATTATTAAATGTGCTTTTTTCTACTTTTTCAGAACTGTGATTGATGACAAACGTCGACGACTTCGAGCTTTTGTAACGTGCATGATGTCAGATACTCCGCTTATGCTAAATACTTCATATGTTCCTCAGCAATTATTAGTTATGGCCTGCGTGTTAAGGTAAATTATTAATTTTCAGTTTTCCAATTTTAATTAAATGAAATTTAAAGAAAATCGAATTTTAATTCAATTCCATTTTTATTAGTTTATTCCATTCAATTTTAAAATTCAATTCAATTCAATTCAATTCGAATTCAATTCAATTTGAATTCAAAACAATTTTTATTTTGTTAGATTAAATTTTAATAAATAAAATATAGAAATTAAAAAAATAGTTCAAGTCAATTTGAATTTTATTTTATTTCAATTCGATTCAATTTTAATTTATTTTCTTGTATGAATAAAATTAATGAGATTTTTTGTTTTTTGAATAGAAATAAATTAGCAGGTTTTTTTATTCGTTAATTTATTACAATTCGAATTATTATTTGAACGAATAATTATTGAGTATTAAAATTTATTCATTTATTCAATAAATTATTTCAGGTACATTATGACTTTCTCTGATAAAACGAAAATTCTGAGACGTCAGGAATTGGATGCGTTCATTGTGCAAGCCTTCTCGCCAGAATTAATGAATGCTCAGTATCTACAAGACTTACAGGTATTTTTGTTTTTAAGAGATTTATATTTATACTAAATAAATAAATAAGAAATCTTGAAATATTTTTAAATATTCAAACAAAAAAAATAGTAAATAAATAACAATAAATAGTAAAATAAAGATAGAAAGTAATATATTTCAATAATTTTTCTTTTTTTTCCCCTTTTTTGAAAAATAAGTTTACAAATGTTGTTTTTTTCCCCAGTTACCGCTTGTGACTGCCCGTGGTGTTCAACTCGCGACACTCTTTATGGCTGGCGTTGAAACTGCCCTCTTAGCAAATGACGCGTGCGGTGCACCAATTCCATGGCTAATGTGCTGCCCATGGCTTTATTTTGATGGGAAATTATTTCATCATACACTCGCGCGTGCAATGGTTGCTAAAAATCTTCTAGAACTTTGCGGCGGACATATCGAGCGCGTTGTTAAAGTGGAGAGAATGAGAAAGGCTATTCTCGAAGGTGTTAATGTTGTTTTCGCTAAACCACCACTGCCTCCTATTAATCCAGGTGAGTTTTATCTTTATTTCATTTTTATTTCCTTTATTTTATTTTTATTTCATTTTTATTTCATTTTTATTTCATTTTTATAAATGATAAATTAATAGGTATTATGAATATATTTATACTACCTTTTTATTTATACCACCTTTTTATTTATAATACCTTTCAACTATTTATAATTATTTTATTAATTATAATTATAATTAGCCATTAAAATGAAATGTTTTCTTAAAGTAAAATGGGCGATAAGGTGAAATAAATTCGAAATTACGAATTTCGACGAAAATTTAATTGATATTCCTTCCAATGTACATTTATTGTACGGCTGACTATTGTCTCAAATATAGTTGGTATATTTTTTTATTGGAAGAAGAGAAGTTCAACTCAATTGCTTCGTGGAATGTTAATTATTTCTGCGAATCTCAGAGTGGATACAAATTTACCGCAGAAAGAAATTAAATTTTTTTATCTTTTATATTTTCTACAAGAAATTTTAATTATTATTTAATTATTCATTTATTTTAATAAAATGAAAGAACTTTCGTTTTAAAAGTTTAATAAAATTCTTGGAATGAATTCAATTTTAAAGAATAATAAAAATCTTCTGCAGACATTCAATTGTTTAAAATTTTTTAATAAAATACTTGGAAACAATTCAATTATTTTAAAAAATTGCTATCAAATTTTGAGAACAATTTAATTATTTTCAAAAATAATAAAAATCTTGTTCAAAAATTCAATTATTTTAATAAATTATAAAAATCTTTTACAAACATTTAGTTATTTTAAAAAATAATAAAAATCTTCTGCAAAAATTTAATTATTAAAAATTTTTTAATAAAATTCTTAGAATGAATTCAATTATTTAAAAAAAATTGTAATAAAATTCCAAGAAGAATTTAATTATTTTGAACAATACCTATTAATAAAATTCGTTGGGAAAATTCAATTATTATTTTCGTAAATAATAAAATCCTGCGCAGGAATTTAATTGCTTTTCAAAAATTTGAATAAGACTCTTCAAAACAATTCAATTATTTTCAAAAATGTAAATTAAATTTCTATTGGAGATAAGAATTTAATTATTTCGGATTCAAAATTATAAAAATTACCTATGAAAATTTTATTTTTTTTAACAAAAATATTATCTTTTAAAATTTTTTTAAAAATTTACTTTTTCATTATTTTTATGTTAGGTAGGTACAGAATTTTCTTAGTAACCCTGAAAATGAAAATTTATAATTTTTACAAAAATTGTTAAAATAATCGAAAAGGAAAAGGAGATGATTAAAAATATTAAGTTAAATTATTAAATTAACTTTAAGTTGAATTTTAATTAACTGAAGTTTAATTAAATTTCAGTTAATTAAGTATTTTTAAGTTCAATTAATGAAATATTTTCAATTTCAGTTAATTTAATTTTTAGTTAAATTATTAAATTAAGTTTAAGATGAATTTTAATTAACTGAAGTTTAATTTAATTTCAGTTAATTAAGTATTTTTAAGTTCAGTTAATTAAATATTTTCAATTTCATTTAATGAAATATTTTCAATTTCAGTTAATTTAATTTTTAGTTAAATTATTAAATTAAGTTTAAGATGAATTTTAATTAACTGAAGTTTAATTCAACTTCAGTTAATTAAATGTTTTTAACTTCAGTTGATTAAATATTAAGTCAAATTACTAAATTAAGTTTAAGATAAATTTTATTTAACTGAAGTTTAATTCAATTTCAATTAATTAAATATTTTTAATTTCAGTTGATTAAATATTTTCAATTTTAGTTAATTAAATATTTCCAATTTCAGTTAATTAAATATTAAATTAAATTCTTAAATTAAGTTTAAAATGAATTTTAAATTACCTAAAGTTGAATTCAATTTCAGTTAATTAAATATTAAATTAAATTATTTAGTTAAGTTTAAGATGAACTTTAATTTAATTTTAATTGATTAAAATTCATCATCATCTCTGGTTGAATCATCATTGTAATTGTAATTTCCTTTCTTTTTTTCTTTCTAAAACAAAAACAAAAAAAGGTCTTCGAGTATCGGTAACACAAAATATAATGCCAGCTGGATGCACAATCAACGATCCAATAATCCGCGGACGTGGAGCCAGTGTAACGCCACAACGTGGATTAATGAGACGTCCACCAGTGCCATCGAGAGGTGGACAATTGGAAATTGCCGGCGTTGTTGTTGGCCAATGGGGAGCAAATTATGGACAACCAGGTCGTTTACCACAACCATTACAGGGACCGCCGCGTGGTCGACTTCCGCCTCAGGTACGATATCGCTTCTGCATGCGCAATCGAAGCGTCACAGTTCGTCGACGCATCTACATGGAACAAGGATTGCCCGCTGCAGGATTTTCTGACGACTTTAACGAATCCGATATACTTAATATGTTATAAATTTTTTTTAATTTCGTCACTTTTTTTTCCATTTTTTTCTCGTTTCTTATTCACTTATTAACTTTTTTAAAAAAAGAAACAACCCGAATGAAATGCGGTTCTTTAAAGTCCATTGAAATTTTAAATTCTCTAATTTCTTTTTTTTTACAGAAAAAAAAGAGTGAAATAGTCTGTTTTTAAGAAAAATTGACTCTTAGCAATTAATTGACTTAGTAATTATTAATTTTATTAATTAAATTAATTCAATTAATTAAATTATTAATTAAATTAATAGTGAAATTAATTTAATCGACAAATTGATAAATTTGTGTATTTTTAATTTATTTCGTTTTATTTTTTATTTTTTAAATTAATTTTTAACAATTAGATACAATTTTTGTGTTTTTTTTTTGAATGGTCATTGTTCAATGTCAAGTATAAATTGTTACTAAAAGAACCTCATGAAAGTTTCGTTGAAAATTGTACACCAAGTGTCCAATTATATAAATATAAATACATAATAATTATGTATCTATATTTGTATAAATATATATATATTTTTTAATAATTGCACTATTTACAAATTGTTTTTTTTATATGATACATTTAATGCTATCGAAATAAAGGTACATAAATTTTTGTAAATACTTTAACTGGTGTTTTTTTATTATCAGAGAAAAAAAAACTCTTTTTCGATTTGTGGGACTTTGTACCTACTTTTTTTGCATTAAATATTCATATGTTTGAATAATTTTATTATATTTTTCAATTTACATTTTTGGAACTAAAAATATTTTTTGTGGGCAATTTGCAAAAATTTTCTATTTTTATAAATGGTTCCTCAAGTTGAAATAGTGTTTCGTGTTTTGCTTTTTTTGAATTAATATTTTTTCATGACGTGTTGTGCAATTATAATATCATTTTCACTAATCTGTGTTGTTGGTTCATTTCGTTTTAACTTTTTTAATCGTGAATTCGTACTTTAAAAAAAAAACGTGAAAAGACACCAATTTCAATTTGTGACCATGTAATTTTGATTTTTGAAAAAAAAATTATAACAGTGAAGGGTTTTTAAATCAGAGAAGTATTTTATTTCATATTTCATGTGGTGACATTTTTCATATGCATGATTAATAATTATTTTTTTGCATGTTTTTAAGAGAATTCTTTCTTATTATTATTTTGTTTACTACCAACTGTGCTTGTATTTGTCAAAAAAAAAATCTTTTATTTCTTCTTCTCGGAAAAAGGGTCATGATGGTTCTTTATTACTAACAATTTTTTTCCTCAAAAAGAAATTGCGACTTTTTAAAAAAGAAAACTGGAAAAAGAAAAAGAAAATAGTTTGTTAATTATCGTTTATATTTTTTAGGTGACTTCCGTTGGCGGTGTGAAACTTGGATTCCCACGAGGATTCAATCACGTTGGACGTCCAGCATTTCAATCAAGGGGCAACAATAATCGCGTTCAAGTCACTGGAAGAGGGAAAAAAACACCAATGAAGGTATAAATTTAAAAGAAAACAAAAAGAATTGTCTACTTTTTTGTATATATAAATTCTTTTTTTTCTTTCGTATTTTTGTATATTCGATATTTTTGTAAATTCGTATTTTTCTATATATTCTCAAATGTACCTTAAAAAAAAGGTAAAATTTATTCTATATTCTCAAAAGTACTAAAAAAAAATTTATTATTCAAGTACTAAAAGTATATTATATTCGTTTATGATTAATTTTATACAAAAAATATTTTAGGCGACATCAAAAAAGAAGGCAGTTATTAAGAAAAATAAATCTGATTTTGAGAGAAAATTACCTACGAGTCGAGGATTAACTGTGGAAGGTTTAAATAACGATTACGTTAGTGAGTCACTGGCAAATTTGTGTTTATCGAAAGAAGTTCTCTCAGTGCCCGGACAATTTGACGATGCTATTGAAAATGGTCGTGTCGAAAAAGGCCAGGGAGATGCCACACTCGCAAATTCATTGAAAGCCGAAAATTAACAGGTTTTTTTTTTGCTTTTTAAAGATTAAAAAAAATCCTTTATTAAAAAATAATGAACTTTGACAAAAAGAAACAAAAATACCGGATATGACTCAAGACTGTAACCAATCTAATTATTATTATGTGTCAATTGAGAAGTTTTCCATCACAAATATTTGTTTAGTTTCTACCCAATTTATAGGATTATTGTTTCTATTTTTATTTTTTAATTTGAATTTTACTCGAGAATTAAAGAACTAATTCGAAATTTATTTACTTCTAGAATTGATTTCAGAATTAATTGAAAAACTGATTTAAAAATTAATTAAAATCAGAAATTTGAGAATTAATCGAAGAGCTAATTCGAAAATTAATTAAATTAAAAAATTCGAGAATTAAAGAACTAATTTGAAGATTAATTAAATTTTGATTTGATAATTATCTTGAGAGGAGAAAATAAATATTTGTGATGAATTTCAATTGACATGTTGAGCTATTGGTGGGGCCAAAAATTAACTAAAAAAAAACTAGTTAAAGACAACTCCAAAGCGCTAACAAAAAAAAATAAGGGTATCGACAATATCCACTTAAAAAAAAAAATTCTTGTCTCACACAATGCGATGTCCTCACTGCCAAATAAAAAAAAAACCACACACTGTAGATTAAATCGTGCTTCTGCTGAAAAGCAAAAAAAAAGGGAGAAAAAAAATAAGAATTTTTTTAAATGTCGCTTGTGCCACCGTGGAATGTAATTAAAATCGACTGATTAGTGTATGCATGCGCGCTAATTTTTATTAAAAAAAACGAGAACAAGTCGTGGTCAACTGCTACAAGTATTTACTTCTTAAGGAGCGTGATTATTTTTTTTACACAATGAAAAATATATATTTTTCGGTATTATATGAAATGCTCGCTTTTGTTCTCTTGGGTCATCTAATTTTCCCAAAGAAAAAAAGAAAAATGGAGATAGAAAAAAAGGAGGAGAGAAGTAAAAAATTCTAAATGTAGAATTAACAAAAAAATCGAGTCAGAATTATTCTGACTTTTGTAGATAAAAATTGGGAATAAAAACCAAGAAAACGGAGCGAAATCGAGACTGATGCTTTTCATATAAGTAAAATATATATTTATATATGATTTAGGTTTAGAGTTCCCGTAGAATTAATACAATACGTAAGTTGTGCGTGCATACCCCCCCAGAAAAAAAGGAAAAAAAAAGTAAAACTTTTGACTGCGAGAATGCGCAAAACTATATAAATGGAAAGAATTGTGAATACGTTATTTAAGAATGAGGGAATTTACTATATTGGTGTACATAAACGAGTTGTGATTATAGTTTTATACACTGTGCGTATACGTGTTCTTCTTCTTCTTCGAAAAGAAGAAGACGACGATTGGAAAAAATGGAAAAGAAAAGAAAAGAAAAGTCTTTTCTTTTCCATAAAAGAAACGAATTTTCCTTTCCTTTTCATAAAAATGAAAGGAAGGGAAAATAAATGAAAGGAAAGAAAGGAAAAGAAAAAGAAAAAGAAAAAAGGAAAACAAAGAAAAGAAAGGGAAAATAAAGAACGCGTATACGCCTTTGCGCGAATAGAAACATATATTTATTTGCTGGTGCGTCTGAAATCCACCCGAGTGACTGTGATTCGATGCATGCAGGCAGACTTTGCATTTATTTTTTTTTTACCCCAAAAAAATCGATTAATATTAGAAAACGATTTTTCCAATTTTGAATTTCGCGAAAGAAATTTAAATTCTGTTAATTATTAATTTTTTTTAACTAAAAAACAACATTGAAAATATTTGACATGAAATTTCATTTCTGGAAAAATTCGTTTTCCAATTACGAAAAAAAAAATAATATTTTTGTTTTATCAATAAATTTCCTTTTTATTTCAAAAAGAGATTTGGCGAAAAATTGAAACAATTTTTATCGTTCTGGATTTGTATCAAAAGAGAAAAAAACTGAATTCGTCAAAAAAAAAAAATCAATTTATGAATTCAAAGTTTGTCTGTACATAAAAATGATTATTTAAATGAATTTCTAAATTGAAAAAAAACTTGGGGGGTTTTTTTTTAGGGGCGGGTTTAAGGGGAAATGGATGAATAAATATAAGAATAATAAAAAAATCGATTTGCGAAATTGTGATAAGTTGCTCTCTGAGCGGCCTTATTTTGTAGCATATTTACACGAAGTCTGTTTTTTGCTTAATTGTACATATGAGAGAGCAGTTGCGAAAGAGAGAGAAAGAGAGAAAAAAAAACGGTGTGATTGTTGTATATATACATATATATTTATATATATATACAAAAGAAACAACCCTGTGAGCTGTTATTGCACTTGAGATTAGAAAGCAAGTTGTGTTAAAAAATGATTTTAAAAAAAAGGACCTAGAAAATGCGATTACTCTCAAATTTTCCCCCAACGGCGAAAAAAAGTGGGAGCAAATCGCAAATTTATTATAAAATGATGAAAAACTTCTTTTTTTCAATGAAAAAATAAAACATTATTTTACAAAAAAAGTTTTTCGCAAAACACACAAATGTTTAAACACAAATAAGAAAAATAACTAAAAAAAACAAGACAGCACGACAAAAAAATGAAAAAAATTTGTCGATTCAAATCGAAGACAAGAAAAATGTGTGGCTACGTGCAGATTTTACAAAAAAAAAAAAAATAAAGAGAGCGAGAGAGTAAGCAAATAAAACATTTATCGAAATAATATTAAAAAAAAGAGAGGTGATAAAAGACAAATGTTCTATTTTTGTAAATTTGTTATTGCGTAAAGTGCATTAAGACAATGAGAAAAAAAACGTATTAAAAAACTTGACATAACAAGCGTGAATTCTTCCTCTTTTCTTTCCAAACAAATTTTCCTCATTTTTTCCAAAATTCAACAATTTTGAATATTAATTCTTTTTCAAACTGAGAAAACTTGAGGAAAGTTTTTTTGGAAACAAAATACGAGTATAAAAAAAATGAAATGCAAATTTTGCATATTTTCGAAATAATTTGCTGCGAAAAAAAAATAACGAAGTTTTTTTTAGTGTTTAAAAAAAAACTTGGGAGACAAAAAAAAAAAAAGAAAGAGGAGATTAGTATAATTTTCAACTAATCGTAAACTGGAAGTTGATCTTTTTACGCTTTTGTAAAGATCGCTGATTTTCATTCTTAAAAAAACTCAAGTCACTCGACAACTAATGTAATAAAAAAAATATGACAAGTGCTTTGCACTGCATTACAAAAAGAACGATTTTTAATACAAAAATACAAAAAAACACTGAAAGAGGAAATCTTAACTAAAGGCAAAAAAAATGTGAACGACTCCAAAAGTCAGGTGCTTTGCCCTGCTTATTGTTAGTATGCGTATAGCACAGGGGCCCACGATAAATTAATTAAAATTACAAAAAAAATATATAAAAAATATATATATTGATCTGCGAGATTGTGTTACGCAAAATGTAAACGCCTTCATTCTTTTTTTTTAAAAATGGTAAATTTATTGTTAATTTACGCTTTCTTAGAACTAGCGCGCGCCGTATAAAAAAAAGACAAAAAAAATTATAAAAACTACGATTCAAATGTGTAAAAAAATTTACAAAAATACGATTTTAATTTCTATGATTAATAATTAATAATTAATAATCAATAATTAATAATTAATTAAATACTAAAATTATGAATTAATTTTTCGAAATTAGAAATATTCTTTAGTATAGAAAAAATCTAAAGAAAGTAGTAGAAACCTAAAATTAAAAATGGGCATTCGGTTTCTTACTACTGAAAGAGCTCATTTTTTTTTTTGTTTTATACCAATAGTGTTTTGCTTATAATAATAAATAACAAGAAAAAAAATACGATAGCAAATAAATAAAGGACAAAGAAATTAATTATCGACGTAGAAAAATACGTGGGTCCCTTGATTATATATTCTTAAAATATTAACATATACTCTGATATTATTTTTCATAGATACAAGAAAAAAAAAGAAATGTATACGCAATTTTGTAATTTTTTTTTCTTCCATTTAACAAATTAATTTTTATTTATTCTTCGTATTCGAAAGAAAGAGAAAAAAAACAATTTAATAATTTACCTAAAGCGCGAATTTGAAAAAATCTCCCATGTATTTTGTTTTTTCGTCTGGCAAAATTTGTAATTTGTAATTTGTAAATAATAATTTTCAATCTTTTTTGTTTTTATTTTGACAAAAAAAAAAAATGTTATAATTTGACGATGAAATGCATGTTAACTTGAAGAAATGCGAAAAATATTATTTTATATCTAGATCAAATTTTTTTTTCAAAAAAAAGAAAAAAATTTAAAAAAAAATATACTGCACTTATAATAAATAAATAATTGTCTGATGACAAACATTTAATGCATTTATATTTAATGAATCAAATCAATGTATTGGATTATTCTCCATCGTTGTTGTAATATTGTATATCAAATTGTCTTCTGTGATTCAAACATACTGATTCTTGTGTGATTTCAAATTTTTTGCAAAAAAAAAAACAAGAAAAAATGTCAATTTATGAAGAAAAGTTCGAATTTAAAAATACGATCTTGATTAATTAGAGAGAAAAATTGTTAAAGAATCAGTGCGAGCGAAGACACGAGACAGGCAAAATTATCATTAATCTTAAAAAAAAATAATAAAATTAAAGGCGCATTTAAACTACCCAAAAAAAATATATATTTAACAAAAAAAAAAAAAAAACAGGTACATATTTGGAAAGTAGAACTATCAAACTGTATAATCTGCAAAAAAAAATAATTATTCAGACTAAGCGAAAACTGCACTTCAATGAATGTTGTAAACGATTTAGAATATTTCGAATTCAATGTAAATCTGTCCATTGAAATTAACTACTCGGTTATTAAATTACAATTCAAATAAATTAAATTTAAAATATTTTAATACGTGATTAATTTATTTTTTTTCTTCAGGCAATAAAGTCGAATTTATTTGTAAACATGAAAAAATTTAACAATAAGTGATAATAATTATTAAAATCAATAAATTATTAATAATATTCGTAATAGTAATATAAATTATTTATTATTATTAATATTATCAGTAAATTATTAATATTTGTAAAAGTGACCGTAATAAGAATAATTATTTATTATTATTAATTATAATTATCAATGATAATTATTGATAATAATTATTAATTATAATTCTTAGTAAAAGTTATTTATTATAATTATTATTAATGCTAATTATTAATTACAATTCTTATTAATAGTTATTGATTTTAATTATTAATGTTAATTATTAATTGTAATTCTTAATAATAGTTATTTATTATAATTATTAATGATAATTATTAATTACAATTCTTAACAATAGTTATTAATTAAATTTAATTACGAAAATGATTAATTATGTAAAAATTTGACGAAAAATTTCGAGTAATAATTAATCAATGGCAGATGTATCTGGAGTTCTCTTCTTTTCTCTTTTATTAAAAAATATTAATTTTTAATTTTCTTTCTTATTATAATTATATCGCGTCTTATGTAGAATTATTATGTAACACATACGCGCAAAGAGATCATTTTCGGAAGTTAATAGTTTATTGAAACGTGTTGTCATGTCTTGAATAAAATTAAAAAAACTTTTAAAAATTAATATTCTTTGTTTATTTATTTTTTAGAAGAGAAGTTTGAACTATTAACCTCAAAAACCGGATGTGAATAATTTATTTACTTCTATTCGGTAAGTAAATAATAAGAAATTTAATTTATTTTAAATCTGAAAGATTACTTTTTGAATAATAAATAAAGCCAATAAAAAAAATTAATTAATTAATTTGTAAATTCTTAATGATTAATTATTTTACCATTATTTCTAATTATATTGTATTTATATTATATTTATATTAATTAAGTTATTGGTTAAAAAAAATCTATATAAATTATTAATATTTTATTATTATTTATTTATTATTATTATTATCTGAATTTTATTTTAATCGAATTTAAATTTCGCGCCTTCTATTTTTCGGCTAGGACCTGCCCAGCCCTGAGAAAGTGAGTGCAAGTATTTCCGAACTCTGCGCAGAGACAGCGCTATTACGGATAGAGTGTAAACTACGCGAAGTATTTTAACAATGTGACGGAGGTGGCGGCTCATATGCCGGTGTGTGTGTTTATTTAGTGTTAATTTATGTTTAAAAAAAGTGTTTGTGTCGAAAGTGCCTGCAGTGTACCGAAATAAGGATCTACAATTCAGGGAGTTGTCTGCAGTTGGTGTCAGGAATTCTTTCAAGTTCACTTTCACTGCAAGCAAACATAACCTCAACATCAAGTGCTACTCCGATATGTAAGTTTTGCACAAAATATTTGCACGTAAGTTACAAAAAAACAAGGTATATTTGTGTGAAAATACACAAAATACATATTTCGTGCCATTGGATAGAAATAATAGAAATATAATAATAGCGGATTCTAATATTTATAAAGAAGATAATTGACTCACGAATCAAAATACCGAGATTGTTAAGTCACGTGACAGACGCCAAGTTATTTTCGTATTTCTGATAAAGTAGTGCTGGAAATTGCAATTTTGCAGAAGAAAGGTGTAAAATATGACGAGAAATAGTCAATTTTATATAAAATGTGTTTAAATTATTTTTAGGTGTAGAAAAAAATTGTTTTTGAAAAGTCCCGTGGTACCGAAAGACCGAAATTCGTAACTACGAACTTTTACGAACAAGAACGATTTTATCCGAATGAGTCTTTACTTCTTACAAATCAGGTTCTTTTTTTTAGAAATTTTTATTAATTTTTCAATATAGTTTACAGGGTTTAAAATTGAATTCTTGTAAAGTATTTATAAAAAAAAATTTGAAATAAATTAAATTTTATGAAGAATTCAATTATTTTCAATAATTGTAATAAAATTATATAGTCAATTTATAAATAATAAAAATCTTCGTAAAAAATTCAATTATTTTTATATAAATAATAAAATTCTTATCAGGATTTCACTCTTATTTTGAATACAATTTTAATTAATAAATAAGTTATTATTGAATAACAAATAAATAGTAAATATTAAATAATAAGTAAATAGTAAATAATAAATGAATAATAAATATATTTAATCGATTTTTTACATTTTTTTTCACAATAAAAAACTGCCATTTATCTTTTTTTTGTCAATATAAATGAATTTATTTTTACAACATTCTATCGAGACAAATGCACAAATGGTCTTCTTTTCATAAATTTACCCGATTAATTCCAAAAAATATCATTATAAAGCTGTTTTCTTAATTGGAAAAACTTGTAGTTCCTTTTGAAATTCTTCAATATCTAAAATACAACATTCATCCGCATTCTCGTTCGAACTTGTCACATACTGCAGAGGAAATTTCATTTTTCCTCGTTCGCCTGCAACAAAAAAGAAAAACAATTTTCTATAAAATAAACAAATAATAATTCCTAAAAGAAAAAAAAAGTACTTACATAGATAATAAAAAGAATTCAAAAAAAGTTGATTCATTAAAATCGTATTCGACAAAAAAATAAATAAACTTTGCACGAGAGACAAAAAGAAATATTTGTCAAATTAAATAATTTAAGATATAATTTTTTTCGGGAAATTCTGATGATGACTCACAAGGTATTTCCTGATTGTGAGTAGTAGTTGTTGTTGTCACATTTGTTGGTGATTCGTGTTCGCCATTAATTGTATTAGTAATTTTTTTCTCCGACGATCCTTGTATTTGAATACTTAATTTACGGAAATTACTGCCATTTTTTGTATGTGCTTCAATCCATTTTTTCAATTCGTCCATTGTTATTGTTTCAAGTGTTTCAACTTCACGATCGACACGATCGAATAAATATTCACCTGTTGTTATTTCAGCCCAATTTTTAACAATTTCTTCCGTTAAATCGATATCGACGGTTTGTTTTAATTTTATTAGGGCCTCCTTTACATTGTTGAATTCATCGTCGCTCATTTTTGATAATAAATCATTGAATAATTTCATAAATTCCTCTATTCGTTCGTCAATATATTCGGTGGTGAATTTTGTCGCTTGTGTATAGACTGTTATGCTGTAGCCTAAAATTCCAAATGTGTCTCTTATTAGGCAATTAATATTGTAGCCAAGTTGTTCCAATGTTCGTAGTTGATTGAATAGAGGTTCTTCCATTATCATCTGCGAAGGGAATTTTTTTTTTAGCAAAAATTATTTATTGTTCGAACTAATTTTTTCTCGTTCAGAATAATTTTTTTGATTGCAAAAAATAAATGATTCAAAAGGAAAGAAACTGAAAATTCACTTACCATTAGTAATTCGATGATGACAGTGACTTTTATACTCGACGTGTCCGATTGATAGTAATTTGTAACAACTGAATTCGCGTCGGAATTGTTGAAATTTTTTACACGACAACATTGAATTCCGATTGGTATTTGCGTTACTCTAAATTGTGGCATTGTATTCGGCAATAGTGATCCACATTTTAGTATTTTCCTGCAATTTGTCACATTTTCTATAACGTCCTCCATTGTCACGTTTCCTTGCACCAGACATTGAATAAACAAATGATCCGTAAAGTGTTTGATGAAATTTAAAAATTGATCATAATCGATACTACTAATTGCGGCGTATTTATCAGTCGATGAACAGTGTCGCAAAATAAGAATGCACATTCGAATGTCTCTGTAAAAGAAAAAGAAAATTTTTATTTTCAATCAGTAATTAATAAAAAAAATCGAAATTAAATTAAATTTTGATTAAATTCAATTATTTAATTTTGATCGAATTTAATTACTTAATTTAGATATAAATTCTGTTTAAAGTGAATTAATTATTGAATTTCTAAATATTCAAAATTTCATACTTGACGAGTTTACTTGGCTTGAGGAATTTATTGTAATACGACTTTAATTGCTCCTGTTTCATAATATCAAATAAATCCTTTGATATTAAATTCGGACTTTCGGCCATACACTCAATTATTGTGTTCAATAAAAGCTGAAAATTGCAAAAATAAAATTATTCTCTAAATTTAATTCGTTTTATTTTGAGATATATTTTTCATTTTCTTACTACTCAATAATTCTACAAAAAAAAAAATTATTTGAACTTAGAGATGAAATAAATTAATTTCTACCGGTAATTTTTGATTGTATCCATCAACTTTAAGAACAACTCCCTTATCACAGGTGTAAATAGAATGATGAAGTTCTGCGGCCGTTGCCGCGTAGGTTTTTTCCACCAATAGTTGCTTTAGTGTCGCAATAAATAAATCCATCATTACGCATCTGAAAAGAAAATAGGAAAATAATTTTAAAAGAATCAAAAAGCAAATAGGAAATTAGGAAAATAAATAAAGGATCTTTTTCTCAAAAAGTCCGTTTTTTGAAAAAAAGTTGTTTTAAGTTTTAAGTAAATTGTTCTCTTATTTGATTCGGACTGATTCGATTTTTGTCAGTTGGTCCGTAAATGGTCCGTAATTTTTAATTTTTGGTCCGTAAAGTCCGTATTTTTAAATACTTTCATACATACCCCTCAGGTGTGGCAATTGAGCTCGGCGATATTAAATAAAAGTACATTAACGCTTCCGGTAATCGAAATTTAGGATCAGGCCTGTACCAAACTTCCATTATTTCATCGCTGTGAATTTTAGTTGGATATTTAGGCACATTCTCTGGCAATGTCATTAATTTGAAATCAGTTGTAATGTAAATATTTGGCTCGGGTAAATGAAATTCAGGCAGTGGTTCAATTATTTTCCAAGTCTCTGTCCATTCATTTGGAATTGAATTTCTCGAGTATTTTGTATTAAACCAAGGTTCAGTGTTTATTAATTCCTCCTCGTTGAATTTCTTATCGAAAATTATAATATTTACATTATCGGCTCTCAATGTATTCAAGCAATCTTGAATTCCACTGGGATTATATTCGAAATATAAATCATTGCCATTTATATAATCCTCAGGCGCGTAGAAATGCATATTTTCGCAGAGACTCTCGACATACTCCACTGGATCCTCCTCGTCCATGAATCTAAATGTTGTAAAATTCAGAGTTAGGTTTTTTCAAAATTGAAAATTAAAATTTTTAATTTAAACGAAATTGAAGCGAAAAAAAACGAATTCAATTTATTTAAATAAATAAATTTAATGTGTTGAAATAAATAAATTTAATTTGTTGAAATGGATGAAATTAATTTATTAAAATAGACAAATTTAATTTAATTGATGAATTTAGTTTTTGGAAATGATTGAAATAGAGAAATTGAAAATTTGAAGCAGACGTACTTGAAATTGGTTTTTTCAATGAGGGAAATCTCATTGTAAATCCGTTGATCGGGACCATTTTTTCGTACCATGTTGATGTAGGAAAACACGGCTTCGAGAACTTCTTTTAAATGCTTGTGACCCTCGTCGGTGAGGGTTAGACATAAACTAAATAGAGCGTACATGGAACTGTGCTCGAAACCTCCTTCAGCATTTCCGGTGAAAATATCTAAACACCACATTTTCTTTCGCAGATAATTGATTAAAGATCCTTTCCCCTCATGTCCGATTATCCACGAGACATATTGATGAGGTTTGCTTTTGTATAAATGATGTAAAGGCGGCATTGACCATGTCAGTTCGATCTGATTTAAGAAGGAAAATAGATTTTTGTTCATTAATAAGGAAAAAATTAAATTTGTCAAACAAATCAGAAAATGAAATTAAAAAGAAAAAATTACCTGACAAATGTCTTTGACTGGTTTCATTTTATACATATTTCGAAAATCTGACGTATCGAATGAATCGGCTCCTTTAAATTTACTAAAATCGTCGGAGGGCAAGCCATTGCTTGGCACATCTGAAAAGCAATCTTTCACCAATTGTTCCAGTGCATCTAATGAAAGTCGAGCCTGTAGAAATTAAAAAATTCCAAATTTTATTTTCAATCAAGTCTAGAGAAATTGCAAAAAAAAAAAATTTGCACCCACTTGAACCGCTAATGTCATTCTATGCGCGCTATAATGTCTTTCGCGGAATTTATGAAGTTCCTCATACAATTTATCATCTTCTATTGAATCTCGTAGTGTCGTTAAATTTCCCCATGCGAATTTCGTCGCCGGATGATTGGGTTTTGCGAAACTGCAAAATAATTGCTCCTTTCGATATAAATCCGATGGTAACGCCATTTGAAATTCTGTGGGAATTTAGTTTTTACAATTAAAAATTTAAGTTTGGAAAGAATATAGAAATTAAAATTCAGAAAGAAAATAGAAATTAGGATATTCCTAAACTTCCCACGTTCAAATGAACGAAATTAAATTAAGAAAGAAAATATAAATTAAAGAAGAAAATGGAAATTAAAGTTAAAAAGAAAGTGGAAATTAAATTTAAAAATAAAATGGAAATTAAATTATAGAAAATAATAGAGATTAAATTGTAAAAGAAAAGGGAAATTAAATTTAAAAAGAAAATAGAAATTAAATTAAAAAAGAAATAAGAAATTAAATTTAAAAAAGAAAATGGAAATTAAATTTTAAAACAGAAAATGAAATTAAATTTGAAAAGAAAATAGTAAAAAAAGTATTGTTTAAATTGTAAATCTGAAAAAAAACTACTAACCACTTTCAACGACTTCACGTTCGCGAGTAATAGCATCTCGTCTCATGAGTGGACTAATAAAAAATTGTGCGAAACGATCGAGTGCCTGCGGTAAATGCTTTTCTTGTATTTCAAAATGAAACGTTGTTTGTTCACATTCCGTCGACGCATTATCGGAGCCTCCACGTTTTTTTATAAACGAATCAAAATCATTTTCCTGAAAAAAAGAACTTTGAGAAAACAGAAAATGAAAATAACAAACAAAAATAGTTAGTTATTGAAAGTAGATAGAAAAATTTTAATACATATTTGGAATTAAACATACCTCGGGATATTTTTTTGAACCCATAAAAACCATGTGCTCTAAAAAATGTGCCAAACCGGGAATTTCGGCAGGATCACTGAAACTTCCAACTCCAACGCATAAAGCACACGCAGCCTATAAAAAATTAATTTTTAACAAAATGTCCATTTAAATATTTGCAATATTTAATTTATTTATACATAAATTTATTAAATTACCAGAGAAATTATTAAAGAAACTCCATTAATTTAAAAAAAAATTCAAAGAAATTCTTCAAAAGAATTTAATTAGGATTTTTAAAAATTTTAATAAAATTCTTCGCAAGAATTCAGTTATTTTCACAAATTACTGATTGCAACAAAAATTGAAAACTTAAATTATTAAAAACTTTGTAGTAATAAATTTTTTTGACAGTAACAGCAAAAATATGGAATTTTTGGATTATAAATATAAAATTAATTTGAAATTTAATTAATACGATAAAAATGACAAAAACCTTTTTCTCTTCTTTAGTGGAACGTTTAGCAGAGTTTGAAAATTCGATATCATCGTCGCATTCATTGTCGTCAGACACATCATCATCACTTTCATCCTCGTCACTTTCGTCATTTTCATCACTTACTTCATTATCATCTTCATTCTCACTTTCCTCTGAATCATCACTTTCCGATGATAATTTTTCAGCACCTGAGTTAAAATTAGTGTTCAATTATAATTTTATTATCATAAAAAAATAACACGTGATTCCTAAAAATTCTTACCAATCTCACTGATACCATTTTTCAATTCTTCTGATGAATGTGTATCAGCAATGAGTAAAGCCGTTAATCCATTTTCCAATCGAATTACTCTGAATAAGGTAGAAAAAATATAAATTCAATGGAAAAAAATAGTTAAATGCGACCTCGAAATTGACACTGATTCGAAAAGCTCGAAATAATATTGAAAAAGGATGAGGGAAAGGAGAAATACTAACCTGTACAATTTCTTATCATTCTCCGATTTAACGGGAGTATTGAGATATTCGACTTTAACATCTCTTGTGCAATTACCATTAGATGAATTGATTTCTAAAGTATTAACCATTTTATTATTACGTTCATTTACTTGAAAATTGTGATTTGATTTTAACTTTTTAACAACAGGAGTATTTTGTAAATGCCTTTTTGGCATTATCAGTAAATTTGACACTTTCTTATCATATCTAGATAAGGATAATACTTTCGAAATGCAGACGAGCGATAAACGCATAAAATTTTTAAGACTAATAAAAAATGAATTGGAAAATTTAGCGAAAAATGCGAAAATGGAATAAACGAAATATAAATTGAATTATTTAGAGGTTAGAAAGAAGAAGACATTTTTTTTAAGTTAGTTAGTAGTATATTAATTATAGATAGCGCAATGAGCAACTTCCGGTGAGAAAATTTTCATGTTTCCCATTGGTTTCTCCAGCCCGGGTTTATTTAAATCAGCCAAAGAGCGTAATTCTTTTGACGCATGCGCAGTAGGTAGATTAGGTAGATTTTGGAAGTACTCGAACTCTGTAGTATTTAATCAAATTTGCGGAAGTTAACAACTGTGCCATCTACAATTTGATTCGACCAAGAAGGTTAGATGTATTATTATTATTATACAAATTTTGCAAAGTTTTGCTCAAAAATTTGCAAAATATTTAATAATTCAAATATTTGTAAAACGTCCGGAAAATATAAGCCAAAAATTTTAGGTTTTTTTATTTTTGAAAATTGAAGATTTACAAAGGGGGTCGAGTCGATTCTCAATATTATTGTTTAAATCTTCGTTAAATATTGATTTTACGATTTTATTGTTAAAGAAATTAAGAAAAAAAACGTGTATCAATTTAAAACTGATGAAACTGAAACAAACATAACCTTAAAATTAAAATGATTTGCTTCGAGTCCCACATTTAAAATACTTTGTATGTAGTTTAAATTTCAATTAATTTATTATAAATCGTGAATATACATAAAATTTAAATACAAAAGAGTTTTAAGTTTACGAACTTTCATGAAAAATATAAAAATATCTTTATAGAAATATAAAAAAAAGGAAAAATTTTATACAAAATTTTTTTAATAATGATGAAGACAAAAACAACTAAATTTTACACTTACTGACATTTTTATTGTTGAATTTCATTGCACATGTAGTGTAATAATTGAAATTTGTTACTTGTTCTAAAGTAATATGTATAAGTATAGAAATGTGTACAAAAACTATTCTACTTTTTATATTTTATTTCGGTATTATTACTGGTATCATTTCTAATACATTGCGCATATTTACTTTTTTTTTATTATAACTCGTAAACCTCGTAATTTTTGTCGCTGTTATTCCAGTTTATTTATGTAAAAAAAAATTAAGAAAACTTATTGAAAAATTGCATTTTGTATCTCGATTGTCATCGATAGAACATTTTTTTTAAATACATATTTTTATATCGAACATTTGTAACACAAAACTGTGGAAAATTTCTTTCTTTTACGCATTTATTGAAAGAGGCATAAATTAAAAGCTATCGGTATTTTTTATTCTAAAAACGAAAAGAAACATATTTACAAGACTGCCTATACAAAAAACTTATTGACTAAAGCTCAGATCTAGCTTAAAATGAAAAACGGAAATAAACTTATCGAACTTAAGATCTTATTAATATGACATTGGTCCCATTTTTTCTGATCCTACAAACGTGACTTCTTTTTTTTTTTGTTAGGTTTTTGGGAATTTTTTTTCTACCTGAGAGAAAAATCTGAGTTTTGAATGAAAAAAACACAAAAATGCGACGAAATGCAAAAATATAAACGACGAAAGAAAATACTTGTGTTTCTTGTTGTTTTTTTTTGGGACAAATGTTTAGACTTATTTAGTCGGAAAAAATTAATTGGCCTGTAATACGAATTCTAAAATTGTGAAGAATGGGCCTTTTTTATATACAATTATACAGTTCCCTAATTTACTAATACGTAGCAGCACTCTTTTTTTTAATAATCATATTCTGACAAGAACTTCCAATACTGCGTTTGGACTGAAAAAAATGAAAAAAAAAAAAATAGTCTGTCAATTTTTAATTTGACAGATACGCACATTCCTATATCCTGACAGTCATAACTCGTAATGCGGTTAAATAGTCGAGGTAATTCACACTAGTATACGATTAATAAAAAAGTTAAGTAGTTTCGTAGGCGGAAGGACTTATTTTTTGTCTTTAAAAAAAGAATTCTTCTTTTCTAGATAGAAATCTTCTTTTTTTCTTTACAAAAAGATTATGTTCTTTTCTTTACAAAAAGATTTCTTTCTTTCTTTCTTCTTTTCTTTTTATCAAAAAATTTCACTGGCCTAAAAATGTTTTTTTCGAACTACTAATTATTATATAAACTAGAAGCACAAATTTTTTGTTTTCTTGATTATACTACAAAATTTTACAATTCAGATTCCTCTATATTTGTATCCTTTTGTACTTAATTTTTTTTTTTTTTTTTTTTTTTTTTAATGTGGATCTAAGTTTTTCCTATTTATTATTCGGTCAGGCATACAAATTGTTAGAGACATTTACATTTAATTACTTAGTCCAGCAGCGTGTAAAAAAGTATAATTATCAGTCTGGCCATCAAAAATGACCAAATACTTATTTAAATTAGGTTTTTTTTAATATTATATATATAAAGATCATCTCGGTTCGCTCGAGAATTTATCAGTACAAATACAGAAATACCATTTACAAAGGTAATAATATTATAATATAAATTCTGTAAAAAAATTAGGAGAATCATCTAATTCTTTACATTATTAAATTGCGACTATACATTTCGCGAAATTATATAGTTTTTTTTTTTAAAGAAAGTCGTTGCTCAACGAAAATTCACACATACAGTTTTTTTTTTTTGCTTTTTTTTTGTTTTTGTATTTATATACTTATATATATATTTTTTCCAAAAGATACAAAACTCTCAGGAATCTCACTAAAAAAAAAAAGATTTTCTTTTTTTTTATCTCTAGCATTATTTTTTCTTTCACTTTTATTTTCTCAGTTTTATATAACTTCCGGTAAATTCCGGGGCAATAATAATTTGAGAGCGATTGTTTTAAAATTTCAAAAAAATCACTTTTGAACTAAAAAATAATGTAGTTTTCATGGTAAAAAATAGTCTATCTATTTTAGGTGTATCGGTTTTTTTTTGTTTTTTGTTTTATCACATATCGAACTACCATCTCTCTCTTTTCTTATTTTTTCTAATCGTTTTCTCACTTTGCGATGTGAAAAATGAATTAAATTCTAAGTCGTAAAAAATGGTATTAAAAATCATGCGCCTTTTTTTGAATTATTGATTAAAGAAATAATTAATAATTATTGATAATAGAAAATAATGTTTGAATCACATATTTCGTTTCTTTTTTTTTTACAAAAATTATTTAATTAAAATAATATTTACTTTTTTACAAAATATTTTTCGTTTATTCACAATCACCCGAATTTTACTTCTTTTTAAATATAATAATTCTAAACGAAAAATTGACTTAATGAAAAAATGTCGCTTTTCAATTTATGTTCTCGAAAAATTTATCTTTTTCGAGTAAAAATTTTTGACAAGATTTTTCGATTTTTGAAATTTCATAATTGTATTTTTAACTGTACATTTCGAAAATGTAGAAAATACTTTTTAAATATTCGAAAAATGTTTTTGAATTCGAAAATTTCATAATTTAGGCCAAAGAAACAAAAAAAAAAAAAAAAAGAAAAAAAAATTCTGAAACTGCCTTTTAATGTTCGAAAAAGGCAAAGGAGTTTTTTATGGTTTCAGAGATTACTTTTGTAATTATTTTATATTTATGTAAAAAAAAATAAAATAAAAACGCGATACCTAGGGACTTATTCGAGTTTAAGAAAAGAACCTGTGGTGGCACCAGGTCGCAACAATAAAGGCGTTTTTCTTCGCGATGATGACACTGGTTGATAAACGTAATTTCCCTGCAATGTTCCCGTGATTGTTTTTTGTCGCTTTGCACTTGGACTTAATTCATAATCAAATGATTCTTGTTTTGTGATATTCAATTGCATGTGAAGTGCTTCTTTATTATCCTCAATATCAATTTCATCGTAGAGATGTTCAGTGATATCGATATCCTGACTGCTCTCGTCATAGCTGTCAGTGACGGAATTTGCAGCGATATGATTATGCACCGGTTCATCGTACGATGGACTCTCCTCGGCAGTTTCATCGCCCGAACTTTCCGATTCTTCTGCCGATAAATCGCCATTACTCGCGTACTTCATTTCACCACGTTCAAGTAATTCCAAATGATCGGGATAAATCATTGCCTTTTTAATTGCCAATGGATCCTTTCGACTCCATTTTTGCACTTCCTCATCCATTTTCGCCACTTTATCGGGATTTATTGCCCATAAACAGCCCTTCCTTTGGTTTCCATTACCCGCTGGTTTTTCAATTTTCTCAAAACATTTGTTTAATGATAAATTATGCCTCACCGAATTCTTCCATCCGTTTGGCGCTGTCTTGAAATACGGGAAGTGCTCGCTGAAAAATAAAAGAAATTTCTATAAGTAAATAAATAAATAAGCAATTAAATAAGTAAAAAAATAAGTAAATAAGTAAATAAAAATAAGTAAATTTGAAAATTGGGTAGAATTTTATATTTTAAGTAATATTTGATAATATTTTTAGCTTTTTTCGAATTCTTGAAAACTGAAAGAGGCGAAAATAAATTTCAATTTAACATTTCTTTAATTTTGTAATTTTTTCCGAATTCTTAGAATTTATTTGGAAATTAATTTTGAATTTTTTTTAAATCTTATATATTGAAAGAAGAATAAAACGATTGAATTTTTAAAATTTTGTAATTTGTTACGAATTCTTAGAATTTATTTGGAAAATTTCCAATTTTTAAGTAAAAATTTAAGAAATTTGGCTTTTTTTAACCAAATCTTAGAAGATATTTGGAAATTAATTTTTAATTCTATTTGATTCATACAAATTTAAAGAAGAATAATCGTAATTAAATTTTTTAGTTTTCAATTTTTAGGTAGAAATGTTTGGCAATTTTGCATTTTATTAAAGAATAATTTCAATCGAACTTTTTAATTTTAATTATTTTAATTTCATTAAATTTAATTAAAAACTTTGAAAATTTTGAATTTTTGTCAAATTTATTTGCATAATTAATTTTGAATTATTTTTATTACTTACAAATTTAAAGAAATTCCAATTGAACTTTGTAATTTTTAATTAAATTTTATTAAAAAATTTTGAAAATTTGCATTTTTCTCGAATTATTAGAATTTAATGGCAAATTAATTTTGAATTTTTTTTTATTCCTTACAAATGAAAAGAAAATTTTTATTAAATTCTTTAGATTTCAATTAAATCTAAGTAGACATTTTTGAAATTTTATAATTTTTACGAATAATATTAATAGACTTTAGTATTTTTTTTTTTAATTTTCAATTAAATTTAAATAAAAATTTGTGAAATTTTGCATTTTTCTCGAATTTTTATAACTTATTTGAAAAATAATTTGGAGTTTTTCTTTATTTCTTACAAATTTAAAGAAGAATAATTTCAATTGAATTTTTTTATTTTCAATTAAATTTCAATTTAAAATTTTGGAAAGTTTGAATTTTTCTCGAATTCTTAGAATTTATTTGAAAATTAATTTCGAATTTTGTTTTATTTCTGCCAAAAATTGAAAAAAGAATAATTTTAAATATATTTTATAGTTTTCAATTAAATTTAAGTAGAAATTTTAAAAATTTTGTGTTTTTTCGAATTTTTAGAATTTATTTGGAAATTAATATTTTTATTTCTTTCAAATTGCAAGAAGAATAATTTAAAATTAATTTTTTAAATTTCAATTAATTTATACTTAAAATTTTTTGGAAATTTGCATTCTTCTCGAATTTTTAGAATTTATTCGCAGATTAATTTTGAATTTTTTTTATTTCTTACGAACAGAAAGAAGAATATTTTTTATTAAATTTTGTAGTTTTCAATTAAATTTAAGTAAAACTTTTTGTAAATTTTGCATTTTTTACGAATAATTCCAATTAAATTTTTTAATTTTCAATTAAGTTTAAGTAAAAATTTTGGAAATTTTGCATTTTTTCAAAATTCTTAAAATTTATTTGAAAATTAATTTCGATTTTTTTGTATTTCTTACAAATTGAAAGAAGTAGAATTACATTTTTTAGTTTTCAATTAAATTTTTAAGTAGAAATTTTGCATTTTTTCCGAATTCTTAGAATTTATTTGGATATTCATTTCGAATTTTTTTTATTTCTTACAATTTGAAAAAAGTATAATTTCAATTGAATTTTTTAATTTTGATTTAAATTGTAAGTAAAATTTACTTTAAGTAAAAATTTTGTCAATTCTGCATTTTTCGATTTCTTAGAATTCATTTCAAAAATAATTTCGAATTTTTTCTTCTTTTGAATTCTTGCAAATTTTTAAAGTACAAATAAATAATTAAATAAATTTCAATTAAAAAATTTCGAAATTTTGAATATTTTCCCTAAAAAGTCTTAGAATTTATTTCTAAATCTTACAGATGGAAATTTCCTTTTTCAAACAATTTGGATAATTTTCGAAAGTGAATAAAATCGACTAAAAAGATAGTAAAGTCGTTAAATAATGAATAAATAATCGGAATTGGTTTAACATTTTTGGTAACACTGTACAAAGTCTGGTCCGTGGAATAAACAAAGAGAGGGGTCTCGAATTTCTAGGGGGACTGTACCCCTGCATGCACCTGGTGCTCCAAGGGCCCTATACAAAATGGCAGCTCCCCCCTTCACAACTTGGAAATAAAGATGGAAGGACAATACTTTCCCTCCATGCTCCTTTTAAGCGTATATACGAGGGCTTCATCGCACTTTTACCCTATACCCATTTGAATAGTCAAAAAAAAGCGCCAAATCCTTTAATTTACTTGATGAAATTTTTTTCGCAATAATTCCCCTCTACTTTATTCGAATTCGATTTTTTTTTTTTTTTGATAAATTATATTATCTGTATAAATATAAACAAGTTTGTTTAAATTTGAAAAAAAAGTTGGAAAAGTCGTAAAATTCTTTAAAAATTAAAATTAATTCCAATAAAACTAGACGAAATTTCCAATAGACAAAATTTTCAATTAACTATTTTTGGGAATTAAATTATCTTTAAAATAAACAATTTTAATTAACATTTTTGAAAATTTTTTGAATTTTCGATTTCTGAAAGAATAATTACGCATAATTTAATTATTTACATATTTAAAAATTGCTATTGAAACTTTTCCAAAATTCAATTGTTTTCCAGGATTTTTCACTAAAGTTTCTTTTCTAAATATCAATTATTTTTTATAAACATGAATTAAGTTCTTTTCCATTTGAATTTTACTAAATTTTGATTACTCGAAAACTTTTCAATTAAATTATTATAATTTTTCAATTAATTATTCGAAACTAAAAACTATTTTCAAAAATTTCAATTAAAACGCTTTTGAAATTTAATTATTTCTTTAATTTCTATTAACACTTGTAATATTTAATTATTTTTTAGAAAATTTTCTACAATTTTTAGTTAAAATTCTTCACTGTATCAATTATTTGACATAAAAAATTCAATTATTGGGAAAAATGTCTCTGGAACTTTTTTCGTATTTTTAAATATAAATTCAAAAATAGAAACTATTTTCAAAATTTCCAATTTGAAAGCATTTGAAATTTAATTGTTTCTTAAAATTTCTACTAATAACTTTTCCAATATTGAATTATTTTCTAGAATTTTCAATTAAAATTCTTCGCTAGATGAATTATTTAAATAAAGTAATTCAATTATTTTTGAAAAGTGCTAAACTTTTTGTAATTTAATTATTTTTGAAAATTTCTACTGTAACTCTTCCAATATTCAATATTATTTTCTCGAATTGTGATCTAAAATTCCTCTCTAACTCAATTATTTAAAGTAAAAATATACAATTATTTCTGAAGATTGCTCAACTTTTTGAAATTTGATTATTTCTGAAAATTTGTTTTATAACAAATTCAAATATAACAAATTCTTTTCCAATTTTCAATTATTTTCTAGAATTTAAACAAAAAATTATTGTTTTATTTTACTTTAAAATTGTAAAAAGAAATTTTGTAATTAAAATTCTGCGCTAAATCAATTATTTGAATAAAAAAATTTAATTATTTCCGAAAATTTCTGAATTTTTTGAACTTTAATTATTTTTGAAAGTCTCTACTACAACTCTTTCAATTTTCAATTATTTTTCAGAATTTTCAATTAATATTCAGCGCTTAATAAATTATTTGAATACAAAAATTCAATTATTTCCGAACATTCCTGAACTTTTTGAAATTTAATTATTTCTGAAAATTTGTTTTATAAATTTTCCAATTTTTCAAGTATTTTCTAGAATTTAAAAAAAAATTTCTAATTTTATTCTACTTCAAAATTTAAACAGAAATTTCCAATTAAAATTCTGCGCTAAATCAAATATTTGAATAAAAAGTGCAATTATTTCCGAAAGTTCATGAACTTTTTGAACTTTAACTATTGTTAATAATTTCTACTACAACTCTTTCAATTTTCAATTATTTTCCAGAATTTTCAATTATATAATTCTGCTCTGAATCAATTACTTGAATACAATAATTCAATCTTTTTTGAAAATTTGCAAAACTTTTTGTAATTTAATTATTTTCTAGAATTTTGAACTGAATTTATTATTGAAATAAAAAAATTGAATTTGTTCTAAAAAATGCAAGTTTAACTTTTTTTTGTGTATTTAAAGTTTTTAAGGTAAAAAAGAAGAAAAATAAGGAAAATTTAATTTTTTTTCAATATTTTATAATAAAAAAATGGTAAATTGTTGCAACATATGGAAGAAAATTCGAAAAAGTTGTATATTAATAAAAAAAAAGTCGGAAACAGTCGCATTTTAATAAAAATGAAAAGAAGGACGAAAACTATCGCATTTTTGTAAAAGTAATCGAAAAAGTCGTACTATCCGGGGGCTGTCTTAATAATTCTATATATTGATTTCGAATAAAAATGGTAGTTATTAAAAGAATACTCACCACATGAAATTGTAAATTTCCGAAACAGGAAGTGATCCCGTTTGACTATTTTTTAAGGCCATTGCTATTAAACACGAATATGAATACGCTGGTTTTGGATATGGTTTATCGTCATAATCAGAAAGATCAAAGTCCTTATCCCTTTTGGTTTGGACGGCAGTTGAATTTGAATTGACATGAACGTTGTTATTGTAAATTTGCTTTCTCACGTGCGATTGTGTTTGACTTTGATTTTGTATGACCTTATAATTTTGAACTCTTATACTGCCAACATTCATTTTTGGCATTGTGTGTGATTTTGAAATTTGTGGCGACATTGTTTTTATTGTCGTTGTTGGCAACATTAGGGATTTTGATTTTATCGTTGGCGTTGTTGTTGGTGCTGTTGTTATTGTTGGCTTAACATCATCCTCATCATCGTCATCATAATCATCCTCCGTCTCTGTAATATCATCGACATATTGTTCCGTTTCAGTGTCATTATCATCATTATCATTCTCCTGATCATTATCATTGTCATTCTCATAATCGGGATCATTTTCAAATTCTAATAATTCATTATCATCATCGTCGACATCGACTTTTTCTTCTTTTATTTCCTGTGACGATGGCGAAAAGGCAAAATGCCTTCGCGGTGATGGACTTCGCACTGCCATGTGTGGCATTACGGAATTTGGATTTACCATTATTGTTGTCGCATCACCACCGCTGAGATCGAGATTAAAATTACTGCAAAATGAAAAAGATATTTATTTTATTATTTATTGAAATTATTTTGTGAGAAAATTTCCTCGCCGGGGAAAATTTATTTGACAGGGTTGCCACAAAAATTTGAATTTGTTTTTTTCTGAATTTTATAAAAAGAATTCAAAGGGACTTCAATTATAAAAAAAAATATTTTAAAAAATATATTTGGAAGCAAATATTTAAAATTAAAATTTCAAGGGTTTAAATTTTAATATTTAAAACTTTAAGTGTGTCAACTTTAAGTTTCAAATTACTGTCAAACTTCTTTCAAGTTTAAGAAATTTCAATAAGTCTCAGAAAATTCAATTTTTAATAAAATTTCAAGAAATTTCAATTATTTTACATAATTTCAATTACTTGTTTACTATTCAATTATTTAAAAGTTATTAAACTAAAATTCTTTGAAAATTCGACTATTTTAAACCCCAATGAAATTCTTTAAATAAATTTAATTATTCTCAATTCAATTTTACAAAATTTAAAATATATTTTGATAATTTTTTAATAAAATTTGAATATATAAATTCAGATATTAAAAAATTGAATTAAAATTTTTCAAAAGTAACTCTTCCTAAATTCAATTGATTTCAAGAATTTTTAATTCAAATTCTTCTCTACATCAATTATTTCTAATAATTCTGATAAAGTTCCTGCGAAGAATTCTATTATTTATAAAAATAATTGAATTGTTTCCAGGAAATTAAATTAATATTGTATAGATAATAATTGAATTTTCCTAAAGAATGTTATTAAAAATTTTTGTAGAAAATTGAATTGTTCACCAGAATTTTATTAAAATTGTATTCTCGTCCAGAATTTGTTCCCCAGAATTTTATTAAAATTGAATTCTTGACAAGTTTTTTTATTAAAATTGAATTTTTGTCCAGAATTTAATTAAAATTGTTAAAAAAAAAATTTTTAATCTTTGGAATAAAATTTTATTATTTATGAAAATAAAAATTTTTGATGAATCTAGTAGTAAATTTGAAAATTCAATTCTATCAAGAAATCTGATTTAAATTGAATTAAAAATAATAGAATTTCTGCAACGAAAATGATTGTTTTTGAAAATTATTGAAATTTTTCTGGAAATTTCTAGAATTATATTATTCGAAGAGTTTTATGGAAATATTTGAAATTAATTAAATTCTTTCAAGAAATTTTATTAAAATTGTTGAATTTGTGCGAAGAATTTTATTAAAATTTTTGAAAACAATTGAATTGCTTCGAAAAAATGGTATTAAAATTATTGAAAATAATAAATAATTAGTAAAAATAATAATAATTAGTTAATTAGTTAGAAAGTGTGGTTTTAAAATTTTTTTAAAAATTAATTATAAATAATAACTTTAAGAAAATTATTCTAGAATTTAATTACTTAAAATAAATTTAATAATTTACTGAAATAATAAATCGAAGTGAAAAAAAAATTCAAAAAGAATTCAAGTTCTTTAAGCTTGCAAAAAAATTTTTCAACATCAAGAAGAAGAATTTTTGTAGTAATTCTATAGAAATTTTGTAATTTTTCCAGTAATTTTTGAACAAAAATTCCTTGAAATTTCCATGAATTCCCTGACCTGTGGCAACCCTGTTCGAATAAATGAAATTAAATTCAATATTAAATATGCACAGAAATAAAATAAAATCAAGGAAGTTAAATAAATGATAAAGAAATGAAATATAAATGAAATTGAATCGAATAAATGAAATGAATTTAATAATATTGAAAGTAAATTTTCTTACCTATTGGAACTATTGCTGTTTCCGTTTAATAAACATGTGTGACCGCCGAACCATCCATTGAGCTCGCCGTGACATCCAACGGGATCGTCATCCATTTCTAAGGGTGACAAATCCGTGAAACTAAAACCAAGTTCCGTGTGACCGCCAATAACTCCCTCGATTTCTGATTTAATGTCAACGTCGAGCATCTCCTGTAGTGATAAACTATCGCTTCCTAAATAATAATCCATCGTGAGCCAGGGGTCCCTCGTCGGTCCCTGATCTAGCCCAGTGCCTCTACTCTCTGTATCCAACATTCACGCAACTAGAAATAGAAAACAAAAAGAAGAAATCAGTGTCAAAATTAAAATTATATTCTCGCAAAAAAAAAAAAAAATTACAATTCTTTTCTTTCTCTCTCTCTCTCTTTCTCAATTTCTATAACCTTCAACTTAATCTTTAAAAAGCAGAATGGAAACCTTGAGAGAGCACGAGACCATCAAGGTGAAGCGCGAAAGTAGTCAAAAAATAACTCGCCAACTTTTTTCTCTGACCTTCCCAATAATGTCGAAAATAATAATAATAAAATCGAATTCTTCATTCATGATAGTAGAACCTTTTTTTTATGGCTTCGAGTCAGGCAAATAGTAAAAAGCTTAAAGTAATAGTGTCAATAGTGTCGCAAATTTCCCACTCGCAACATAAACTCATTCGCAATCATAAATAATAGGAAGGACAATCTTTTGGAAATAGTAAAGAAAGAAAATTTGTTTTTTTTTCGACAAAAAGAGTAAGGAATAAAATTTCGCCTCCCGAAATTTTTTTTTGGCTCATCTCGAAAAGAGCGATTAGAGATGAGAATGAGAGAAGCGTCTGCGGATGAAGTGCTATCGCTTTTCTTATTTAGATATAGTCGGACAATCTTTGCCGGCTATGTGTCTTGAAGCAAGGGCAATAGTTTCTCAAGCAGGCAATTTCTGCTTGTGTGACCTCGCGTGAGGAGCTCAGTGAATGTGAGCGTACAACGAGGGTCTTGAACCCACAACCAGCTTGTGGGTGTGACTGACTCACAGCCGATTTACTATAGAACGTGAGGAGTAGTAGTACTCTCTGGCATACTCTCTTGTCGAGTGACTTGCGGCTCGAACAGAGACCAATACCAATCACCAATCTATGTTAAATAGTTCGCTATATATGTATTGCTTAAATTGTGTGTGCATTTGTCTGCTAAAAGTGTCTCTTTTAGTAGACTAAAACACTAATAAAAACTCTACTAAAAATAGACTAAAAGACTAATAAAAATACTATTAAAAATAGACTAAAACAATAATAAAAATACTACTAAAAATAGACTGAAGAAACTAATTAAAAGCTTCCTGATCGAGGAAGCAAAACATTAATTAAAAAAACTTTCTGATCGAGGAAGCAAAACATTAATAGAAAGCTTCCTGATCGAGGGACCAAAACACTAACAAAAACGCTACAAAAAATTTAAAATAGACTAAAACACTAATAAAAATACTACTAAAAAACTAATTAAAAGCTTTCTGCCCGAGGAAGCAAAAAAATAAATAAAAAACTTACTGATCGAGGAAGCAAAACATTAATAAAAAGCTTCCTGATCGAGGAAGTAAAACACTAATAAAAACGCTACTAAAAATAGGCTAAAACACTAATAAAAACGCTACTAAAATAGACTAAAACACTAAATAAAAATACTACTAAAAATAAATTAAAAGCTTCCTGATCGAGGAAGCAAAACACTATAAACTAAAAATAGAATAAGACACTACTAAAAATAGACTAAGACACTACTAAAAATAGACTAAAAACACTACTAAAAATAGACTAAAACGAAAACAGTAAACATATTTTTAAATAATACTATAATAAAGACTATTTAACATATTTTTGAACGAACCTTGTTGCAAGAACCAGACGCGTTCCATTTAATTTCAATGGGCCCATGTCGGGTTCTTGCATCAAGGGGTTCATTTGCCTTGGTGTGCACATTGATAGAAAAAAAAGAACCGGTGTGTGGAAACGATGGCCTACTACGCATACTAAATTATCAGCTGCAGAACTGACCCTGCTTGAGTTTCTTTTGTTAATGTGTTGCATGTTGTGAACTATATTAACTATTGCTCTGCACGTATTGCGTTTCTCGATCACATTCTTCTATGGGTTTTCTACTTTTTTTTCCCCCTTCTGCTCCTTTGCCTATATAGGAAGCTTCGAACTAATGAAATTTATCAAATTTATAGTCCTAATGGAAACGAAAATTTTGTCAGTTTTGAGAAACAAAAAATGTCCCTGAATTTAGCGTCGATGCTTAGCGTCAAAAAATTATCATTTGAAGATTTTAGAGATGAAAATGTCTCTGATTTGACTTCTTTTATTTTCCTAGGAAATTAAAAAAATGTTCATAAAAATTTAATTTTGTTTTTCCCTCACTTTTCACTTATTTTTAAAGACAAAATTTTGACTTTTTCCCTGATCCTAAAAAATATTCTGCGATTCACGTACTAAAAATTATTAGATACTCAAAAAAAAAAATGTTCTATTACATTAATTTACGAATATCTTTTATTGGAAAATTTAACTTGGAAATTGTTCAATTAAATCCTTGTTAGAAAATAAAAACTACAAATAATTTCAAAAAAAAAAAAATTAAATTAAACATTTTCGAAAAAATTAATTTGACAGAATTGTTTGTTAAAAGTATGAAAAATTTATATTTTTAAAGATTTTAATTTAAAACATTCAAAATTCAATTATTTCTATAAAAAAAATTCACGCTTATGCTTTTAATATTCAATTATTATTTAAAATTTTAACTTTTTAACTGAAATTCACTTTTTGTAAATCAAATTTTATTAGAAAATTCTATAAAAGAATTCAGTTAACAAATTTTTAAATAATTGAATTCTTTCGACGAATTTTAATAAAATCTTTTAAAGTAATTCCATTTTTCGACAAATTTGATTGAAATTTTATTAAAAATAATTGAAATTCTGCGATGAGTTTTATTATAAATTTATGAAAATAATTGAATTAGAAAAAAGAATTTTATTTTTTATGAAAATAATTGAAATCTTAAAAAGAATTTTATTTTTTATGCAAATAATTGAATATCTGTGAAAATTTAATTACTTATGAAAATAATTGATTTATTGCGAAGAAAATTTATAAAAAAATTTGTAAATAATTGAATTCCTGAGAAATTTTTTATTATTTATGAAAATTATAATGAAATGATTGCGTACAGAATTTAATTAAATTTTTTTTTTAAATAATTGAATTCTTTTGGAAAATTTTATTAAAATCTTGGTAGATATTGAAAATCATTGAATTGAGGAAATTGTTTGGAAAATAATCGAAATTTTACCAAGAACTTTTTTAAAATTTTCGAAAATAATAATTGAATTTCGGAGAAGAATTTTATTATTTATACAAAGATAATTGAAATTTTGACGAGAATTATTTTTAATTTTTGAACATAATTGAAATTTTGCAAAGAATTTTATTACTTTTGAAAACAATTGAATTTTCGCGAAGAATTTTATCACTTTTGAAAATACTTGAATTTTTCCAAATAGTAACTTCTCCAAAATTGAATTTTTTTAGTGTTTTTTACTAAAATTCTTCTATAAATCCATTATTTTTAATAATTAATTAAATATTTTCGACGAAATTGACATAATAATTATGAATTTTTTTTTATGTTAATATTTAAATATTACATTCGCATAATAATGCGTCGTGTTCTGGTCGTAAAGTTTTCATTTCCCCATCTCTAAAAGTTCTGACAGTCGGCTTAGCTAAAAGTCATTTTTTAAGAAGGAAAAAAGAAGGAAGATATTTTGAAAACAATTTTTTTTTCTTCTTTCAGAAGAAAATTATGAAACAAATTTATGAACCGAATTTTTCCGGGTTGTAAAGAAAGGTGTGGAGTAGTCCTTGCGAAGTAAATTACAACGAAGATAAAAGGGGCGAGAAAAAAAAGAGGAGGAAAAAGAAAATGAGACCAAACTCCGGTAAATTACAATGGCAGTTTATAATTTATGATTTGAATAGCAAATCGCCGCCTACTTTGTAATTCAACATATACACATTGTCTGCTTTGTAATTTACGCTCAACAAATTATCATCACAATCTCTTATCCGAGTGAAAAATATAAACCAAATCTCATAAATATCATTTTTCAACATTCAAACTAAATTGTTCTCGTTAAAAAAATTAATAATTATTTCGGTCATTGGAAATTTATTATTTTCGTCTTTTCTCCTTTTTTCTCAACTATTTCCCTCTATTTCTTAAATTTGATAAGAAAATAATTTCCCCTCGCGCGCAGTATAAATATATTTTCGCTGTGGCAATTTTAAATAAAAAAAATTTTTTTTCCTCTTATCTGAATAAGAAAAAGATTTATTTAAAATTACGACGATTTCCGATATTTCGCCACAAATATAGAAGAAGAAAAAAGAAAGAAAAAAAAATAGTGGGGAGATCGAACAACGACCTAGAGAATCGCAAAAGATTAAATTAAGGCGACTTTAACACGCCACATGCGAGTATGATAAGCTAATCTCAGTCAATGAGAATTTCTCGACACCAAAACAAGGAAAAAAAATTATATAGATATATATGAATGAGTGATATACTTTTAGATATAGAGAAAGAGTGAGAGAGAGGGGGGAAAGAGTGTGTTTTCTGAACGAGACCAAACATCCCGTAAATGCATATGTATATATATACACACATATATGCAATTTTTCGAGAGAGAGAGAAAAAAAGAGTGAGAGACAAACAAACAAGCAGACTGACAGACTCCACGTTCTTCACTAATCGAAACAGATGCGCGCGCGAGAAGAAAAATAAAAACTGAAATTTAAGACGAGTTAAAAAATTTTTCTTTCACTGTATTATGAAGTATTTTTTTCTATATATATATATACATATACGTATCTGAATGAAGCCGCAGATTTAAATTGAAGGCAATGTGGCCGCGATTATGTACTTGATGAACGTCATCCCTTGTTATAATATCATTTATATTTAGTTTTATTAAACTTTTCGAGACGCAAGAAATTGCAATAAGTAAATTTTTTTGTTTCTCTTTATTTCGATTTTATTTTTTCTTTCGATTTTTTGTCAGTTTTGTTTCATTAAATTTTTTGTTTTCTTTGAATTTTTTTTTATTTTCTTTCATTTTGTTTTCTTTGAATTTTTCTTTTTCTTATTTTCTTTCATTGAATTTTTATTTTCTTTGAATATTTCTTTTTTTTATTTTTTTAATTACGAAAATTTTTTATTTAATTTAT